GATGATGCCAGACAAATTTGATGGCAACACTGGGTTCAAGACGTGGCAAGACAAGATGCGCTACTATTTGGCCAGCATGCACATCGATAGGTACCTCACAGAGGATCCACCGATACGTCCGGTAAACAACACAAATGTGTATGTGGCTGGAAGTATCGATAACTGGCACGAAGGGGATTTTTTGTGCAAAGGTCAAATTCTGAACCGCTTGCACAATGACCTGTTCGACCTCTATAGCATGTACAAGACTTCAAAAGCATTGTGGTTGGCTTTGGAGAACAAGTACAAGACTGATGAGTCTGGAATGCAGAAATTCTCAACTGGGAAGTTTCTAAACTTCAAGATGGTGGACTCCAAACCTATTATGGAGCAAGTGGAGGCTTTCCAACGCATCTGTCAAGAGATAGAGTTGGAAGGGATGTCGATCTGTAATGTCTACAAGACGAATAGCTTGATCGAGAAGTTGCCACCAGGCTGGTCGGATTTCAAGAATTACCTTAACTTTAAACGTAAGGCATTGTCTCTTGATGATCTTATCCGCAGGTTGAGGATTGAGGGCAACAATCGTGGGGTTCATCCAGGTGCTCAAAACCAGGGGCATGATGTCAATGTAGCTGAGCATAAGGCCAAGCTGAAAGGCAAGGGTAAAGGGGTGTCTAATCCTCAAAAAGCATTGAAGGTGTCGTCCACAACGAACTTCAAGAAGAGCAACCCTGAGAGGAAGTTCAAAGGCAAGTGTCATCATTGTGGAAAGATTGGGCACAAGGCTGAAGTTTGCAAAAGCAAAGCCAGGGATATCAAGAGCCAAGCAAACCTAACTGAAGAAGACATGGTTGCGGTGGTCACTGAATGTAACATGGTGGAAGACAATCCTGTGGAGTGGTACTATGATACTGGTGCTACCACACACATTTGCTCTGACAAGACCATGTTCTCCACCTACGTGAAGAACAAGTCAAGTGAGCAACTTTTCATGGGCAACACAGCGGTGTCCAAGATTGAAGGAAAGGGCAAAGTAGTCCTGAAGCTGACTTCTGATCGTGAGCTGACTCTGATGAACGTGAAGCACGTACCTGACATGCGGAAGAATCTCATCTCCGGAACGGTGCTAAGCAAGAATGGTTTTTCCATTAATTTTGAGTCTGATAAGCTAGTTCTTAAGAAGAATGGGGTGTATCTGGGAAAGGGTTTTGTTAAGAGTGGACTGATCAAAATGTCTGTAGCGACAGTCTATCCGAAAATTGTAGCTTCTGCTTCTGTTGCTGAAATGAATAAAAACCCTATTGCTTACTTGGTTGAGTCGTTTACTACTTGGCATGAACGCTTAGGACATGTCAATTATAAAACAATGCGAAAGATGCAGAATTTGAATTTAATTCCAAAATTCAAAACTAACCAAGAAAAATGTGAAGTATGCGTTCAGGCCAAACTCACTAAAACTCCCTCACCTCGAGTTGAAAGAACAACCGAACCTCTAGGTTTAATTCACACAGACTTATGTGATTTAAAATATGTGCAAACTAGAGGCGGTAAGAAATACTTTGTTACCTTCATAGATGACTGCACACGATATTGCTATGTATATTTGTTACATAGTAAAGATCAAGCACTGGAAAAATTTAAAGAGTTTACACTCGAAGTAGAAAACCAGCTGCAGAGAACTATAAAAGTTGTTCGAAGTGATAGAGGTGGAGAATATAATGAGCCGTTCAATGCATTTTGTAGAGAAAAAGGCATTATACATCAAACGACCGCTCCTTACTCACCAGAATCTAACGGAGTTGCAGAACGAAAGAATCGAACTCTGAAAGAAATGATGAATGCGTTGTTGCAGGAATCTGGGTTAGCCCAGAACATGTGGGGGGAAGCTTTGCTTACCACTAATTATATCCTCAACAGGATACCGCATAAGGTGACTGGCAAATCACCACATGAACTTTGGAAAGGAACAGTACCTTCGTACAAATACCTGAAAGTGTGGGGGTGTCTAGCAAAAGTGGCAGTACCACCTCCTAAAAAGGTCACAATTGGACCTAAGACCGTAGACTGTATCTTTATCGGATATGCGCACAACAGTAGTGCTTATCGATTTCTGGTTTATAAATCAGATATTTCAGATATTCATGTAAACACGGTTATGGAATCAAGAAATGCATCATTTTTTGAACACATTTTCCCCTGTAGGAAAACTCAAAAACGATCTCGTGAACAACGAGATGCCGCAACCTCAAATGCTGAGGATAGTACTTTGAGTACTATTGCTGGTGAAACAGAACCAGAACCTGAAGAAGAACCTAGACGGAGCAAAAGAGCTCGTAAAGGAAAATCTTTCGGTGAAGATTTCCTAATGGCATTTTTAGCTGAAAATGTACCAAGGACTTATTCAGAAGCCATGTCCACCCCTGATGCACCTTATTGGAAGGAAGCAATCAATACTGAAATGGACTCTATCAAGCAACATCACACCTACGAGATGGCAGATCTACCCCAAGGTTCTAAACCTTTAGGGAGTAAATGGATTTTCACAATAAAACGGAAAACCAATGGTGATATTGATAGGTACAAGGCTAGACTTGTAGTGCAAGGATTTCGGCAAAAAGAAGGCTTAGACTTCTTTGATACCTATTCTCCTGTAACGAGAATAACTTCGATCAGGATGCTTATAGGCATTGCAGCTTTGCGAGATCTTGAAATACATCAAATGGATGTAAAAACTGCATTTCTCAATGGAGATTTAGAAGAAGAAATCTACATGAAACAACCAGAAGGGTTTGTTACCCCGGGACAAGAACACAAAGTGTGTAAACTTGTAAAGTCACTGTATGGTCTCAAACAGGCTCCTAAGCAGTGGCATGAGAAGTTTGACAGTGTGATGATGTCTAATGGCTTTCGCATTAATGAATGCGACAAATGCATATACTTCAAAATTACTCCTTCGGGGTACATTTTGTTATGTTTATATGTAGATGATATGCTCATCATTGGAAGCAACAAAGACATCGTCAATCAAACGAAAAACATGCTCAAAAGAAATTTTGACATGAAAGATTTGGGTCTTGCAGACGTCATTTTGGGGATAAAAATCATAAGAACTGATGAGGGCATTATCCTGTCTCAAACCCATTATGCTGAAAAGATACTTGATCGATTCAAGCATTACTCACATGGGAAGGCAAAAACTCCAGTGGATCTTCAACTTCACTTGACCAAAAATTCTGGTGAACCTGTACAACAGGTGGAGTATGCAAGAGTAATTGGCAGTCTTATGTACTTGACAAACTGTACTAGACCAGATTTAGCGCACTCTGTAAATGTACTTAGTCGCTACACGAGCAATCCAGGACATAAACATTGGAAAGCTATAACTAGAGTCTTAGACTATCTACGTTATACCAAAGATCAGGGCTTACACTATGGTAAAGAACCTGCAGTACTGGAAGGATACACTGACGCCAACTGGATCGCAGACTCCAGAAACTCAAAATCCACAAGTGGGTACGTGTTTACACTTGGAGGTGCTGCAGTGTCCTGGAAATCTTCCAAACAAACTCTAGCGGCTTCGTCAACTATGGAGTCAGAATTCATAGCTTTGGAAATAGCTGCATCAGAGGCTGAATGGCTTCGTAATTTCTTGGAAGATATCCCAATGTGGGGGAAACCTGTGCCTGCAATACGTGTACACTGTGATAGCCAATCAGCTATAGGCAGGGCACAGAGTACCCTATATAATGGTAAATCTCGTCACATCCGACGTAGACATAAAACCATTAGACAACTAATCTCAACTGGGGTAGTCACGATTGACTACATCAGGTCAGAAGACAACCTAGCGGATCCATTTACAAAAGGTTTGACACGAGATAAAGTTTCAAAATCATCAAGAGGAATGGGTTTAAAGCCTACGACTTGAGAGGAGGTTTGATGGTAACCCCACCTACTTAGATTGGAGATCCCATGACGTAGGTTCAAAGGGACAACTAAATCAAGCTAAATCTACCAAAAGCACTAAGAGACAATTTCTTATCCCAGTTCCTAAAATGATGTACAGTGCTTCCTGTATGTGTAGAGGATAAGCATATGCTTTTAATGATTTGAAATCTAGCTTTGTAATATAAGTGAAGTATTTACAGGATACCTCTTTTAAATACAAGCAGTTAGTTAATCACCTTGTGAGTGTGAAATGGGGCCGTTTCTAGGAGAATATGTGAGGCTATACTCTCCAAGTTCACTCATGATTATCCAGGCAAGTTCAAGGCCACAATGAACACAATAGAGAACTTAGTTCTACTAGAAAACGAAGCTGTGTTAGACCTGTTGTCTAAGTTTACATCAAAGTCCGGATGGTTCAAGACATCATGTTCACCATCTGGCCGAGTAAACTCGACAGGTATTAACAATGAGTAGGTTCAAAGCTGAAAAACGCCACCAACTCAGATACAGTTAGTTTTCGCATATACTCTCGAAGGTCTGTCTAGCTAGTCGCGTCAGTCCATAGGGTTAGTTAAGTCGTCATCTGTTTAGACTTATTTCTATTAATGTGGGGGATTGTTGGAACTGAATTTTCAGAAAGAAGTTTCTGAAAAATTGCAGATTTTTGACGATGACTTTCCGGCGACTTTCCGGCCAAATTCCGGCCAAACGGCTGAACGGAATTGTGAGCTTGATAGTGCAATGGAAAGGTGGTAACGAGTACTATAAAATGGTATACTCATATGTCAAAAACTGAGTTGAATTGAATGAGAAATAAGGGTGTGAAGTGAGCCACTTGGTCTGATTTTTTGCGAAAAATCCTGAACCAAACCGAACCAAACCAAACCAGTCCTGGCGCGGGCTAATGGGCTTGTGGGCTTGTAGGCTCGTGGCTTTAGGCAATCTTGGAGGTTTTTGGGATTTGCTTAAGCCAAATGTAAGATAAGGTTTGGTGGGCACTCAAAAGAATATGCTGAGAATATTCTGTGGATATGATAGAATATGCCGAGGATATGCTAGAATATGCAGAAGATATTCTCCCGGAGCCCTATCTTATTCTACTCCTACTACTATATAAAGGGGAGGAGGCTCTCATTATTTTTCACACTCAAAAACAGAAAAGCATCTAAACCTTTCAGTTCTAAACCTCTCTTCTCTCTTGCTTATTTCAAGTAAGTTCTTAGTTTTATAGTTTCGAGAGTATATAGTAGATCTAGTTCGTTTGAGTCTATTACTCGTGTGCTCGAGTAATAGTTCGCAACCGGTTGTATCCTGGGATTCATAAATCGTGATAGACCGAAGCACTTACGGCCGATTTATTGAATTAAGGACAAAGATATCATATCTTGCCTCCGAGATTTAAATTTATGCTTTTAAATTATGTTGTTGTAATGTCTTTATGATATCGTTCTCATTAATAAAATTCGTATTTTTCTCGATTCGATTTTTGCGCTCCTACAATACCACACTTAATAATCCCCGGGTAATCATAACTGTACATTACATTATCTATCACACACGAATCCATCAACTCTCGCCAACTCGATTCCTCTCTTACAACTTTCCATGTACCATCTTTGGGCTCATAAGTGAAGTCATTGTCATATGACGTTACGTAAAGCTTTCCTATAAAATCATCAGGGTTAACATAAATACTTTTAATGCAAAGCTCATGACCCGCACCAGGACTCGGCAAGGCTCTCCAAGTCTGAGTCTTTATGTCCAATACCTCAAACCAATTGTCAACATCGCAACCTCCTATCACATATATTTCCTGGTTGATGAGAACCGCCTGATGAAGTTTTCGAGCTACCGTCATGTTAGGCCCGTCACGCCATGTGTTACTTCGACAATCAAGGATCCTAACTGAGGAAGTTAGCTCATCCCATCCACCAATTACGTAGATATCGGAACCAACTGCTACAGTTGATCTTTCTGGTAAACGTAAAGGATGGGGATAGCAAGGTATAGGAATCAAGGAATAGTCATTCAAAATCTCACCATCACATGTTTCTTGAGGTTTCAACGAAAGAGTGAACCATTGGAGAGATGTATCCTTACAACACGAACGTACGTAAAAATAAAGACATGGTTCGGTGGTTCCAAGGTTGAAACGTGTCGTGTAGAGTTGGGGAGAAGATATGAGAGTGTGGAACCTCTTCCATACGAGAGAGAGATTAGGGTAATCCCATCTCGGGACACGAGCAAGTATCTGCTCCACGATTTCGTCAGGGAGTGATGACATTAATGGCTGAGAACTCAAACTCTTCTTGTCACTCTGCGGTGGTTGTTCAACTTCGGAGGTCATGCTCGAGTCGGCAGACATCGTAGAAACAAGCGGTGGTGGAGATGAAAGATGATAAATTAGAGCTATATATATAAGAATTGACTTATATATATACCATTGATTTAAGAAAAGTACATATCATCTGAAACGGGAAATATATATATAAGTTTTAAATTTTAACCCCAAAAAAGTGATATATATGATGGAGATTGATTATTCTTATTATTCAAGATTTCTTTCTTATTTTAAATGATATAGTTCTAAAGAGTTCTTTTTCTAAGGAAATAAGGGTTATTTATAACTTATAACTATTGGATTAAAATATCTACAAATCTTTAAACACAAAGGATATTTTACAAAATAAGCCAAAAAACTTAAAGCACAAGTAAAACCTCTATAAAATTAATAATGTTGGGAACATCATATTCTTTTAATTTATAATGTTATTAGTTTATCTATATATTATTTTATAGTAAAAAAAAATAATAGTTCTTAAATTATAAAGCTGTTTTTCTTAATTGTTATAAATTTTAAAAAATATGAATTGAAACAAGTTCATATAGATAAACTTATTGTTTTAGATGTTAAACGGATAAGAGGATTTTTTATTTATGAAATAATGTAAAATTTTATTCAAGAAAAGTAACGTTTTTGCAGCCAGTGCAACAGAAATTTAAAACATGATCGCTAAAAAACACAATTTAATTATTAAAATCTACCTCAAACCAAATTGGTAGACCTTTGTCATAACGTATATCTCACGTAAGCCATATTGATGAGAACTGAATAAGGATATTAGCCTATATATGCCTGTGTTATATATGTAATTAGTGTATATGTGGTGCATGTAGAGTGTAGCTAGCAAAATTAAGCCCCAACATTGGGTAAAACCTTTGTGATCTCGCACTATCCAAACTCATGTTAATTAAAGAACAACATAACCCTTAAATTCTTAATATGAGTATATGACTTTAAAGAATCATCAAAGCAAAAACGACTAAACAAGTTAATCAGTAATATGACTTGAAGTCTTAAATTCTTTCCAAACCCTTGATCTCTATCCACTCTCTACCCTCAAATTAAAGTCCCAACAAGTTTATTACATCTTCCATTCACAGACGAATCGAGTATCTGTTGGAAACGTGATTCCTCTCACACAACTTTTCATGTACCATCTTTGGTTCATAGGTGATAGTCATTTGTATTTGCCGTTACATACTTACATAATACTTTCTTTCCAAAGCATAATACTTGTGTGATTCATGATCAGCACCAAGACTCGGCAAGGCTTTTCAAGTCGTGAGTCTTTATTTCGAATACCTCTAAGTCTCTAACCTAACCAATTGCTTGACTCATTGATCTTGGGAAAATTCTTACATGATTTTTGTTATTTACTATGTATTTTTGGAATTATTCGTTTGGTTTCATTTCTTCTAAGACTATGAATTGTACTAAACAAAATTGTTATTTAATGTGTATGTATCTTTTCATAGATGTTTCTCTTCGTATTTAATTTGGTTCCTATAATCTTTAAAATATATATAACTCCAATGTTAATCATTGTTAAACTTTTACATATGAAATAGCATTATAAATCCTCAAACATTTAACTTTCATGAAAGACCATAAAAACGACTACATCTTTAGTTCTTTATGAGAATAAATAAATAAAAACAACTGAAGCTAGCTTCAAAAAATGACGTTGTTTTAGGTGAATCATCAAGCCCAGTATTATAAGAATCATCGCATTGAAACGGCTACACGAAGAAAGAAGTGGTAGGACTTGGGGATCTCAAAGATAGTATTAAGCCATTCTATCTTACCCCAAATTTCATCTTTATGACGCTTCTCTAACGCAACCGTAGTGCACAAAATTTTATTTTTCTAGTTCTTGCTATGTTCCTCAGGCCACTGCCTCCACATAACTATCAATTTCTCACCGTAGTTACGAATCTGTCTCATACATGAATAAATTCCTTCCAAACCCTTGACATCTCTCCACACTTTACGCTTAGAGTCATACCACTTAATATTCCCCGGATAATTATAACTGTACATTACATTATCTATATATCACTAATATGAATTTAAGGACCCTAAGAACAATATATACTAAACCACTTCGTCTTACCCTGAATCTCATCTCTATGGCGCTTCTCTACCACAATCTTTATTGTTTGGGTTTATAAAGAAGAGTTGAGTTATAGTTTAGTTTTTACAATTAGACAAGCTTTAATTAATGTCAGTTTGGAATTATAAACAAGAGTTCAGGTTTCCATTTTATAATTAAACATTTTTTTTTAATTTAACATTGTTATATGTTGATTTAGGTTCATAAAAGACGTATATAGTTTTATATTTTACAATTAAACAAAGTTTATACGGTGGTTTGGTTTGGGTTTAACTTAAATTATGTTTTGTTAATTATTCATATTTTTAATTTGTTAAATTTTTAGTTTATATTTACATTTAATATGATAAGGTAAATAGAAACTAAAAATTCAAAAGCTATTCTTTCATCCTCTCGAAACACATATTTTCTGAAAAATGAAAACATTGGATAGTGAACCATTGGGGAGATGAATGCTTGATTATATATCTAACGTCTATGGTTTAAACTTTCAAGATTTTCGTTTGGTTAAATATTTCCTCTACAATCATTAATTGTACTAAATATTTATCTTATTTAATGTATGTATCTTTTCGTAGATGTTTCTCTTTGTATTTAGATCCTCAAACGTTAACTTTTATGAAAGACCATAATTAATTAGAAACAACTGAATGATTTCACAACGTCGTTGTAGGCGAATCATCAAGCACAGTACTATGACTAGGGGATCTCAAGCTAACGTAGTATGATATGAATCATCAATTCGAAACGGCTACACAAGGAAAAGAGTAATATGACTAAGAGATTTCAAGCATAGTATTATATGAATCATCAAATCGAAACCGCTACACAAGGAAATAAGTATGACTAGGGGGTCTCAAACATAGTATTATATATATGAATCAACAAATCGAAACAGCTACACAAAGAAATGAGTAAAATGACATGGGAATCTCCAGAACACTATTACGCCACTCCGTCTTGCCCCAAATCTCATCTTTATGGCGCTTTTCTAACGCAGTCTTAGCGCACCAAATTTTAGGATTCGGGTTTTCGCTATGTTTCTTATGCCACTGCCTCCACATAACTACAAGTTTCCCACCATAGTTACAGACCAATCTCGTACATGAAGGAAGTCCTTCCAAACCCTTGATCTCTCTCCAAACCCTACCTTCATAGTCATACCACTTAATAATCCCCGGGTAATTATAACTGTACATTACATTATCTATCACACACGAATCCCACAACTCTCGCCAACTCGATTCCTCTCTTGCAGCTTTCCATGTACCATCTTTGGGATCATAAGTGTAGTCCTTTTCATGTGTCGCTACGTAAAGCTTTCCTTCAAAAGCATCAGGGTTAACATTAATATTTATATTGTATAGCTCATGACCCGCACCAGGACTCGACAAGGCTCTCCAAGTCTGAGTCTTTATGTCCAATACCTCAAACCAACTGTCAACATCGCAACCTCCAATCACGTATATTTTCTGGTCAATGAGAACCGCTTGTGGATATTTTCAAGCTGCCGTCATGTTAGGCCCGTCACACCATGTGTTACTTCGACAATCAAGGATCCAAACCGACAACGGTGGTTTTTTTTTCTCTTTTGACTTTCGCCGTAAGAGCTTAACCGACGTAGTGGCTAAGCCACTAATGAAACTGTTGCATCCTACTATCGTCTTTAATACCAGACGAGATGCATGTGTGTTAATTAAGTTTATACACATCAAATTATTAAAGTATATAGCTAGAATCATACATATTACCAAGTTTTTCTGTTGATATTATCATCAAATAACATTTAATTTTGTAAAATATATAGGATTTGACGAAGAAAAAAACCAAGAATTGTGACAAAATAATTTGAAAGAATCAACCAAATAAGTTTATTATATCAAGAATTATATGTTTTATTTTTTACAAAACAAATCAAATCATCAAACACACCAATCAGAAAATAAAAACCAAATCTTTTAAGAATTCAAATCCAACAAATAAAAAACCAATAAATCGTGGAAAGAACAAAAAAAATCAAATCTTTTGGAAACCAAAATCAGTAAATTTGTTTGTAACCAAGAATAGTCCGACGACCACCACCGTCACCGGCTCTTCTCCCTCCTCCTCCGCCGTTATTAATAGCAGAAGCAGCCGCCATTGATATTTTCTTAAGATCTTCAACATTAGCGTAACTCTTACGAGCCATCATCATCGTACCTTTACTCTTCTTCTCCCCTACACTCGCCGACTTGCTCCCTCTCGAAGCCGATCCCGTCAAAACGCCGCCGTTTCTACTCTTCGAACTCGGCGGTGGCGGAGTAGTAGTGGTGTTATTGTAATTAACCGGACGACGATTCTCTTTACGTAACACGGCGGAGAAATCAGGAACCGATTGAGCCAACGACGACGGCAACACAGCTTTTCTCACCTGAGAAACACCGAACCGGCTCTGTTTCTTCAACTTCTCCGGCGTACACTTGTAATCATCTTCTTGTAAAATTACCGAAATACCCTCGAACCGACTCTGTTTCTTCTTCTCCGGCGAAAAGTTTCCATCTTTTTGTGAAATTACTGGAATACCCTCGAACCGGCTCTGTTTCTTCTTCTCCGGCGAAAATTTATCAGTTACTGAACTACCCTCGAACCTACTCTGTTTCTTCTTCTCCGGCGAAAAGTTATCATCTTTTTGTGAAATTACAGAATCACCCTCGAATCTGACTTGTTTCTTGATACTCTTCGTCTCTGTTTCGTCTTCTTCATCGAGAAATTTCTGAAAATCGCGTTTCATACGAAGCTTCGACTCACGAAGTTTCGAGTACTCATCGTATCTCGGACCTCTTTCGAAACCGGAGAAACCATCTAACAAGAGTTTAAGCTGATGAATGTCGGAGTTCTGAGAGAGGATAAGAGACATTGGATCTACAGAGAAGAACAGCTGTTCCATGCTCGGATTCGAGATCGTATCCGTCGCCATTGATGGGTTTGTAAAAAAGAGATCTTTTTTTTTTGGTTGTTGTTTGCAAAGTCGAAAGCTTTATTTAATACAAAGCTTTTGGTTCTTTCGTTTTATGTTCGCAAACTCTCAACGGTCTGATAGAAGAAAATCAAGAAACCAGTATTGAGTCTTTAGACTTTTTGCTGTATTGACGATTTTGCCCTTCTTTTCTTTAACGGTCTTATTTTGGGATTGTTGGATAAAAGTAAAATTATCAATCAAACGGTCATTAATTGCCTTAATCATTACAATTATCTATTAATTTATAATTTGATAGTCACTAAAAACTACAAGAAGTCTACAATAGAGAAAGACAAAGACTAAAGATTTATAGACTAAGGTGTTACTAGTTACTGTGGATCTGAGATAGGTGATGGAAGCAAATGTGGAGGAGGAATCAAACTGTGTGAAACTTGTATTTCTGCGTCAGGTTGAATCGAGATATTGAGTCACTGAATCCTTCTTCAACAAGTGTCTTTACACCTTCGACGCCTTGCTCCAGTCCATCATCGATCTAGGCATGATTTGGTTCAAACATAAATTTGACGAACATATAGAGATGTAATGTTTTCGATCAGGAGAAGTTTCAGATTTGCAGAGTTTAATTGACTGACGGAACTTGGGTTTTTTTACCTGTTCACGTTCCGAGGGGCTGAACTTTTGGAGAAGAAATGCTTTCATGTCCATGTTACCTGGTGGATTTCCAATTCCTGCAATTTGACAGACAATTTTACTATGATTTGCAAAAGGGTATTCGGCGATAGGATTTAAAAGGTGAAACGGGAGACAAACCGATTGATAAGCGGGGATAGCCACGACAACCATTTAAATTTTCTGTCACATTCTTCAATCTGGTACATAACAAAAAGAGTTATAGGCTTTTTCAGAAAAGCAAAAGAAATGGTTATGTTGTTCTAATTCTGAGTCTAGAAATCATAAATGACGAAGATGCATTACTTTCTTCACAGTGTTATGCGCTTCCTAGAAATAAAATGCTTTATACTATTTGTATTCGATCCTATTCCTTCATTATCCATACTCTTGAACTTTTGTGTCCTTTCAAAATAACATCTTCTTTCCTCAAAAGCGAGTACTAAGTTTAGAAATTGAACAAATGCAACATATCCAATTCCAGTCACTCGAAAAAAAAGATTGCAGGAGATTTGAAAATTCGACTTCACATATGATTGATTCCTTCTATGTTTATAGTCAAAGACACAGTTTTTGTTCATTTCCTAAACCAAAAGAACCCACAGTGATCACTTCCCTCCCCTCTTCAGAGAAATTACTTACCCATTGTGAAGGTTATGACCTCCTTTTGGTTGAAGCCTCAAGACACCATTAGGCAAACCCATGTCATCATATATCTACACCATAGAGGCAGATATAATATTTTGATCAATTTCATTCCATCATCATCACACATCAATCAATAAGACTCCGTACTTACCATCAGAATGTGGCGTAAGGGTATTTGATAATAGGCCGCTAACGGTCCAACCTTCCGAACACAATAAAGCCAAAGCATTTAGGCTCTCAAATCTAATGTAGAGAAAAACATTATATCAATCAAGGTAAGGAAGACTAACCGATTCACCGCTAAAATTCATGTATGCTTGAGGTTTAACCAACAAAATTGGTACTTCTCCAATAGAACCTGTTCTGGTCACATAAGGAATCCCAAATTAACGAACAAACAAGCGAAACCAAATGAATCAAACACAGGAATTTGTAGAGAATCCACCTATCCCAACTAAAGCCTTGGACTGAATTGTGTTCATAGAAATCTCAGTTGCTCGAGCTATATGATCAATCATCTCAAAACCAATCTACATATAACAAAACCAAATCAAGAATCCAAAAAAGCAGAGAACTTTGACTTCAAAACATTGAATGTAAAAGAGTGAACTTTACATTATGTCTTGTTCCATAATACTTCAATCCAGGGTTACCAAGTCCAACGATAAGCCATGGTGTGTATTCGAATTTAAGATTGTTATCAGAAACAGGCAACGAAGCACGCAGAGAGCATAATGATCTCTTCGAATTCGATTTTGATTGACCAAAGTTATAAGCTTTTGGGTAGAGTAGAGATGTAACTGGAGAAGATGATACACCAAACATTGCTGTAACTGAAAAAAGATGTGAATTTGCTTCGTCAAGAACTGATTCTGGATTGACAAAACCCTAAAACCCTGAATTCTAGATTGGTTAAATTTATCTTCTTTAAGGGAAAGTAACACTAACCCATCAATGGCGACGAGGTTCTGATGAACTCTTAAGTGTAAAGAGTTAAACTTGGGGAGGTTTTTGAGGATTTTGCAAACGAAACCTTAAAAGAGGATAAGAGCACAAGCGACTATGAGTTTAATCAGTCTCACTGAATTTTGGAGAGGGGAACAATCCGAACAAAGGCGTTGGAGGATTTTAGATTTTTTTATTCTTTCTTAATTTAATAAAATTAGAAAATTATAATAAATATTTTTTTTTTTTGGTCAAAAAGAAAATTATAATAAATACATTAAACATTTATAATTGGGAGATTCTCATAAATACCATGATTCCATGTTTTATATATTTTGTTTTTTAAGGGATCAGTATTTTTGCCAAATTCGTCACTTAAATTTTTGATAGATTTAAAAATTATGGGATTCTAACAAATTAAAATATCATTTCCTAGGACAAATATTACGAATGTGCCGTTTTTGCTAAAATTTTCTAAATTTTCCATTATTTTTTTCTTTTTTCGTTCTAAAATACTATAGTAAATACTAGATCCTAAAAACAATTAGAATTGATTAAACCCAAACATAATGAGTAAAATACATGTTTAATCGCATTTTTCTAATCTGAAAAATAAAAAATTCATATAATTTTAATAAAATGGCAAAACCAAAAATATGGTTAGAAAAAAGGTAAATTCAGAATTGATTCCAAAATTATAGCCAAAAAATTAGAATTTCTGAAAATTCATTGACTCCGGACAAAATGAACAAACTACTAAAGTTTATTTAAAACCAATGTTTTCTATTAGATAAAAAAAAATAGTTTCAACTATTCAAACATATATTTTAAACCATCCGATTCGTTGGATTACATTAGGTCATTTTCATTGCAAGGGTTCTTGCACAAATCTTAAGGATTGCAAAGGTTCTTGCACAAGTCTTAATGTAAAATTTGTGGAAGAACCCTTGCAACGATGATGGCCTTTGAGTCTTATTGTTTTTAGTTTTTGGCTATTATACTTTACTTTCATAATTTTAATACTTAGAGTTACTAAAAGTTGAAAGTATGTTGAATATAATATTTTAGTGTTTAGGTGGGTATCCGACATCCATTTCAGAATATTCAGATCAGTCCTTATACATTGCTTCTGACCAAAACAGAGGAATACATGTTATTTTATATGATTAAGCGCATACAAAACACAAGTGCTAAAGAATATAGAAAAGGCATAGAGTATTGTAATAAACAAAGGCCAAACCACTAAAAAGGAGACATAAACGAAGATAAGTAAAACAAACAATGTTTTCGATATGATCCATACCAAAAAAAAAACAAAAAAAAAAAGAATGAAAAGGGAAAGTGTTTTCTTAGGTTTCTTCAACTCTGAGTAGTATTAGAGAATCGATCTGTGATCGATTAAGCCACTAATTGATACATATTGTCATCTTCTTTAAGCTGTCTGAAGTCTCACTGTGATTAGCGGATTCAAATCGACAGAATCAGCACGTTGACTATGGATCTCTGGCTGCTTTAGTACAAAACTCCTATGGTCATTACTTAAGAGTGAGTCTTAATCTTTTATTCCTCTTTAATATTTTGCATGGATTCAACTAATTTTAGTTGGTCTATCATAACACAATTTCTTTTTATAAACTTGAATCGCAGGCACACAGATTTGAGTCAAATTCTATATTGGAGTCATTGCAAGTCAAAACAGAGACGCTACAACTTCAAAAGGTAAAACCAAATATGAAAAGGAATTAGAGGCAACGTTCTTTAAAGCATTATTTTGACAATGATGTTATGTCCTGACGACCAATATGTTTTTACTGGATAGATAAGTTATTATTTAGTACATGAGTGATTGAGTTCTATGTTTTGACTTGCAACGGAAAAATATGTGTATAACCTGAAACTGTTGGGTTTTCAAGTATGTTAATTCTCTCGTTAGTATGATATTGTTAGTATAATATTGTACGCTTTGCACCTATGTGACCAAGCCCGCACAGATTTGTTATTAGGCTATTTCCCAAAAGAGCTCGTACTAATTAGAGTTGGACTAAGCGTTGTTATAAACTTTTTTTTAATCTTCGGATGCGGGAAGTTATTTTGGCTTCCAACAATAGAAACCACGTAGAAATTTAAATGGAAAACAACTTTTTAACATAGCATTGACATTCACAGATTAAACTCTTCAGTTGGATCATATCGACATACATTTCTTCTTCTTGGAGCCAATGGTTGAAGGGTTCCTACTAATGATGTTCCTCCTTGTTTCACATTTATTCGTCTTAGGTACGGCCGTTTCCATTATTCTAGATTACAGTTTTGGTTAAGTCACTATTTGTTTGATGATTTTTTCATCGTTGCTTCTTTTTTTTTTTTCACTTGTAGGTGTAATGTCAAGAAACTTTACTATAGACAACAAATGCGATTACACTGTCTGGCCAGGAATCTTAACCATGGCTACTGACCTTTCGCTTTCCACCACCGGCTTTTCCCTCAAGAAAGGCGAGTCACGTGTCATCTATGTGCCACCGTCATGGACAGGTCGTTTGTGGGGCAGATCGCTCTGCTCCACCAGCTCAACAGGGAACTTCTCCTGTGCCACGGGAGACTGCGGCTCCGGAAAAATCGAATGTTCTGGAGCCGGAGCATCGTCTCCAACGACGATAATCGATTTTACCCTTGACGGTCCCAATGATGAAGACTACTATGATGTAACTGTCTCGTATGGTTACAACCTTCCGTTGGTTGTTGTCCCACGGCTTTCAGGGAGTGGCCGGACATGTAGCACCGTTGGTTGTGTGGTCAACTTGAACAAGACGTGTCCGTCCGAGCTTAGGGTGATGGGAAGCTCCAACAAGGAACAGCCCATTGCTTGCATGAACGCTTGTGACAAATTCGGGTTGCCGGAGTTTTGCTGCTACGGTGAATATGGCACACCTGAAAAATGCAAACCGACGCTTTACTCCAAGAATTTCAAGAACGAGTGTCCACTCGCTTATAGCTATGCTTATGACGATAGTAACACCACGGTCAGATGCTCAAACTTAGCTAACTACATCATCACCTTTTGCCCGCCGATTACTTTGAACGCCAACAAGTAAGTTCCCGTAAACACTTCACTTGCTATTTCTTCATAGGCGTTAGGCATCACATAACTTTAGTTTTGACCATCTCTTAATCCTAGTGATATGTTCTAGATAGTTAAAATATATGAATAGGCAAGTTTTAAAAAGTTATGAATGTGAAAAATATTATACATTGAGTAAAAGATAGGAAAACTAAAAAGATCCTAAAACTCATAAGAGTCTAGGCGAAACCTTAATGTCTGATTAGCAAAACATTGTTATGTTTAGAGATAAAACATTGGTATGTCTTATAAACTGATATGTATGTAATAATGTCACTTGTTGGATAGCAACGACATCAGCTCAGCGTCTCAACCCTCCAAGGAAACTAATGGAAGAACAAAACGTAAGCTTAGTTTATGTACATTTCTGACCATTATTACTCATGTTTTTCTTAGCAAGATTTCTTGTTTGAATTATTTTTCAGGAAAATTATCATCGAAGTTAAAACTCATAATTGGTACCAGTCTCGCTCAAATCCATCTGATTTTACCATTGTTTACAAAAAACACCTAGGTTTATATTCTTGTTTATTATCTTATCCAGGAGTCACAGCAGCAGCTCTACCCATCGTGATCATGATTTTCGTCGTAATAATATTGAGAACAAAGAATGAAAGAGAGAGTGATTGGAATGACCAGAATGTTGAAGCAGTTGTAATGTTGAAACGATATAGTTATACAAGAATCAAGAAGATGACAAACTCATTTGCGCATGTTCTCGGGAAAGGAGGATTTGGAATTGTCTACAAAGGAAAGTTACCTGATCGCGGTAGGGATGTTGCGGTGAAGATCTTGAAGGAAACAGAGGGGAATGGAGAAGAGTTCATCAATGAAGTAGCTAGCATGAGTAGAACATCTCATGTCAACATTGTTTCTCTCCTTGGGTTCTGTTATGAAAGGAACAAGAAAGCTATAATCTACGAGTACATGCCGAAAGGATCCCTCGACAAGTTTATTTCTAAGAACATGTCAACCAAGAGGGATTGGGAAAGATTATATGACATTGCGATAGGTGTTTCTCGCGGCCTAGAGTATTTACACAATCGTTGTGTCACGAGGATTGTGCATTTCGACATAAAGCCACAGAACATTTTGATGGACGAAAACCTTTGCCCTAAGATTTCAGATTTTGGTCTTGCTAAACTCTGTAAAAATAAAGAGAGCATCATATCAATGCTACACATGAGAGGGACTTTTGGATACATTTCCCCTGAAATGTTTTCCAAAAACTTTGGAGCAGTTTCGCATAAATCAGATGTTTATAGTTATGGGATGGTTGTTCTTGAGATGATTGGAGCAAAGAATATAGAAAGGGTTGAATATTCTGGATCCAACAATAGTTCAAAGTACTTTCCAGATTGGGTCTATAAAGATTGTGAGAGGGGAGATATCTCAAGGACTTTTGGAGATAGTATTATAACTGATGAAGAAGAGAAAATTGCGAAGAAATTGGTATTGGTTGCTCTATGGTGTATTCAGATGAATCCATCTGACCGTCCACCAATGATCAAAGTTATTGAAATGTTAGAGGGGAACCTAGAAGCTCTCCAAGTTCCACCAAACCCTTTCTTGCTTTCACCCGGGGCAACGGTTCCAGAAACTCTTGGCGATAGTAATGAGACTTCTACGGTTCTAGAAACTCTTGAAGATAGTAATGAGACTTCAGCCTTCTTTAATCCAAGTCATTAAGAAAGAGGTACTTGCGTGACTAGTGAAGATGGTTTATACTTTTCCAAAGAAGTGCTTCGACAAACTGTTGAAGAGAGACAACATGGGTCAAGATCCTCCTAAACTAAAGTCAACCGGAGAAAGGATGATCTTAAAACTTGTCAAGATCTTTGAGATAGTCTTTTCGATTTGTTTTTAGAAACTTCTGACTTAACTAGTGTTAACTCTATGATTATTAGATGATGTTTAATTATTGACGCTGACACTCAACATTGTTGGTTAATGAATACTAATTTCTGTTTTTTTATCGGATATTTTTTAAAATTATAGTAATATTATGAAACTTTCAAATACAACTATTTAATAAAAATAAAATTATCACAATTTTGATGAACGAAGTGGAAGCAAGCGAAAAGAGTTAGAAACTCGGAAAAGAGTCTAGAAAAAAAATGGAAATCTCAACACAAATTACAAGAAATATAAGAATAACTGAATATTTCCTAATCTTCTATGAATTCTCTTGATAATAATTAGTAAAATTTCGTCGAAAAAAAAATAAAATAAAAAAATAGTAAAAAACCATGCTTTGAGGTTTGAGCCACAATGTGAGAAGGTAATGAAGTAATCACACATTCACACAAAACCTTAAAAGAAGACACGCTTTGAGTAAGACAAACATAAAAGAAGACAATAAACAAACAAAAAAATTTCGATATGATCCATACCACACAAAAAAAAAGAAAAAAAAAAAGTTTTTGCATAAGTTTCGTCAAACTCTGATTAATAGTATTAGAGAGCCGATCTGAGATCAATTAAAGCCACTAATTGGTTAATTAAGCTTATCTTTGAGTCACTCTAATCGTTGAAGGCTCACTGTGATTAACGGATTCAACTCGACTAATTCAGCTCGTTGACTGTGGATCTCTGGCTTTGGTCATTTCTTAGAGTGAGTCTAATCTAATCTAATTATTTCTCTTCAATAGCATGTAGCTTCAAATCTCATAGTTTTTTTTTTATATATATAAACTTTGAATTGTAGGTTATATAACTACAAGAAAACATAGCAAATTCCGACGACCATCGATATATATGGTCGGAAAGTTGAGTCAACTTCTATATTGGAGTCATTGGTCAAAACAGAGACGCTGATTGAGTCATTAAGAAGGTAAACCAAACATGAGATAACATTCTTTAAAGCATTATTGAGACAACGATGTAATGTCCTGACCACCAAATATGTTTTGACTGCATTGGATACAAATATGTTTTATATGTATCTTTGTTTCATTGACTTGCAATGGAAAATATGTATATGTATTAGCTGAAGCCACGGAGTAGTCATATAACTTCTTCTTTGAGCCACAATGGTTGAAAGGTTGCCATTGATGTTCCTCCTTGTTTCAAGTTTATTCGTCTCTGGTACGGCCGTTTCCATTATTCTAGATAACATTTTTGGTTAAGTCACTATTTATTTGATGATGCATTCTTCATTGTTGTATTTTTTTTTAAAATTGTAGGAGTAATGTCTAGAAACTTTACTATAGAGAACAAATGTGATTACACTGTTTGGCCGGGAGTTCTAACCTCCAGTACCGTTCAGATCTCCACCACCGGCTTTGCTCTCAAGAAAGGGGAGTCGCGTGTTGTCAATGTGCCATCGTCATGGGCAGGTCGCTTTTGGGGTAGGTCACTCTGCTCCACCAGCTCAGCAGGGAATTTCTCATGTGCCACGGGAGACTGCGGCTCGGGTAAAATCGAATGCTTTGGAGCCGGAGCAATTCCTCCAACTACACTAGCCGAGTTTACATTAAACGGTTCAAACAGTCAAGACTTCTACGACATAAGCGTGGTAGACGGTTACAACCTTCCTTTGGTTGTGGTCCCACAGCGTCCAGGGAGTGGCAGGGCATGCCGGATCGCTGGTTGCGTAGTCAACCTGAACAAGACATGTCCATCCGAGCTTAGGGTGATGGGAAGCCACGACAAGGTACAACCCATTGCTTGCATGAACGCTTGCGAGAAATTTGGGTTGCCGGAATTCTGCTGCTCGGGTGAGTATGGCACACCTGATAAATGCCAACCGTCACTTTACTCTAAGAATTTCAAGAACGAGTGTCCACTGGCTTATAGCTATGCTTATGACGATACAACAAGCACCTTCAAATGCTCCAACTCACCTAACTACATCATCACTTTTTGCCCGCCGATTACTCCAGACCTCACCAAGTAAATTTCCTTCTTGTGGTCACTTTTGATTTTTTCAAAGACTATAGCAGGGCCGTTAGACATCACATAGCTTAGTCTTCACCATTTATAATAGTGATATTTCTGTAATTGTTGATAGTTGAAATGGTTTTGAATTTATAACTACAATGCCAATTTTGTGTGGTGTTTATTGTTGTGTCAAATACGTAATTTGTTGATGCCATACATACTCCCCCACAATGTTTAGTATGTGGTCCAATGTTTGAGCGTTGGTAAATTTTGTTAATAATCATTGTTCAGTTAACAAAGCCTATTCATTTAAATGGTCTAGATATTAGGCAAAACATTAATGTTTGATTAGTACTATTGGTATGTTTAGAGCCTAAAACATTGGTATTATAAACTGATATGTATACAATTCTGTCACTTGTTGGATAGCAACAACATAAGCTCAGCTTCTCAACCCTTCAAGGAAACTAATGGAGGAACAAAACGTAAGTTTATTATAATTACTTTTTTCATATGATTATATATTATGCATTTTTTTGCTTAACAAGACTTCTTGGTTAAATCTTTTTGTAGAAAAATCATCATGGAAGTTAAAACTCATACTTGGTACCATGCCATGTCTCCCTCTATCCATCTTATTATACCTTCGTACACACAAAAAAACAGCTGGATTTTTATACTTCTTGATAATATTATTCCAGGAGTCTCATCAGGAGCTCTAGCCATCATGATCATAATCCTCGTCGTAATTATATTGAGAACAAAGAATGAGAAAGAGAGTGATTGGAATGACCAGAATGTTGAAGCAGTTGTAATGTTGAAACGATATAGTTATACAAGAATCAAGAAGATGACAAACTCATTTGCGCATGTTCTTGGTAAAGGAGGATTTGGAACTGTCTACAAAGGAAAGTTACCCGATAGCGGTAGGGATGTTGCAGTGAAAATCTTGAAGGAAACAGAGGGGAATGGAGAAGAATTCATCAATGAAGTAGCTAGCATGAGTAGAACATCTCATGTCAATATTGTTTCTCTCCTTGGATTCTGTTATGAAAGGAACAATAGAGCTATAATCTACGAGTTCATGCCGAATGGATCCCTCGACAAGTTTATTTCTAAGAACATGTCAACCAAGATGGATTGGGAAAGATTATATGACATTGCGGTAGGTATCTCTCGCGGCCTAGAGTATTTGCACAATCGTTGTGTTACGAGGATAGTGCATTTCGACATAAAGCCGCAGAACATACTAATGGACGAAAATCTATGCCCTAAGATTTCAGATTTCGGTCTTGCTAAACTTTGCAAAAACAATGAGAGCATCATATCAATGCTACACATGAGAGGGACCTATGGATACATTCCTCCTGAAATGTTTTCCAAGAATTATGGAGCTGTTTCGCATAAGTCAGATGTTTATAGTTATGGGATGGTTGTTCTTGAGATGATTGGGGCAAAGAATATAGAAAGGGTTGAATATTCTGGATCCAACAATAGTTCAAAGTACTTTCCAGATTGGGTCTATAAAGATTTTGAGAGGGGAGATATCTCAAGGACTTTTGGAGATAGTGTAACTGAAGAAGAAGAGCAAATTGCAAAGAAATTGGTATTGGTTGCTCTATGGTGTATCCAGATGAATCCATCTGACCGTCCACCAATGATCAAAGTCATTGAAATGTTAGAGGGCAATCTAGAAGCTCTCCAAGTTCCACCTAATCCTTTCTTGCTTTCACCCGAGGTAACAGTTCGAGAAGCTCTTGAAGATAGTAATGAGACTTCAGCCTTCTTCAGCTCAAGTCATTTTAAAAGAGGTACTCGCTTATCTAGTGAAGATGCTTCACACATTTCCAAAGAAGTTTTTGTACAAACTGTTGAAGAGAGTCAACATAGATCGATTTCTTAAAACTGTTCAAGAAGCTTGGAAGTGAGCAACGTTAATTTAAATTCCCCAAAACAAAGCAATGATATCAACGTTAATCTTTCAACTTCTATATAAGAGTTTTTGCGCCAATTTTCAAGATGTTTAATTAGTTACAAAATTCTTTAATTACAATCCAAAAAAAATGTAGCTTTTATTAAACCCTTCACCGAACAAATTAAAATTTTGACTAATAAATATATATATATATATATATATATATATATATATATATATATATATATATATTATTTTTTAAAAATTTAATGTGAAAGTATATTCAAAGAAAAAATAACTTTTTTACAACTAGTGTAGCTTAAATTGAAAAAAAAACAAAAGTTGAAAATAATTGAAAAGACTATTTAAGGATACCTAATCTATTTGTTAAATACTGTATATTAACTTCCAAAATACGATGTATTTTTGTTAAGTTTTTTTCCAGTTTATAGTTAGATCATATCCACACGATGACCAAATGATTGGCTAAGAGATACTCCTTCGAGTTCGTGATCTCTTGTTGTTCTGTCCAAATGATTTAAGGTCTTTTGTCTTATTTTTTTTTTCCCTTGTGGACACACTATTTAGTTTGGCTGAGATGCTTGTAATGCAATTTTATTCGTTTGAAAAAGACAAATTATTATAATATTGGTTAGGTACATTTTAACCTTGAGAAACTTCCTATTTACTTCTTAATCGATATAGAAGAGTCACAAACAAAAGGTGGTCAACATTTACTATTCTTCTCTTTCTTACTTTTATAATCACCCTTTTGGTAGAGTCCTTTCATATTTTATTTTCGTATGCCTTCTTCTTCGAGCTAATGGTTAAAGAGTTGTCACTAATGTTCCTCCTTGTTTCACTTTTATTCGTCTCAACTACGGACAGTTTCCATTGTTCTAGACAACTTATATTTTTAGATAATTTTTTCTTAGTTTGTTAATTGTTTTATTGGCAGGAGTAGTAACGTCAAGAAACTTTACTATAGAGAACAAATGTGATTACACTGTCTGGCCTGGAGTTCTAACCACCGGGACTACTGTTCTGAACTCCACCACCGGGTTCCAACTTAATAAAGGAGAGTCGCGTGTCATCAGTACGCCGTCTTCATGGACTGGTCGTTTTTGGGGTAGGTCTCTTTGCTCCACCAGCTCAACAGGTAATTTCTCATGTGCTACCGGAGACTGCGGCTCGGGCAAAATCGAGTGCTCTGGAGGCGCAGCGCCTCCAACGACTCTAGCTGAGTTTGGCCTTAATGTGGCGAACGGTCAGGACTTCTATGACGTAAGTCTTGTGGACGGTTACAACCTTCCGTTAGTGGTGGTTCCACAGACGCAGAGTGGCCAGACATTGTGTAGCAGCATAGGTTGTGTAGTTAACCTGACCAAGACTTGTCCGACGGAGCTTCAGGTCATGGGAAGGTCCGGCCAGGAAGAGCCAATTGCTTGCATGAATGCTTGTCAGAAATTCAAAACGCCCGAGTTCTGCTGCACGGGAGAGTACTCGACGCCTAAGAAATGTCCACCGTCGCTTTACGCCAAGAATTTCAAGAACGAGTGTCCACTTGCTTATAGCTATGCTTATGACGACGATGCAACCACCACGTTCAGATGCTCAAACTCTCCTAACTATGTCATCACTTTTTGTCCTCCGATAACTCCGAACATCACCAAGTAAGTTCCCATACGTCTCCTCGCTAGTCGCTTTCTATTTCGTCAAAGACGTGGTCACGTAGGGTTGTTTGTCCCAAATGTTCTAGAGATATTGGATCATACACGGCTTTAGTTTTGACCATTCTTTCTAGAGATATTTTCTTGAATGTTGAGTAGTTGAAATGGACCGTTTATTTTGGATCGATAATAAATATTAAATTGGTTTGATGATTATAAGATGTCAATATAGATAACTCAATCCAATCCAATCTTATAAATGGTTTTTTTGTTGTTGGTAAAATCGAATCCAATATTTATTAGGCTTATTAGTTGAACCAATATTTACACCATGTTTAGTAATCCAATATTCTAATAATCCATTATACAAAAGAAAAACAATATTAGTTGTTTATGTGTCTAAACTGTCCATCTAGCCTAGTTAAGTTGTCAACTAAAAATTACATTTTTCCACTTTGGTCAAATTTGTTGAAAACCTAAATAAAATAATGGATTTTAATGTTAATTAGGCAGCCCATTATTTCTATGTCGTATATTATAAAAACAACTTTTATTAGAAAAGGACATTTAAATGAAAATAAATGAAAATATAAAACATATAATACTCTCTATGTCCCAAATCATAGGATATTTAAGTTTTTTGTTTTTTTTTGGTTCCATATCATTAGATTTTCTCATATTTATATGCATAATTTATGTTTATTTAATTAGTATATGTTATGACCAGTAGTATTCTGCAATATTTTTCTATTGGCTAACATTTTTTTAAACAAATGTTAAACAATACATTTTACATGTAGAAATAATAAAATAGTTATGGTTTCTTAAGTTTTCTATTTTCGCCTTTAAAACTTGAAAAATGGGACAAAGAGAGTTGTAAAAGATAGGAAAAATAGAAAAAAAAATCATAAATTCATCAGTCCTTAGATGGTAGGCAAACCCCAAATTTCTGATTAGCACTACCAATTTTTTAAAAATAGTGCTACTTTTTTTTTCTTCATATAAACTGATATATAATAATGTCACTTGTTGGATAGCTCAACCTCAACGGTTGAATCTCCCTCACAGTCTCAACCTCCCAAGGAAACTAATGAAGGAACAAAACGTAAGTTTTTGTTAAAAAACATTTACCTTTACATATCTAATGTTTTTTTTTTTTCTTTTGCTAAACAAGACTTCTTTTATGAATTTTCTTGCAGAAAAATCATCATGGAAGTTGAAACTCATACTTGGTAACATATCTAGCTCAAACAATATTATAGTACTCTTTGTATAAAACAAACACCAAGATTTATAATCTTCTTATTTATCTAAATTATTCCAGGAGTCTCAGCAGCTTTAACAGTGATGATCATTATCATAGTCGTGATAATAGTGAAAAGAAAGAGTGAGTGGAATGACAAGAACGTTGAAGCAGTTGTAATGTTGAAACGTTATAGTTACAAAAGAGTCAAGAAAATGACAAACTCATTTGCGCATGTTCTTGGAAAAGGAGGATTTGGAATTGTCTACAAAGGAAAGCTACCTGATAGTGGTCAGGTTGTTGCGGTGAAGATCTTAAAAGAAACAGAAGGGAATGGAGAAGAGTTCATCAATGAAGTAGCTAGCATGAGTAGAACATCTCATGTCAATATTGTTTCTCTCCTTGGATTCTGTTATGAAAGGAACAAGAGAGCTATAGTCTACGAGTTCATGCCGAATGGATCCCTCGACAAGTATATTTCTAAAAATATGTCAACCAAGATGGATTGGGAAAGAGTATATAAGATTGCGGTAGGTGTCTCTCGCGGGCTAGAGTATTTGCACAATCGTTGTGTCACGAGGATTGTACATTTCGACATAAAGCCGCAAAACATACTTATGGATGATTATCTTTGCCCTAAGATTTCAGATTTTGGTCTTGCTAAACTATGCAAAAATAAGGAAGAAAGTATAGTCTCAATGCTAGATGCTAGAGGAACAGCAGGATACATTGCCCCTGAAGTATTTTCTAAGAATTTTGGAGGAGCTTCGCATAAGTCAGATGTGTATAGTTATGGGATGGTGGTTCTTGAGATGATTGGAGCTAGGAATATAGAAAAGCTTAATAATGCTCAATCCAATAATAGTTCAGTGTACTTTCCAGATTGGATCTATAAAGATTTTGAGCAAGGAGAGATTTTGAGGATTTTCGGAGATCAAATAACCGAAGAAGAAGAGAAAATTGCGAAGAAATTGGTATTGGTTGGTCTATGGTGTATTCAGATGAATCCATTTGACCGTCCACCAATGATAAAAGTCATTGAAATGTTAGAGGGGAGTCTAGAGGCTCTGGAAGTTCCACCTAAACCTCTCTTTTATTTACCCGCAGCAACAGCTCGAGAAACTCTGGAAGATAATGAGACTTCAATCTTCTCTAACCTAACTCAGTTTGAAAGAGTCACTCCTTCAGCCAGTGAAGATACGTTACACTTTTCCAAAGAAGTGGTTCAACAATTTGAAGAGACTCAACATAGATCAGGGTCCTCCTAAACTAAAGTCAATAAGAGAGGGGATGTCTTAAAAATTGTGCCATATCTTGAGGTATTCTTCTAAAGACAGAGCTAGAACCAAGGTGTTATATATATATTTCTCAATAGCCAAGATATCAAGAAACATATTTGCTTCTAGATAAAAATCTTATATACAACTAGATATGGTTTCAAATTTTTTTAGTAAATTTATTGTTCAAGTAACAAATTCTTTTACCCAAAGTAACAAAAAAAAAAGAAAAAAAGAGTATGGGATGGTGCCGTGGTGGTTTTTGGATAGCCATAATTCGGATAGTATAAATCTTGGACCTAGTATCGCATACATGATGTTTAACGGGTAATATGTGCCATAGGATTATAGATTCATGCATAGTCTTAGTCCTCAAGTCTCAAAATATGTAGTTTTAACAGCTAAACAAGCCTCAAAAATTACCAAGTCTCCTCATTATGTTGTTGATGGCCGTGTTAGAGACCACAAGGACTAGTAAGAAAAGTCTTTTAGAGTTAATGAAATAAAGACATGTGCTGAGTTAACTCCCCAAGTTTTTTGTATATGTTCTTGTTGTTTATTTTTGTTTATCAAAAGTGTACCTACGTAAACATTTGGTTTATTGAAGATGTAAACCAAAAGTTTCTCTTCCGATAAGCGGTTGGAATACACTGAAGATAATCAAAATGTTATGCATTTTGACATCACACCTCAAAATGTAGTGCCTAGATATACAATCTTTGCTCAAAAGTCTCGGATTTTGGTCTTGCTCTACTTTGTGAGAAAATAAATAGTAACCATGCAAGATATAAATTTATTTAAGAAAAGATTTTGTATGTTAAAAGTCTAAAACCTTTCGATGTATAAATTTCTGATATGTGTGAATTGATTCGTGTCCTCTATATCCAAAATAATATGTTCTATAGGCTTTGTAAACCGAAGCTAGAAAATAATCGCTTCACATGAAATATCCAAATAATGGATCTGCGAATTTCTCAAGTTTTTCTTATACGTTAACAAGATTCTCCATAACTAGTAAGTGCCAAAATTAATTAAAAACTAAGTGAAGAGCAAAGACTTCTAAAGTCAATGAGACATAGACATAGAAATAGACATAGACATAATCTTTTGTATATGTCGTTTTCACGCTTGACTTGCTCCTTTTGCTTCTTTTTTTCCACGGTTACTGTTTAATCCCTTATCTTGCTCAGCCGAAGCCAAACTATTCACAGATCAACCATGTTCTCTCTATTACTCTTCAGATTCTCTAAACCCAACTCTTGTCTGGTCTTGCTCTTTTTCTTGACATCTTTTAACCAACTACCTTGGGCTTTAAGTAAACCAGAGGTTAGGTTATGTGATACTCTGTTTCAGTGTGGGAATCTCACAGCCGGTTTCCCTTTCTGGGGAGGTGCTCGGCTCCAACCTTGTGGTCATCCATCTTTGGGGCTTCGCTGCGACGACGATACAACAAATTTTACTTTCCTAGTCATCTCAGACCTGATGTACCAGGTTCTCCAAGTAAACACCACAACTGGTACTCTTAAATTAGCAAGGCAAGACTTTTTAGGTCCATTTTGCGAGCTTACATTCAGTAGCGAATCATTGACTCCTGAACTCTTTGAGCTTTTGCCGGAATACAAGACCCTCTTTGCTCACTACCTATGCAACCCTCCTACTCATTATCCTTTGAATTTCTCATGTCCACATATGGGTGTTGGCTTGATGCATCAGAAAGATGACTATTACAATGACTGTGGTGGGAGTCTCAACATCACTGTTCCCATGAGTTATGTTCCTGAGGAGAAACATTTGAATGTATCCAAGTTGGAAAGTGTTCTTAAAGAAGGATTTGAGGTGAAGCTGAGGATTCATGAGAAGTGTCAAGACTGTAAATCCACTGGTGGATTCTGCTCCTACGATGATTCCACTCCAGTTTGCTGCAAGACAAACTTGTCATCAGACACCAAATGCATTCCAATGATTCCATCTGGTTCGACTGGTAAGTATTACCGAACTCTCTCAGCATTTGTCTTAAGAAGAGATTGTGAGTGATTTTAATTGATTTTATAAATGTCCATTTTCAATAACATAAGATTTAGGAAGAAATTTGTAAATTACAAGTTGAATAACAGTGGATTTTAAAAAATTTCCAAAATCCTCTAAAATCATGGTTTGAAATTTGAATACACCCCCCTCCCCCTTCTTAAGAAAATAAATATATTGTGGATAGCTTAGCAGAGCATTTAATAAAAACAAATGAAAAAAAAAAAACAGATCTTCCCTTTCTTCGTCAATCTTTCTTTTGTTTTAATAGAATAACATAAAACTTTTAATGACTTTATAAAAGTATGAATCTAATAATCCCATATTTATAAAAATTTAACCAAACATAGAATGATTTTTTACAAATCAATAAATAGTAAAACCAAACTTTAAAAGAGTTTAATAAAATCTTGATTGAATAACAATAGATTCTACATTACATTTAAAGTCATTAAAACTCTATATAAGTCACAAACCAATACCAGCCCTTAAAGTTATGTCTTGAATATTCAACTGACATTTTTTTCCTCATGCAGGTCTCCTCAAAAGAGCGAAAATTGGTATATGACTCCTTTTATATTTCAAGGGATACTAATAATTTTAGTAACATTTTTTTTCAAAAAAGAATAATTTTAGTAACATACCTTAGTGACACCATAATCTTACGGAGGTCTTGTCTTTTTGTTCGTCTTTAGGCATTGGATTTGCTAGCGGATTCTTGGGTGCCAGTCTTTTCATAGGATGTATGTTCTGTTTCATCATTCGGAAAAGAAATAAATTGGCAGCTCAGTACACCAGAAAAGGGTTCTCAAATACAATGTCAAACACAGAAACTATGGACGTGTCGCTTCACGGTATAGTAGAAATAAAACAGTATAGTTATGAAGAAGTGAAGAAAATTACAAAATCATTTTCAAACACGGTTGGGAAAGGAGGATTTGGAACTGTCTATGGAGGAAACCTCTACGATGGCCGTAAGGTTGCTGTGAAAATCTTGAAAGATTTTAAGGGTAACGGTGAAGACTTCATGAACGAAGTCGCAAGCATGAGTCAAACATCTCATGTTAACATTGTTTCTTTGCTTGGTTTTTGCTATGAAGGGTCCAAAAGAGCAATTGTGTATGAGTTTCTAGAGAATGGGTCTCTAGATAAGTTCATATCTTGCAAGGAGTCATTGAATCTTGATGTGGGTACACTATATAGGATCGCGCTGGGTGTTGCTAAAGGACTTGAGTACTTACATCATGGATGCAAAACAAGGATTGTGCATTTTGATATCAAACCACAAAATGTACTGTTAGATGAAAACCTCTGCCCCAAAGTCTCTGACTTTGGCCTTGCTAAACTCTGCGAGAGAAGAGAAAGCATGATGTCTTTGCTAGACGCAAGAGGAACAATAGGTTACATCGCACCTGAGGTGTTTTCAGGAATGTACGGTAGAGTCTCTCACAAGTCTGATGTTTATAGCTATGGAATGTTGGTCCTCGAGATGATCGGAGCAAAGAACAAAGTACCAAAAGAAACCGATGCTTCCAACCCAAGTTCAGCTTACTTTCCAGATTGGATCTACAAGGATCTTGAGAACGAAGATCATACATGGAAATTCGGTGAAGATATATCTAGAGAGGAGAAAGAGATTGCAAAGAAGATGACCTTGGTAGGTCTTTGGTGTATTCAGCCATGTCCATTAAATCGTCCACCGATGAACCAAGTTGTCGGGATGATGGAAGGAAGTGTGGATGCTCTTGAAGTCCCTCCTAAGCCTTCATTACATCTTTTTCCACAGCCTCTTCCAGAATCATCTTCACTCTCAGAAAATAATTCAAAATACTCTGAGGTATTAACCATGCCAGAGAATTCATATGTTTCAAAGTGTATTTCTTCTATCTGAAAATTAAAATTCTTAAACCTGAAATGTTTCTATGTTTTCTAAGCTCAATTCAAATCCAAATTAAACTAATTAATCTCTACAAATAATAGAGGTTATATCTTTCTTGTTGGATATATCAAGAGTCGTCTAGTTCTTGATGTGTTAAGACTTACAAGTATCTCTTTAAATGAACTCATTCAAAATCATGGATTTGTGAGTTAAACAAGACTCTCTCCACTGCATCTAATAAAGATATATTGTATTTGTCGCTCTCACTCATGACTTGGTCCTTCAACATCTCCAAGTCTCCTTTTTTAAAAAAACTTTGGACATACATTGAGTTTATTTATCAGACAGAAACACAAAGAGTTAAAATCATAATGTAAGATTTACCTTTCAAGATTCTATGTTTCCTAAATTTCAATCCAAATATTTATTGGTTAAAAATAAAATAACTCTGTTCTTAACAAAAACAGAGCTTAGATTTAGTTTGGCTCTTGATGTGTTAAAATTTCCAAGTAAAATAAATCTTATATCTTTCCATTTAATTGGCTCCAGTGCATTCAAACACTCCTTGTCGAGGAATCATCTGTAGGGTCTGTGGAAACTTGTCCAAAGTCACATTGTTTTCACAAAGTGTGAAACAAAGGACTTTTTGTGTTTCTTGACTTCATTTCTATAGTAAATTTTATGCTTACAGTTTTACTAATTGTATCAATTTCACTAAGCATATTATACTTAAAAAGTAATAAATTTTCATGCCTTGTTACTTGTTAGGGTTTAGTTTAGTAATATTGGTCATGCATATTAATGTTATATACCCTTTCTTGCACTCGAAGCAACCGAGCTTAATGACTATTCAAAACTCTTGAACTTGTTTAATGTATTCTCTCTTTCTTTCTTCTCCGTTGAATTATTTACTAAAACCATATTTCCTTCTTTAATCCTCAAGTCTCAAAATATGACTAAGTCTTCTCACTATTGATCGCCGTGTATAAGACGTTTATGTTTAGTAAGATTTCTATCTTTATTGTTCTCTTCATCATCTTCATAGTTCTTAAATTTCCCAAAAGAAAAAAGAAAAAAACAGAGGAGACCACCATGATCAATTTGTCTATGTCTCTAACAATATGGTTGCTCTTTGTGATCCCCTCTTGTGTTTTGTCAGTTGATGAGCGTTACTTACACTGCAGTACTTTTTTTAAATGCGGCAATCAGACAGAACTCTATTATCCCTTTTGGACAGCTGATAGAGAAGAGTGCGGTCACCCGGATTTCGAGGTCACCTGCAGCGGAGATTTCGAAGAGTTTAGTATATCTTCAGTTAAGTTCCAAATCCTTGAGATGAACTATGAGTCTCGTATCATAACACTTGCCAGAAAAGATTATCTCAATAACCTCTGTCCTCAACATCTTGAGACCGCACTTATCAACACAAACGTGCTTCCGTTTTATAAAGACACTGAACTGCTAACTTTTTTCTACAACTGCTCTGGTCATCCCGGTGATTACATTACTCAGCTTCAGTGTTGGCCTGCTCTCATCTAATTCGTATGAGTTTACGTCATCCTGCAAAAAGACCGTTGATGTCGCCGTTTCTCGATCTGCCTTGAAAACAGCAGAGATAAACCAGAGTCTGGAGACGATAAAGAAGGCTCTTGATAAGGGTTTCGAGGTTGCATTCAACAGTGGTTGCTCTCGTTGCTTAGAATCAAAGGGTTCTTGTGGATATAATCACCAGTCGAGAGAGTTCGTTTGCTATTGTAGAAATGAGCATACTTGTGGTCGTGGAGAGGGACCAAAAGGTCATATTTCTTTTGTTCCGTTTTTTTTAGTTTAGTCTGAAACTTATTTGCTAAGGCACTTCCAAAAGAGCCATATATATATATCTTATATATTAGTTGGATCCTTGTTCAGCTTTGGATGTGTGGTATTGTTTGAACTGGACTAGGATTCATCCTTGCTGCCTACGTACCTTTAGGGAATTAAGTAAATTGTAGTTCTCTTATCTATTGTCTTCTTTCTAATAAGTCTTGCTTTCTTCTCTCTTTACTATGCTCTCGAGATGATGGATCTCAGTCTTTTCGAGCTAAGATCGATGGACCAAAATTTAGGTAAAACCGATAGTTGATCCGGCTGGAAAACGCATGAATCGGACTTTGGTACCAAATTAGATTGTGAGCTTCCAACTTAAAACAATTGACAATTAGTGGAGAAACCCATATATCTTATATACTAGTCAAGATCCTTGTCCAGCTTAGTTGTGAGATATTTTTATCCCTAATATGCATAACCTGTACTGAAACTAGTTTTAGCTAACATGAATATGATTTACAATCCTTTTTCATGACCTTTTCAGGCACGATTCTAAGTTATGTCTTAAATTTGAACTGACATTTTTCTCATGGTATTTTCATGCAGGTCTCCCCAAAAAAGCAAAAATAGGTAGGTGACTATTCTTTTCCTTCCATGGAAACTAGTTTCAATAAAACATACCTAAGAAATAATAACATCTAACAAAGCTCTTATCTCTAGGCATCGGACTCGCTTGTGTATTATTGGGTGCTACTCTTCTTACCGGATTTCTCTGTTTCATTATCCAAAAGAGAGTAACTTCACATCATCCAAGACCAAAAGACCATAGCCTAATGGCCTTAATACAACTCAAACAGTACAGTTATACAGAGGTGAGGAAAATTACAAAATCATTTTCACACATTGTTGGGAAAGGAGGTTTTGGAACTGTCTACGGGGGAAACCTTTATGATGGTCGTAAGGTTGCGGTGAAAATCTTGAAAGATTTTAAGGGTAATGGTGAAGACTTCATCAACGAAGTCGCAAGCATGAGCCAAACCTCTCATGTGAACATTGTATCTTTGCTTGGTTTTTGCTATGAAGGGTCAAAAAGAGCAATTGTGTATGAGTTTCTAGAGAATAGATCTCTGGATCAGTTCATTTCTATAGAGAAGTCACTAAATCTAGATGTGAGTACACTATACAGAATCGCGCTAGGTGTTGCTCGGGGACTTGAATACTTACACCATGGCTGCAAAACAAGGATTGTGCATTTTGACATCAAACCTCAAAATATACTATTAGATGAAAAACTATGCCCTAAAGTCTCGGACTTTGGCCTTGCTAAGCTCTGCGAGAAAAGAGAAAGTATATTGTCCTTGCTAGACGCAAGAGGAACAATAGGTTACATTGCACCTGAAGTGTTTTCAGGGATGTATGGAAGAGTCTCTCACAAGTCAGATGTTTACAGCTATGGAATGTTAGTCCTCGAGATGATCGGAGCAAGGAACAAAGAAACAGTGGAATCCACAGCTTCTAACTCTAGTTCAGCTTACTTTCCAGATTGGATCTATGAAAATCTGGAAAACGGTGAGCATACATGGAAATTTGGTGATGATATAACTAGAGAGGAGAAAGAGATTGCAAGGAAGATGGCCTTGGTGGGACTCTGGTGTATACAACCATGTCCATTAAATCGCCCACCAATGAACCGAGTTGTTGAGATGGTGGAAGGAAGTTTGGATGTTCTTGAAGTCCCTCCTAAGCCTTCTTTACATCTTTCTGTAGAGCCTCTACCTCAATCTTCTTCGCTCTCAGAAGAGAATTCAAACTACACTGATGTATTGATATGATCCACAAGTTGAAAACTTATTTTAAGACTCCACCATCATATACTTGGTGTAACCATGCAAGAGAAGTAAGATTAATAAAAAGTTGTATGTTTAAAATAAAAAATGTTTCAAAAAGTATATTTTGTATGTAGCTTTTTTTACCGACTGCTCAGATCTAGTGAAGATGCTGTCTTTTTCAACCGAGTTGCCAAGCCATTTCTACTTATATCGAAGAAATTAAAATTGATAAGGAAGAACTTTCATCTTTTTCTTCATCTCTTATTCCTCGTAAAATGTTAAAACAACTAATTTGGCAAGAAAAGTTCGTACCATACCACATTCTGTCACTTTTGTAAACAACATTCCTCCGAATTTTACATACTAAAGTCGGTATAAAGTATTGTGTCGTGTGCTGCAAGAAAAGAAGCTAATACTAGTTGCATAGTGTTCCACAATCATGGTTTTCTAAAATCAGGCATTTCCAATGGATGCAGGTGTGTAAGTATGTGGAATATGAATATATGATGAAAAGAAGGGCTCATAAAGTTACAGGTGAGTGGGTGACTATGACTCTAGTTCATTAAATAACTAAATGGGGTGGATATAAAGAAAACAGAGCTTGATGATGATAATAGTAGAGTTATAAGTTCTGAGAGTAGTAGTAGAGTTCAAAGCTTAATCCTAAATCCATTATCCATGGAACATGGTGACTAAATAAATAAGGTGGAGGAACGTCTTTTTGGTGGACTTGTCCCTTAATTATGCTGGAATTAAATGAAAGATGTTTGATTTTATTTGGGTTTATTTTTTGTAAAAATTGCAAAATACATCCAATATATTTATGTGAGCATTTCAAAAATACCTCTTTTCAAATACCACTTTTTAAAAAATACATTTTTCAAACTTGATAAAAAAAACCATTAAAAATGTTGAAAATTTATCCAAAGATATGTTTAAGCTTATAAATATATACATAATTAGCTTTATATGTGTGTAAAATTATATAAATATTTCATAAATTCTGTATAAAAACCTTTAAAAAAACATTTAAAAACCTTTTAAACCCTTTTAAAAACCTATTAAAAATCTTTTAAATTTTGTTAAAACGATTTAAAACTTTATAAATTATTTGGATCGAATCTCGTAGTTATTATTTAGAATTACATTAAAAACCATATAAAACTTTATATTTTTCATATTTAAACAATAGTATTTTTAAAAATAAATAGATTAAAGAGATATTTTTGAAAAAAAGTATACCAAAAGGGATATTTCTCTAAAGTTCTCTATACATATCCAAGCAGGTTTTACCAAGTTTTCGAGAAAAGAAAAAGAAATTGAGAGGTCAGATATATTTATTCACGCAAGTCGGCTTTCCCCTTGTTGGCTCGTGAAGGAGTCAGTGGAAGAAGATGATGATACAGTTAGGTGGATTGGCATGTTGCTTAAGCGGCAGCTTTCTTGATTATCTCAGTAAGATACCAGCCAGGTTAGGGTTTTTTTTTTTTACTCTTTTGCTATCTCTTCTCTTTGTGCCTTTCGTATCTTATTGTATTTGAATATTAATCTTTTTCCTTGCTACAGTTTTGTTAAGTCAGTCACTAGGGTTCGCCACATCAAGGATTTGGGTATATATTTTCTTCCTTTATACAATTTAGCTTTTAGTTTGATGGGTTTAGGGTTTAAGTGTTTTGACATGTTTGGTTTCTTTTAGAGCAATTGGTACCATTAGAGAGCAAGGTCGTCGCAGTATCAGGAATCGTTGGATCCGAGACACCTCTTAAGTGTAAGCATAGTGACATGCTCTGTGTTTTTATCGAGGAAACGGTACGTATGGATTTGGATTTTTCTTATTTAGAGAGAAATAATCTCTTATTAGTGATTGAAGTTTTTTTTTTTGTATGTATGTGTTCTTCAGGCACAACAACTATTCTTGAAACGTAATTGGATGTTTTCATGGGTTCCAGATTGTAACTGGATGGTTCCAATCACTAAGGAAGTCCCGTGGTACCTGGTAAAACTGTTGGATTTCAGTTTTGAAATTATTGGAATGTACTCTTCCAAGTCTTTTATATTTACAATATGATCTGTGTATGTGATAGGACGATGGGACAGGTCGTGTTAATGTGGAAGCTAACAAAGTAAGATGCTTCGAATTGAAGGTCGGAAGTAAAGTATTTCAAGAATCAGAGCCGTCATCCGAATGCCACAGAGGCCTCGAGGTCTTTCTTTTTACAATGCAGTTTTCTTTGAATTGCTTACGTTTTCTGTTTTGGTCAATGTTATTGTTGTGTGGCACATCCTAGATGCTTGGAGTTCTACGCACTGAGCGCGTCCTCCCAATTGGTACATCGGTTACTATTATTGGTGAGGTATACCTTTCATCATAATCTTATTTTTACATCAAAATTATACGTTTTACATCTCATTTTGTGTTTATTACTTACCATGTTAAAAGGCTGTTAAGGACAGTATCGGGGGTTTCACGATTCAAGAATCCAAGGAAGTACCTTTCTTTGTCTCATCTTTACCTTTCGATGAGCTCATCTCTTCATTCGGAAAATGGTCAAGGTTTGTTTTTCTTCACAGGATGACTCTATCCTCTTCCTCGAAAATTCTGAGGCTCAAAAAACATCTTTTTGGCAGGAAGCTCAAATATGCCTCCATTGGTTTTACTGTTGTTGGTGTGGTTCTTATTTTAAAGCCTGTGGTTGACTATATGCTAGAGAGAAGGAGGAGACGATTGCTACGGAAAAGGTACGTCGGATATTAAGTCATAAACTTTCAAATAAATGGTCATTCGATATTTTAAGTATCGAGCTTTTTGTTGCAGAGTTGCTGATGCAGCTGTTAAGAGAGCCAAACTAGTAACTAGAGGTATATAATATCCATTAGAATTTTCAGTAACACTTGGAGTTGTTCTGCTTACAAAATCTTTCATCAGGATTGGAAGCTCAAGATGGTGATTTACTTGATCTCTGTGTGATCTGCCTTGAGCACAAGAATGATGCTGCTTTTGTTAGGTCCGACCGCGCGCTGTTTCTCTTTTAAAACTCATCAGGAGCCCTCTCACTAATCGGACATCATAGATTTTGAACATTTTTGTTTGTTTGGTTTGCACTTGTAGGTGTGGTCATATGTGCTGCTGCTCAATATGTTCCTTGCACGTAAAGACCTGTCCTCTTTGCCGTAGACCAATAGAACAAGTTTTAAGGATTTACCGGCTTTGAAGACGAAACTAAGGTCTTGCTCTTTTGAAGACATTGGACTTTATCCTTCCGATCTACTGAAGCCATTACACCAAGAAACAATCATTGAGTCTTGTCTGTAAAGCCTTTGTGGTCGACTTTGATTATAACCAAACAGATTCGAACGTAGTACTTTTGGACTTATTGGTAACATTTGTTTCATGGCATCATGACCCCAATAGAAAGACTTTTATTTTGATTTCATTATTCAAATTGCTTTTTGTAGTTTATTTTTTTTGTCATAATCATCTGTTTGTTAATCACCTTTTTGTGAAGTACATATCGAAACTGATTATTATTTTGAATGATATTCTCGAGTTATTTGGACGATTAATATGTAAAAAAAAAACAAAGTATTTTTTTTTTGGTAGAAAAAAACACACAGTATTTAATGGTATATAATACCCTTTTGGTTTTAATTTAAGTGATGTTTTAGTCAAAATTATTTATCTAATTTTAAGTGTGTTTTTGACAAATCATATTTTACATAATATTTTCTTATTGTAGTTGAATTCATTTTAATTAATGATGTTTATATGGAAAATAGGTCAATTATATGTTTTTTAGTTTTTGTTTAAGAACTTTAAACATCACTTAAAATAAAACGGAGGGAGTAGCTCGAGTTTTAATCCGAAAAATGTAAACCGCAAGTCCTTCACCGATGCGGTATTTATACACATGATCAAATTCAATCCAAATTATTATTGTTATTTTTTAATAACCTAGACCATACATCTCTTCAGATCTGAAACTAAAATAGGTGATATGGTCTCGTCTAAAGCGTTATTCGGACCGAAGATCTTTAGACTATCGCAAAAGATCCAAATTTACATTAACGATTTTCGAGAATAGTTTCAAAATTTCCCCAAAATGGTGTGTGATCAGCCCCAGCTCTAGACATGTGTACAACAAAATGTCCATTCATTTTTTTGTTCTTTTTTCAACTATATGTATGGTTTAAATATTATTTTCCAAAAGATCTGGAATATTTTTCTTTTTTTTTTTTCAGCCCAGGGACCTCAAATTTATTGGGCAAAACTCCTGTTCAATGTCAATATGTTAAATCTTTTGCTTTTGATGCTCTCTTGTGGTGTTTATTGTGTGTACAAGTCTTCTAAATAATTTGATGAGAGGATTGGTAATGTTAATTATTATATAATTTGAATATATGTTATTTATATTATATTTTTAATTGATAGTACATATAAATGAGAGATTAATCAGAAATGATTGGACTGGAATTGGGATTGGGAGCCTCAAAAATATTACAGCAACAAAGATTTTCAATATGAAGACCAACTATGTATTTTTGACAATAGCCTCCTGTATGCCCCATAGATTTGCATGTTTTATTGCAATGGGACTTGCTTTTACATCTCTTCACACATCGGGGATTATTATCTTGACCTGTTTTTTCATACATAAAATAAAAAATTTAGTATATAAGAACATGAAATGAGCAATTTAATACAGAACTTTAAAGATAATTGAAGAACAAATTTTGATCAAATAAATGTGTTACCAGAAATCATTGGTACAATGAAGAGAGCAATCATTAGCAGTGGTAATAGATGATTCAGAAACATTTTAGTTTTCATTTCTTTTGTTTGTGTGGAAGAGTAAATAAATCTTTTTCAACCTGTGGCTTTTTCTTTGTAATATTTTAGTACTTAATAAGAATGAATTGTCTATAAGAACATTTATGTAGAAATACATATATACATATATATAGATCTTCCATATTATGTAATGAGGTTAGTCTATATATTTAAAGTTAGTCTTTTAGTGCTTGAGTCAAGACCACATTAATTTTTAGCTTTTTATGTTTCCTTTATTTAATTCTACTATATTTGGTACTACATTTTATTTCCATATATTACTTATTCTTATTAATAATTAATTACCAAATCTATATATCCCCTATATAGTAAAAGAGGAGTACACTTTTTCTTCAAAAAAAATTTTTAAGTAAAATTACAAAAAACCTAAGGAACTTCCAAAGCTTTGTCGATTCATTAAGGGTATTACTGTACATTTCATACGACCCGGGTCGGGTCAATCTCAGGAAAATAACCCGAAATTCACAGATGGATGGATATCCCTCACATTTAATCGGAACAACGACACGGTTCTGACCTGTTTTTGTTAATGGGCTGTGATAATTGATGGGCTTCGACTACATGTTTGACCCGCCATACTTATTTGCACGTACATCATATTCTTTTTTTTTTTTTTTGTCATCAACACGTACATCATATTCATTTTTGGAAATATCAACCGATTTGTCATTGACTCCAAGATTCTTTCACATTATAATTAAACAAAAAATCTATTAATGGGAGTTTGAACATATTTCCACCTACAACTGTAGAAACATATTTAATACCCATCTATATCTAACCCGTAATATTTGCGTTAACTTGATTCACTTCGATTCTATAGAATATTAAAATTTTATACGAGAATATCCTCTATTATTCGCTAAATATTTTACATAACTTATATCATATACTTGATTCGTATATATAAGAGATATCCTCATTCATTCTATAGCATACTTTCAACCAGTTCTTCGTACTCTAATAGCTATATCCCCTATATATAGTAAAAGAGATATCCTCATTCATTTCTATAACTAATTTAAAATAATAAATTAAATGCATTTATTATTATCCTTTCACATTTAATTGATTTTATCTTAATTTATTATATTAAAATATATAATATAAATATAGAATAGAAATTCATATTTTTTTTAATATGTTGCAATTTGAATTTTTCAGAACAAATATATATTACTCAACTGACAAAGAAAATTTTATTATAAACTTAAAATCTTATTAAAATAAAATTTGGATATCTAAAACGGGTTGGCTAAATATTATACTTTATTTTTCATAACATTATATATTATACTTTATTAATTTAAAAAGGTGTGAGACATACCACATCGGTTAAATATTTTGGATAATGATTTTAAATCATTATAAATATGACCAGTATGCTTCTAACTATGAATGAAGTTTGGATATTATAAACTTAAAATATTATTAAAATAAACTGAAAATCTTATTAAAATAAAGTTTGGATATCTAAAACAGGTTGGTTAAATATTATACTTTATTTTTCATAACATTTTACATTACACTTTATTGATTTAAAAAGGTGTAAGACATACCACATCGATTACATATTTTGGATAATGGTTTTAAATCATTACAAACATGACCAGTATGCTTCTAACTATGAATGAGCATGAAGTTTAACTTATCGGGCTTTCAATTTTAAAAGTGTTGTTCGGATTAATAGAGTTATTTATTTGAGCATATAAAATTTTCAAAAGTTCAAAATATTATAATTTTTAAATGTATTAAAGTTTAAAATATTTTAATATTGAAACTTTTAAAATATTCATATATAAAAAAATTTTAGAATCTTTAAAATATTAGAAACATGTCATAATATTTTAACAACGGGTCATAACATGATACACACCATATAAGTTTAAAAATTAAATACTTTGTAATACCAAAACGATTATATGCAAAATTGTTCATTTTTACGGGTCTTAAAGAACATAATTAAATCAACTTTTAACAATGGTACATACAAAATCTTATTATCAAAATATACTATTCAAATATTGCTTAAATCGAATTTATAATACGAGTAGTATAAAAAATATATTATATTATGTATCAAACTATATAAATCACATGTAATTGTGTTAAATTCACAATTATATAGTAGAGGGAGTAATCATTAATATTTTTAAGAATGCAATCAGTTACAGATTGGTCATTCAAAACATATATCCGTTATAGATATGTATGATTCACCGTAATCAACTCTATTTATTTAACACAGCATTATGGACTAACCATACTAACCATACTCGCTAATGTTTTTGGATACTATTTAATACAAACATATTAGAAACTTAGTTACGAAAGCAAAATCATGATATAAAAATAATATATTTGTAAAGAAAAACAAATCTTAAAATACGGTACATTTGTATCACTTAGTAAATTATAACATATTAATAATAGCCTGATAACTTTTTTTTTAACTCGATAACTTTCCTCCGCGCTGTAGCGCGGGTTCGATTCTAGTACATATTTAATAAAGTTGCCAAACTATTTTTTTGATTTTTCAAATAATTAAGTATAGACAATAAAGATTCCAATTATATTAATGCAATAGTCTTTTCAATTGGTAATTAATCAAAATAAACATATATAAAATGCATTTCAACACTAAATAATTCTTCAGTATAACAAAAAAATTACCCGGAAGAATGAAAATGTATTTAATAAATTTTACCGGTCCCAAGTTGGTCCATTATAAAAAATAACCAAATTCGATAAGATAATAAGATAATATTGTTTTTTTAAATCTCTGTGTAAAATATAGTCCCAATATATAATATCATCAATTAATAATCACTATATATATATATATATATATCATTTATCATATATCATATAAATAGATATGTTGAAATATGCTTTTACTTTTTTGTAAACTTGAATTTTCTCCTCGACCTCATCTCTATAAAAATATATTTATGTTATTTTCTTAAACTATAATCTTATAATATACTCCATAACATCAGAAAATAACCAAGGGTTTTTCTATTTATGAGTATGCATCATATTCATTTTTTTGTTTATTTTATAGGATGTTAAAATATAACAATTGAGGTATTAATCATAAATTTAAATTTATATATTTAATTTGTATATATGTGAATTTATTTATTACATTTTTAATTTATTATTAATTTTTTTTCATAAATACAGAATTCCATTCCAAACTATAAAATTTTATATAAGAGAAAATTCTCTCTAATAACCTTTTTATATACCCTTTTGCAAAACTACCATTTTTCCATTTTTATTTTTGTCCTTTTAGGTTACCCTTTTGTGAAAATACCCTTCCTTGGTGTCCATTTTCAAATATACACTCTTCTATTTAGAAAATGATTAAATTACCCTCATTTAGTAGAACTCATGATGAAGAAAGAAATATTCCTTCCAACAAAAAAATATTCGGAAATTTTTTGGACAAAAACTTTTCCGCCAAAAATTTTTGACAAATATTTTCCTGCCAAAAGATTTCCGCTATTGCATAAAAATCCTTGTAAATATTTTAAAACCCTTATAAAATCCTTTAAGATACCATGTAATACCTTTAAAACATATGTAAACCCTTTAAAATCCCTATAGACTTCCAAAATCTTTTAAAACCTCTTGCAAATCCTTTAATAAAAATTTTTGTAAACTTCTAAAACCCTTTTAAACCCTTGTAAAATCTTTAAAATACCATTTTAAAGCCCTTCCTGATGCCTTTAAAATCTCTTGTAAACCCTTTAAAAACCGTGTAAAATTCTATAACCTTTAAAATCCCTTGTAAATCTTTTAAAACCATTTTAAATCTTTATAAATGTCTTTAAAAATCCTTATGAATCCTTTTATTTTTTTCTAAATCCTTCTAAATACCTTTAAATTACTTGTTAATCATTTAAAAACCCCTTTTTAAATCCTTGTAAAATTTTAAAAATCCTTTGAAAATCTTTTAAAAATCCTTGTAAATCCTTTAAAATCGTTATAAACTTTTAATATCTTTTTAACCCCATTGTAAATCCTTTAAAACTCATTCAAAAACCTTTGTAAGCTTCTAAAAATCTTTAAAAACCATTACAAATCTTTTATAAACCATTTAAAACCCTTTAAAAATCTTTGTAACCCGTTCAAGAATATTTAAAAAACTTTTGGCGGAACAGTTTTTGCCAGAAAATTTTTGGTAGGAATATTCAGTCTAAAGGAAGGAATATTCTTTCTACTAGGGATAAAATGATCATTAAAATTTAAGAGATGTCAAAAATGAAATTGGCAAAAAAAGAGGTTAATTTTGCAAAAAGGTATGTTAAAAATGTTATTAGAGAGAATTTCTTAGCTGAATAGATTATCAAAACTTATTTATAAAATAAAACGTTCAAAATATTTATGTCGTACATAATCCAAGATTCAAATTTGGTAGAGTTAACTTACATGTTTATTTTGTGATAATCTATATTAACATTTTTGAAATACCTTTTGTGTTCTACCCTTTTATTTTGTAATATTTGCATGATTAAACATTTACAATTTGATTAAATAATAAAAGTTTAAGGTAAATTTTGTAATTAAATCATAATAAAATTACAAAATTAGAAATCAGTATTTATTACATTTAACAAAATTTCCTAAAATATCTCCCTTATAAATCAAATATTTCTCCAATATCTTTATATAATCTTTTTTTTTTTTGAAAATTATATTATTACATAAAACATATGTATAGAAAAATATAATTTTTTTTGCATATGTTGCAATTTGAATTTTTGAAAACGGATGTATATTACTGAATCGATACAAAAAATATATGATGTACTAAAGTATTATTGATAATGTGAAGCACGGGTCATGTGATGGAACGAGTTATAAATTACATATATGTTTATACGGGTTGTCTACTATAGTCAAGCTCACAAAACATTTTAACTTAAAATTAGACTATTTAAACGAAAGATGTTATGCCAACATCATTTCATTATTTTGAATATTATACTTATTTAGTTAAGTTGATCAAATTACGATTATATACAAAAAAATTATCATGCCATATAGAATTAACAATCAAAATACAGTAGTACAATCTTATATACCAAACAAAATTTAAAAAATAATTCATTTTAAAATATCATCTCGCAGTAAAAAATAATTTATTTTAAAATATTGTTCCGCGGTGTACCGCGGGATAAATTCTAGTTAAGAAACAAAATCAAGTATTGATATTATTTTATTTTATCAAAAAAGGATTCAAACAATGGAAAAGGTTGACCAAGTTTATTATAACATTTTATTTTCTTAATTTGATTACTTGGATAGTTCACATATCATATAAACATCATACTTTCAAATCTTTGATTCATCATCATAATACTTAGTTCATCTAAGGTGGTGCCCACCCCAACTAGGTGGCACATTTGAAAAGGTCGGTTTTATCTCATCGTGGCTTGGTGGCGGTGGTCGGATAGGACGACCCCAACCAGTCAGTTTTGTCTCATCGTGGCTTGGTGGCGGTGGCCGTATAGGACGACCCCATCCAGTCGGTTTTGTCTCATCGTGGCTTGGTGGTGGTGGCCGTATAGGACGACCCCATCCGGTCAGTTTTGTCTCATCGTGGCTCCCTTCAGATCCTAAAAGAGAAAGGCGAATTCAATAAACAACTTATTATTGGATTATAAGTGTAAAATCGGCAATAATGAGAGAAGATCTTTGATATTAGTAGTATAAAATATCTAATTATATTATTTAAAACATTCTCAAATTACTTGAAGAACACAATGGAAGAAGGAGCAAAAACGACATGAGAACCACCAGCTTCATCTTTGAAAGCATTTTTATTGCTGAGGTAATAAGATATATATTTTGGTTTTATTGTTTGGAGGAGTGACACAAACTTCTCTATATATATATAACATACACAAGTTCATAGTTATCTGTTGGTGCACTACACATTGACTACAATTTAAAACTAAATCTTTTGGTTAAAGATTTTCTTTCTTGGCAATTAATATCATTACAATTAGTCAACAAAGCTTTAATTGGTTTTCAAAAAATCATAAGGAAATTAATAAACAATAAAGACACTTTGATATCTAAAAATATAGTTAAAAAGGAACACCACTCACTTTAATTAACTATATAACTACAATAAAACACAATCATCATTAATAAAAATAATAATTGAAGATCTTATCATATATACACATAGTGATTTATCCTATTGTTATACCATGGATTTTACTGGTTTTAACCATCATATAAGTAGTCTTTATAAAGTCTTTTTATACTTTTTCAAGTCTTTTAGGGGTGTTATATAATTGGAGATTTTAATGGATTTCAATTAACATAAGATTTTAGTGAATTTTAAAATCCTACTATATTAATTGAGAAGTACTGAGAATAACATTAGAAAGTGTAAAATTACATTAAAATGCCATTAGAAAAAGTACAAAAAAGGATAAAATCACTAATGTAAACCCTTTAAAATACTTTGTAATGCCTTTAAAACACATGTAAACCCTTTAAAACCCCTATAAACTTTCATAACCGTTTAAAACCTCTGGTAAATCCTTAATAAAAACTTATGTAAACTTCGAACACCCTTTAAAACCCACTTGCAAAATAATTAAAAAACCATTTTAAAGCCATTGTAAATGCCTTTAAAAACCCTTGTAAACCCAATGTAGAATTCTAAAACCTTTTAAACCCCCTTGTAAATCCTTTAAAACCATTTTTAAAGTTTTGTAAATGTCTTTAAAAATACTTGTAAATCCTTTAAAAACCCTTTAAAATTCTTGTAAATTTTTAAAAACCCTTAGGGCATGGGCATCGGTGTCCCACATATTTGTCCCAATTTTTAATTTAAAATAAAAAATTAACCAATCGCGGGCCGCCACGTGGCAGTAGGGCCCGCGAAAGAGAGAGGGACGGTCCTGTTTAGAGAAACAACCCAATTTTTTTTTCCTTTTTTTTTAATCGAAAATGGTGGGGAACAGGGATTGGGACCAGCAATGCCCATGGTCTTAGAAAATCTTTTAAAAGTCCTTGTAAATCCTTTAAAAACTGTTATAAAGTTCTAAAATTTTAAAAAACCATTATAAATCCTTTAAAACCATTCAAAAACATTTGTAAGCTTCTAAGACCCTTTAAAAACCATTACAAATCTTTTAAAAAACATTTAAAAACCAATATAATTCCACTTTAAAATTCCTTTAAAAGACACTTTAAAAATCCTTGTAAACCATTTAAAAACATTTTGGCATGAAAGATTTTGCAAAAAAAAAAAATTGGCGGGATAATAGAAAATTTTTTGGAAGAAATATTCTTTCAACTAGGGGTAAAATGGTCTTTAAATTTTAAGAGAGGGCAAAAATAAAAATGGCAAAAGTGTAGTTTTGCAAAAGGGTATGATGAAAAGGTTATTAGAGAGATTTTCTCATAAATTAATATCAATATAAATTAATAAAATATTGTAGTCCCATCATTATTAATTTGTAGAGATTTTACTGTATAAGGATTTAGCCGTGGTATACCGCGATACAATTTCTGTTTCGCACAGTGTTTATTTAATCACTTTGATTTAACATGTCTAATATTAGTATATGGTGGTGTTAAAAAAATGGATATAATCCGTATCGAGCGTCAGATTAATGATATTTTAAATTTTTATTAAAATTGATTCAAACTATTTCTGCCATACAATTTGTCGTACAATATAACAAGTCCAATTTGTACAATTTGATCTGTGTTTTAGGCACTTTCATGGATCATACTTGGAATGATACTGAACTATCTTCTTTAGGGAAAGACAATGGAAGCATAAGCGATGCAGTTAAATGCAAAAGAGACTTAGGAGGAGCTTCAAGAGCGCTTAAGCTTCCCTCCATCATCTCAACAACTCTGTTCATCGATGGGCGATCCGATGGGCATGCTTGAATACATGATAATCCCACAAGAACCATCTTTTTCGCGAAATCTTCATCCTCGTCTTCTGTTATCTCTTCATTGAGAAGTCTTTTACATTCTTTCTTTTCAAGATCTGTATAGATCCAATCTGGGAAGTACATTGAACTGTTGTTGTTGTTGGATACTGAGCTCCTACTTCTTGCTCCTATCATCTCAAGAACCAACATTCCATAACTATACACATCCGACTTGTGAGAGACTTTCCCATACATTCTTGAAAACACCTCGGGTGCAATGTACCCGATGGTTCCTACCGTCTTTGACATCAACAAGACACTCTCCTTACTCCCACATAGTCTTGCAATTCCAAAATCAGAAATCTTTGGACAAAGATCTTTTCCCAAGAGTACATTATGTGGTTTTATGTCGAAATGGATGATCCTTGTCTTACAAGCATAGTGCAAGTACTGAAGTCCTCGCGCAACTCCAAGTGAAATCTCATACATTTTTCTCAGATCAATCTTCGATGAAGCCTCACCCGATATAAACTTATCGAGTGACCCATTCTCAACAAATTCATATATAATTGCGCGTTTAGAACTTTCATAGCAATATCCAAGCAGAGAGACAATATGAACATGAGATGTTCTGCTCATACTCGCCACTTCGTTAATAAAGTCTTCACCATTACTCTTTGACTCTTTCAAGACCTTCACTGCGACCTTAAGACCGTCCCCAATGGTTCCTCCATAGACTATTCCGAATCCTCCTTTCCCGATTTCTTGAGCGAACGAGTTTGTGATTTCCTTGACCTCTTCGTAGCTATACTGTTTTAGTGGAACAAGTTCCTCAAAATTCTCAATCCTTGGATGTGTTAGTGCTTCTATCTTCTCGAAAAAGTATTCGATCACTGATGCAATCAAGCTTCCTACAAATAAGATTGTTGAAGGTACAAGAAGAATTTTCTCTTACAAGTGTAAGAGTGTTGAGTTTGTTGTCTATTTGGTGAACATCATATGAGATGTTGGAGATTGTTAAAGAGGTTCTGTTTGAAACTCTGTCGCAGCTAAGTTTGAGATATGGATTACCACAAGGATCACCACGGTCTTCTCCCCAGAATGGGAAGCTTGCCGTAATGTTTCCACACTCGAAAACAGAGTCACATGAGAATAGGGATGGGTTACTTAGAGTACAAGGTAGAAACATGGAGAATACCACCAAGATAAACCCTAAGAATGTTATATATAATATTATAAATAAACAAAGAATAATATTAAAAAAAAGTATAATATTAAACTTATAAATTATAAACTTATAAATTTTTGATTAAAGAATAATATTATGTTTTTTTTTTCCAATCATTTGTGTTTTTTCATGAGAATTATAAACTTATATTTTTTTTTAGTTTTGTAAAAAATTATAAACTTATAAATATTAAAAAAAACAATGGTAACAAAGATGTGGTTAAGGTCTATGCACCTGTCGTAAGAAAAGTCTCCCCCACTTTATCAAGTCAACTAAAGTCTTCCCTTTCTCTGTAGCCTCGTTTACTTTGTGTGTTTTTTTCTTCTTGGTTTCTAATCACACCTCATGGAAACTTTGTCCTCCATGGGATCTCAAACAACTAGGTTCTGTCGGATCTTGTTATTTTTGTTTTATTATCTTCCTTGTGCTCTAAACCAACTAGATTCAATTTGGTTGTGTAATGATCTGTTTCAGTGTGGAAACATCACAGCTGGTTTCCCATTCTCTGGAGGACTTCGTGATGAAACTTGCGGTCACCCTTCTTTGAAACTAAACTGCAACAAAGTCTCAAACACAACCTCTCTTATCATCTCGGGCTACAACTACACTGTCCTCCATATAGACTACAACAACGACAACAAATCCCTCACTCTTGGACTATCAAGACAAGATTTCTCAGGTCCTTTCTGTTCTGCTTCATTCTCAACCACACTTTTACCTTCAGATCTCTTCCAGACTTTACCATCTTACAAAACCCTAGATGTGTTCTTTGCTTGTGACCCACGTCGCTATTTCCTTGGGAATTTCACATGTCTAGTGAAAGGTCTTGGCTCGGTTGTTCAAAACTCTACATATCGCAAACTTTGTGATGAGAGTTTCAGTGTGATAGTTCCTACGAGTTATGTTCCAGAGGAAGAAGTTTTGGATTTGGCCCATTTAGAGAGTGTTCTTAGAGAAGGGTTTGAAGTGAAGCTTAAGATGAATAAGATGAATTGTGCACCAGAATGTTTACCCTCTAGTACAAATTGCAGTTTTTTGTCCGGAGATTGCTGCACATACACTTCAGGAACACTGACTTGCGGTACTACAGGAAACTTATTTCGCGGTAATGTCACCTAAAAACCTCACCTAGTCAATAAGATCATAAACGTTACTAACTTGATATATTTCAATATCCGATTATTCCATGATCTTTATATTTGCAATAATGTTACAGAAATGATCCCAAGTACTCGCTCCATTCTGATAAAAATTGCAGAAGGTTAGAATTTACCGATTCGACTTGTTTCGAACATTTGAGAGGACTATAACTAACTTTACTATTGTGTTTTTCAGTTATAGGGCCAAATGTAGTTATATTTGTGGTGATGGTTATAGCATTCTTGATCTGGAGGAGAAAAAAAGCAAAGGCACTGAGAGATCACAACCTCGAGGCGCTTGTAACCTCGAGACGGTATAGTTATAAAGAAATCAAGAAGATTACAAAATCATTTACAGAAGTAGTTGGACGAGGAGGGTTTGGAACTGTATATAAAGGGAGTCTACGTAATGGTCGTAAAGTAGCCGTGAAGATCTTGAAGGATTCGAAGGGGAATTGTAAAGAGTTCATTAACGAAGTCGCGAGCATGAGCCAGACATCTCATGTTAACATTGTTTCTTTGCTTGGTTTCTGCTATGATGAAGGATCCAAAAGAGCAATTGTATATGAATTTCTAGAGAATGGGTCGTTGGATAATTCGTTGGGTCTTGGTGTGAGTACACTATATGAAATCGCGCTAGGTGTTGCTCGGGGACTAGAGTACTTGCACTATGGCTGCAAGAAAAGGATTGTGCATTTTGACATCAAACCACAGAATGTACTGTTAGATGAAAATCTTAGACCCAAAGTTGCTGATTTTGGCCTCGCTAAGCTCTGGGAGAAGCAAGAAAGCATCTTGTCATTGCTTGACACGAGAGGAACAATGGGATACATTGCTCCAGAATTGTTTTCAAGAATGTATGGGAATGTATCTCACAAGTCAGATGTTTACAGCTATGGAATGCTAGTTCTTGAGATGATCGGAGAAAGGAACAAAGAAAGAGTCGAAAATGCTGATTCTAACCACAGCTCAGCTTACTTTCCAGATTGGATCTACAAGGATCTTGATAATGGTGATTACCTAAAGCTTTATGGAGATGAACTAACCCAAGAGGAAGGAGATCTTGTGAAAAAGATGATCTTGGTAGGTCTATGGTGTATTCAGTTCTGCCCATCTGATCGTCCATCGATGAACAGAGTCGTAGAGATGATGGAAGGAAGTCTGGATTCTCTTAATCCCCCTCCTAAGCCTCTTTTGCATATGCCAATGCAAAGTATTGCAGAATCATCTCAGCTATCAGATATTGCAGAATCATCGCAGCTATCAGATATTGCAGAATCATCTCAGCTATCAGATATTGCAGAATCATCTCAGCCATCAAAGGAAAGCTCAATTTACTCTGAAGTATGATTTCATGATTGTTTGGAATATCCATATATATTATGTTTAGCTTCAAAATGAATGTATGTAAAACCGATCATATCTGATAAATAGGCCATATTAAACAGTAAAGTGTGTCTCAAACTGATAGGAAATCGTAAGAAAACAAGAAGAAGACTAAATCATACCAAAGTTTTCGATTCGTAAGGAGATTGAGGAACATCATCATCATCAGGGTCCGGAAAAAGTATTTCCCGGAGCAATGCTATGTCATCTGCATTGGAAATCCCTATCTCCTTGCAAATGCGTCTCCCCTCGTATTCCTGACACTCGAGCTCTCGTTGCAGCTTAGATTTCGCCTCGTCGAGCAAAGCCATAGCGATTGGGAATTTTGCTTCTTCTAAGTGGCCTAAGCTATCGATTTCTTTCTGGACAATGTTTATTTGGTCCATAGATGTGAAAGATCACTTTAAGAATACTCATCCCATCAATGGAACCCATCAACGACAAACCAATTAAGAGACCTTTAACAAATGTATTTAATCAGATATGTTTCATATTGCTACAAACATTATCCAAACTTTCTAATAACTGAAACTACAATTTATGCTCCAAGAAGATGTGTATGGATGTTCATACAAAGAATCCGCCAATGCTGGAAACTTGCAAAGGCATCAATCATCTAAACAAAGAGAGTATCAAACTAGTGTTTGCGAAAAAAGGTCTTCATGCTTTGACTTCCACTTGCTTAGGGACATGTTCAGCTGGTACCAGCAACCCGAGACCCGATTTACTATCAGGAGCTAAATGAGAATATGGATTCTCCTTATACAATGGATTCGATGTCACTATCCGCACACCAGAGTCCCTGCGGATTTCTAAAACCTCAGGCAAACCGTCGGAACATCCCTTGGACATGCCCACATCAATTCTAATGGCTTTGTCATTACAAACACCATTGATACCAGCATCCTGGATTGTGTGTCCCATGATCATCCTCTTAACCCCAGGGATAGTAGAAAGAGCATGCTCAAGAGCTGCACAATCACATTTGTGAGCCATCTCTTCCGAGAACTTCCTCAACCAAACTACAGAGTTCCCTCCCCTACAATATGCAGGCGCATATCTTCCTCCTTTCAACCCGTTAATCCAACCCTTAACCTCCTCGTTAATCCTCTCGAGACCATACTCAATGTGCTCAGCTAAAAGACCACCATGAACAAACACTGAATCACCAACAACAGCAACCGTTTGGTTCTTAGTCAAGAATCTCTTTGCAATCGGACCTTCAGGTCTCAATGCAGCAATCCTAGCTCTGATTCCTTCAAAACAGTCAGCTCTCATACGAGGGAAGCTCATTGGAATGCCTTCATAAATATCCCTCGGTTTATCCAAACCTCTGCATAAAGTCTTCATCTTGTTCCCTAAACAATACCAATCAGCCCAAATCTGAAACTCCTCTAAACCCTTCTTAGTAACATATCTAAAGTCACCTTCTACATTCATAATCTCATGGTTCCCATTCATAGTCAGAACCTTACCTCCTGATCTCTCAGCCTCTCGTTTCAGTTTCTCTAAGAAATAAAGTATCTTAATCTCCTCTCCGCCTCGATCTAAGACGTCACCCACCTGAACAACCACCGTAGACCCACCAGTCCATCGGTCAGAAGAATCAATCAGTCCAGCGATCCTGAATGATTCTTTAGACTTTTCAAGATCGCCATGGAGATCACCGATGGCAACAAGACGCTCTGGTTTGTCGAACCTCGTTTGCTGAATCTCATTATGTGGGCTGCGATCGAGGGGCAAGAAGAAGCCGCAAACAGAGTAATCAACGAAAGTGTCGACGAAGGAAGAGATGAGATTAGGAATGTTCTTGCAGATTCCGCTAGGGTTTTCTCTGCTTGACATTACCACAGAAGAAGAAGAAGCTGGTTTCGCCGGAGATGTAATGGCCGGCGAAGTTGGGGATCTGGTAGAGACGGCGCACAAAGATGTGATTTCTCTCCAAACCCTTACTCACTAATCGTTTCTTCTCTCTAAATTTCAAAGCTTTTTCTCGAAGAAGGGATCGAAGTAGCAGGATTGAAGAAGACGAAGAAGAAGACGAAGAAGAAGAAGAAGAAGAAGAAGAAGAACGAAGAAAAAGATTCTTTCTTTGTGCAATACGGCGGATTGGGCTGTGCTGGGCCGAGCCTAAATTGTAAGCCCATTATAACATCTTTATATTGGGCAAAGAGAGATGGCAACAAACATTGCTTGTTTCACTTGTGGCCTTGTTGGGCACTGAATGGGTAACAAGTATTGTAGAATAGAATACAATTTGAGTTGTGGCCATTATAATTTCCAATCGGTTACCGGTAATTCGGTTTGGTTCGCCATCCATAACCGATCGGTTACCCGAATTTAATTGTATTACCCGAAATTATTCGTATTACATGACCTGATATACCCAAAATTACCCGTAAAAACCCGAATTTAACCAAAATTAAACCTAATTTACCCGAATTAATTGAGCTAATCGACACGATTTAACCAAACTAACAAAAAATCTAAAATATACGGTTAATTTTGGTAACCAAAAACAATAACCGAAAAATCCGATACCCGACCCAAACCGAACCGTAATGTAATTTGGTTATTTTTGGTAACATTTTTCAAATTCCGAACTACCCAGATATCCAAATTATCCGACCCAAATTATCCGACCCAACCCGTATTCGCGGGCCTAAGTCTATTGTGTTTGATACAAGATGCTGTTTGGTTTTGGAATGTGCCATTGGGTGTGAAAAGATAAGCTAAACAAGATTGAGACTAACACAGAACATATAAAACAAGATATGTAAAAATAAATTTGTTCATCAGAGGAGGATTCAATTTATATCCATTCACTTGTCCTTAAGTTTCAAAAACCATCTTCATCAGATACTGTAAGAAAAGTCAACTAATTCAATCCCTTACGCGTCTCCCATCTTATTCAAAGTCAACTAAAGTCTGTTCTTTTAATTTCACTTTCTTTTCATTTTTTTGGTTTCTAAATCACAGCAAAAGTATTCTCAAACCTCATGATGGGATCTCCAACAACTGAGTTCTGTCTGATCTTGTTGTTCTTGTTTTATCATCTTCCTTGTGCTCTAAGTCAGCAAGAACTGCTTCAGTGTGATACTCTGTTTCAGTGTGGCAATATCACCGCTGGTTACCCTTTCACAGGACAGAATCGCAATACTTTCTGCGGTAACCCTTCTCTTAAACTTACTTGCAACAAAAGGTTCAACACAACCTCTCTTATGCTCTCAGGCTATAACTACACTGTCCTCAATATAGACAACAAATCCAACATTCTTAGACTTTCAAGACAAGATTTCTCAGCTTCTTTCTGTTCTGCTTCATTCTCCTCCTCACCCTTACCTTCAGATCTCTTCCAGAGTTTACCATCTTATAAAACCCTCACTGTGTTCTATGCTTGTGACCCACGTCGCCATTTTCTTGGGAATTTCACATGTCCCGTGAAAGGTCTTGGCTCTTTAATTCAAAACTCTACATATCATAAACTTTGTGATGAAAGCTTCACTGTCACAGTTCCTACGAGTTTCGTTCCAGAGCAAGAAGCTCTGAATGTAACCAATTTGGAAAGGTTTTTGAGGAAAGGATTTGAGGTGAAGTTGAAGATGATAAATGAGATATTTTGTCAAGAATGTGTATCCTCAGGTGGAAACTGTGGCTTCCACTTATCCAGACAGGTTTGCTGCAAGAATGTGACAGGATCAGGAATCAGTTGTCGTACTAACACTTACATATCTGGTGGTAAAGTCGCGTAATCTTGAATTTCACTTAATATTATGTATGCAATCTTGTTCATTTAGTCATCTAAATTTTGCAGGTACAAACATCAAGAATAGCTCCTCTCTGATCATAATTGGTACAGGTTCGTCTTGTTTTGGACTATAAAGACATGATAGTTTTGAACTTTCATGGGTTAAAAAGTAACTGTATATTTGTATTTTTCAGTTGCAGGGTCGATATTAGCAGTATTTGTGGTGATGATTCTAGCATTCTTGATCTGGGAGAGAAGGAAAAAAAATGCTTTAAGAGATCAGAACCTTGATGTGTTAGTAACCTTGAGACGGTATAGTTATAAGGAAATCAAGAAAATTACAAAACGTTTTACAGAAGTTGTTGGTCGAGGAGGATTTGGAACTGTATATAAAGGGAAGTTACGCGGTGGTGGTAAAGTTGCGGTGAAAGTCTTGAAGGATTCAATGGGAAATTGTGAAGATTTTATTAACGAAGTCGCAAGCATGAGCCAAACATCTCATGTTAACATTGTTTCTCTGCTTGGTTTCTGCTACGAAGGATCCAAAAGAGCTATTGTATATGAGTTTCTTGAGAATGGTTCTCTTGATCAGTTCATATCTAAGTCAGGGGATTTAGATGTGAGTACACTATATGGAATCGCGCTAGGTGTTGCTCGAGGAATTGAGTACTTGCACTATGGCTGCAAAACAAGGATTGTGCATTTTGACATTAAACCTCAGAATGTGCTGTTAGATGATAATCTCAGACCTAAAGTTTCAGACTTTGGCCTCGCTAAGCTTTGTGAGAAGCAAGAAAGCATTTTGTCATTGCTTGACACAAGAGGAACGATAGGGTACATTGCTCCAGAGTTGTTTTCAAGAATGTATGGAAGTGTTTCTCACAAGTCGGATGTGTACAGTTACGGAATGTTGGTTCTTGAGATGATTGGAGCAAAGAACAAAGAAAGAGTTGAAAACGGTAATTCAAACAGCAGCTCAGCTTACTTTCCGGATTGGATCTACAAGGATCTTGAACTTGGAGATTATGCAAGACTTCTTGGCGATGAACTAACCCGAGAGGAAGAAGATATTGCCAAAAAGATGATCTTGGTTGGTCTATGGTGTATTCAGTTTTCCTCATCAGATCGTCCATCAATGAACAAAGTCGTAGAGATGATGGAAGGTAGTTTGGATTCTCTCAAAGCCCCTCCGAATCCAAAGCCTCTTTTGCATGTCCCAGTGCAAGATCTTTCGGAATCATCACGGCCATCAGAGGAAAGCTCAGTTTACTCAAGAAGTATGATGAATCCATGAATGTTGTCAAAAGTAAATCTGAACTCAAAATATAAATTATTTTGGTTAGATTAGAGTCGTTGAAAACATTGTGCAACCATGTTATTTGGTGGAGATTGTATGGCATTTTTGTCCACCACTAAATCATTGTATACATTTCAGATTAAACCAGGTGGGATTAATGTCAAACTAGTCAGTCATTACAGCTTTTATACCATGGCAAAGTTACAATTATATATGAAATCAAGACGTTTGAGTTTGATCTGTTTCTATCAGAACATACATACACAAACCTGAGAAAAAGCCAAAACCACACACGTCATAATTTATGCAGAGACAGATCAAAGTGTCTCCAGAAAGCAAACAAAATACATGGATTACAGAAACAGGAGTTACAAATAACCTGTGTTGGCGATGGTTTGACCGGGTTCATGTCACCAGACTAGACCTTTTTTCCTTCTAAACCTATCAACACTCATTCGGGATTTTTCAGGTTTACTAGTCTTCTTAGATTTCTCCAGCTGACTGTCTACACTGTTTCTAGAAACTTCCGGAAGGCAGCAGCCGAGTTGAAATGTATCAGAACGACCGTTCTCAGAAGGCTTGCTCTGGTTTTTGGTTGTATCTGTCGTTGTAGTCTTGGTCGAACCATTTCTTGGTCCTTTGGGTTTGGAAATCGATATTACGAATTTCTTCAGATGTCTTATGAACTCTGGATAGAGTTCTAGATTGCAGTGTCCACCTCCAGATACCCATAAGGGTTCATACTTCTCTTTTGAAAGTTGCCAAAGTTGTTTCCCATGAGAACAATCAACTACTTCATCGGCAGTTCCCTATGAAACAGAATAAGAGAGTTAAAAACCCTCAGTGCTTTTCACTCAAATTTTAATACAACTTATCTAAGGCTTCAACACATTGATTTCTTACTAATCCCTATCTAGTGGGTGAGGAAACAAATGAAGTGACGCCACTAGAGAATATAGATCATTCACTATTAGTATCCTTTAGGATAATATTCAAGTTGGCAACTCAAATTAATATCTCATAAATTCAACAACACGAGTTTCACCAAACATTTTCTGTCAAATGGTCCTATTAACCTACAAGGCTACACGTTTTAATTCATTGCATGAATCTGTGGAGGCAGATGACAACCAGATTCCACCACTACTGAGAATATCAGAGGGAAATCGAAAAAGACTGTAATGAAAGAGACAAAAACCAAAAACAGAAATGACCATCACTAAGATTTGCATTCAGACTGATGTGAGTAATGCACAGCACAATGATTTCTTCAACTAATCAATGTTATACCGTACAAAGATATGGATAGGAAGTAATGCTATAGGAGAAGACAGGTCATTTTCTATTGATTCCCCTTGGAAAAAATACTAAAGTTGGCTATTGATTTAATACTGTATCTCATAAATTCAAGAACTTGAGTTTCACCAAACATTCTCTAGACAAGTGGTCCTATTAACCTACAAGTTTTAATTGCAAGAATCTGTGGAGGCAATAGATGTAAACTTAATTCTACCAAAAAGAGAAAATCGAAGAAGACAGTAAAATGAAAGAGAGGAAATGTAAGAAAAAACAAATGAGCATCACTTACATGGATTACTAAGACAGGACAGGTAACTGCACTGATCTTGTCAATATTCTGAAACAAGGAATTGAACATGTAAGCATTAATACATGGAAACAAGAAATGGCTGCATGTTTACTAAAAAATTACCTTGTAAATGTCAAACCAATATGTACGTTTAACCGGATACAAAACTCTCATCCCAGACAGAATAGGGCTGTGCAAAACCACACCTCTCAAATTAGGCGTACGCGAAGCTAGATCAATCGTTGGTCCACTACCAACAGACTGACCATATAATATCAGTTGATCATCTTTTACACCATACTGTTCCTTGAGGCAGGTATATGATGCATCTATATCAGCATATGTGTTACATTCACTTGCCTGATTCAATTAACAAATTTAAATCCATCAGAAGTAATCCCTGGACTCTGGTTTGATACTATTGACTATTCTATAGTTATCCCGAAATGGAAAGTTAGAAGCTCAGGATACTACCTTTCCAGTAGACTGACCATAACCAGAATAATCATACCTGAAAAATCAGAAAAATCAAAGGACGGATTAAGGAACTATCACCTACTACTCAACTCATCATTAGATTATAAAACCATGATAACTGCAAGAAGACAAGTCAACAAGAAAACCTTTTGCTATTAGCAGTAAACACTCCTACATAAGATCCAAATCAATCAAACATATTAAAATTATGAATGAGAATTCAGTAGATGTAGAAACGCATAATAGTTTAAGTTAGAACATCAAGCAATTATGTGAGACTCATACACGAAACAGAGTCCAAACTCTACTTATGGCATCACAAAAGTCAAATTATTTCAAGACAAAGAACAAAAAAATCAGATGAAAACTATACGAATAAATGACTTAAGGGGTCAACAGACCCAGAAATTATGGCTAAAATCTCTGACTTCCACATAGATTTTGTCATTATACTGTAACAATCCAGGAATCCACCATTAATCACCAATCCAAAACCACATCGGTTATCCAATTCTACAAATGTCAAAGAGATATAAAAGAACCCAATAAGTCAAATTTGGAATCTATTTCTCCTTCAATCATGGAAACCTTAAATTCACAACAACCAATCTTAAAAAAATCGAAACTTTAAGAACCAAACTTCAAAAAAAATCGAAACTTTATCAACCAATCTTCAAAAAATCGAAACTTTAACAAGATAAAAGAGATAAAGGTCAAAACTTTACCCCATGAGATTAACTCGAAGACGATTACTAAGCTCGACGAAAAGCTCAAACATCTGACCCAAATCAGCAGCGTTACCATGAGAATACAAAAGCGTACCATTAGCTTTAGGATGCTTAACATAAATAGCCACAATCTCGTTACCACGACGGGTCTTTAGCTTCAACACATCGACATCATCACGGCGAGGCACTTCGGTTATGTACAACCGGTCAACGTCGGGTACGAACCCGTACGACGGTGGTGATGGCGGGAAAAAAGCGAATTTTGCGGCGATTGACGAAGTTACTCCTCCCATGACGATGATTGTCTTATCATCACACAGAGGTAACACTTGTTACTCATAAATTAGTAGAAACCCTAAGATTTTTGATCTTTGTTGTCGTAGGGATTTGAGATCTTAAATGTAAAAGGAAAGGAGAAAACGACAGAACGATGAAGAGAAAAGATAAAGAAGAGAAAGGAAAAGTTGAAAACGAAAGAGTTTTTTTTTTTTTTTTTTGATTTTGAGGTTTTGTGGTTGACACGACGGTGGCGCGTGGGAGATGATAAGCGGCGCGTGTATGATGAGAGGAAGAGTTGTGAAGTGGTTTTGTTAAAAACATCAGTCGTGGTTCGCTCTATATGGCCGTTGTGAAATGGAGCTTTCACTTTTTTTTGTTTTTGTTTTTGTTTATTTTGTCAAACGTTTTATTATTTATTTCATATAAAAATAAAATAAAAAGAGTATCAATTGTGTTCGCATTAGTCGGCCTAAATAATGAGATTAATCAAAGTATTCAAATGTCCCATTTTTGTGGATATGTATCTATTTAATTTTGTTTGTTGTTGTAGGGATTTGAAGCTTATGTCATTGACTCTCAATATTGTTGTATTTATTTTTGGACAAATCATTATGGCTGTTATAAGAATTAAACTATACTAGGATTGTAATTGTGTTTATTGTGTGCTTTTAAAGGTTTTACATTCAATTTTGTAATTTGAATGAGGAGAGTTAAATTCTTAAAATAAATCATTTGATATTAAACTTCTGCAATTTAAATTATAAATTACATTAAATGAATTAAATATTTATTTAACAATTAAAATGAAAAACAAAAATAAATTGAAATGCCAAGTGGCCTAATAGGAAGAAAGTTAAACCATAATCTTATATACAATATTATTATTATGAGAATGTTTATATTATGGATCGCATATCGACCCTTATCTCCAAATAAGTGACTTAGTGGATCGTCAAAACCTTTCTTGGCGGTTGAATGTTTTACGGGAACACTTTGCTCCGGAGGATGTTTCTGTGATTAGTGCCATCCCCATTGGACACAGACCAATTAGAGATTATTTAGGTTGGCATTTTACCAAGAATGGGAAGTATACAGTTAAATCTGGGTGCCATGTTGCTAGGATGCCAGAACCAAAGATTCCGGTTTTCAAAACGTATGGACCGGGTATCACCCCCCTATTCACTGCAATTTGGAAGGTGAGGTGCCCACCAAAATTACACCACTACATGTGACAATTGTTAACAGGCTGCATCTCAGTGTCAGCTAATCTATACCATAGGGTATCAGATGTGATACAAATTGTGTTCGTTGTGGATCTCAAATGGAGACGGTCAATCATGTTTTTCGAATGCCCTCAAGTTCGTCAAGCATGGGCTTTGGCGAATGTTCCAGTGGGATCTATCTCCTTCTCCATAGGGTCTATTTTCTCTAATATGGATTATGTTTTTGGTTATCTTCTGAAGGTGATCAGAATCATTTTTTTCCTTGGCTCATGTGGTATATATGGAAGGCTAGAAATGCCAAAGTATTCGAATATTTGGATATTGGTCCAATGGAAATAGTTAAGATAGCACAAGATGAGGCAAGAATATGGTATGATGCGCATGTAGATGAATTAGTTTCCTCGATGGTGCATCCAGCAGTTACTAATGGGCAACATGGACGTGTAACCCATCTCCCTCCTACCTTTACTGGCTTTAGATGTTTTATAGATGGTTCATGGAAGGAGACATATACTTATGCAGGTTTATGATGGTTATGTCAACACGCTCAGGAAGTCTTACCAACGATGGGTGCCAAAAATCTCCGTCGAAGTCTTTCTCCTCTCCATGCTGAAGTCGAGGCTCTGGTGTGGGCAATGCGATGTATGATAGGCCATGATGTCAGAGATGTTACGTTCCTTACTGACTGTTCTAATCTGGTGAAGATGGTGTCTTCCCCTACTAAATGGTCGGCTTTCTCTGCATACCTAGACGACATAATCACGGATAGGGAAGAATGCTCAACTTTTTATTTATCTCTTATTCTAAAAAAATTGAATGTAAAAGTGGACTCTTTGGCTCGCCATGTGCACTCCTCTCCGCAGCTTGTCAAGTACGTTTACAACTGTCTGTTGAGTTGGCTCGTCTGAGCTAATTTAGGACCTTTTGATGTCAAAAAAAAAATGTTATATTTTTAGTGTAAGAAATTATGCGAATTTATCATAAAGTTTAACCTTAATTTTGTTATATATATGATTATTATTATGAGAATGTTTATGCGAATTTATCAAACCCATGTTTCATTCCTGGGACATGTATAACCTCACCTTGCTTCCGCTGCGCCACTCTGATTTTTATTATGAGACTGTTTATACTTTTTTAGTGTAAGAAATTATGTGAATTTATTAGAAACTTAAACCTTAATTTTTTTTTTATAATTATTATTATGAGAATGATTATATAAGTTTTAAGTGTAAAAATTATGCAAACTTATCAGAGCCAGGTTTCGATCATGGGACCTGTGGGTTATGGGCCCACCACGCTTCCGCTGCGCCACTCTGATTTTTATTATAAGGATGTTTATATGTTTATTAATTTTAATACAGAATTTACAACTCACATATGTAACTCACAGTTTCATAATATATAATTAATCTAAACAGTCACATGTTTACTTTAATACATAATACTAGATTTTAATCTGTAGTATACCGCATGATTTAATTTTTTACTTTTTTATTTATTTTAAAATTCAAATTTTACAATTATGCTACAATGTATATTAAAATTATTAAAATTACAAAATATCAAACTTAATTGAATCAATTTGTATCTCACTCTCATTCAACATGTTTTATATTGGTGTTGTTAAAAAATACTATAATGAAGTTTTAACTTGTTTTAAAGTATAAGATTCAAACTCCGTCATACAACTCGTCACACAACCTGTCACACAACCCGTCATACAATCCGTGTATCAATGTTATTTCTAAACAAACAAACTTTGTAATATTTGGTTCCATAGGTATTTGAGAATTTGTTAGCAATACCCCTCTAGGTATTTCACATAACAACTTATAATCATTTGCAAATCAAGAGTATATCTCCTTCAACAAGACCCGTGAGGAGCAACAATCCACTTTTAAATATAAGATAATATTTTAAACTTTTTAGAAAAGTATATATTAAAATATTTTGAAACTATTAAATTAAATTTTCTCAAATAAAAACCCGGATTAAATCAAATAAAATTTTTAAATTTGGACTGAGAAATCAAGATTTCTTTTTATTCGTAGTTGGAAGCATATTAGTCATATTTATAAGGATTATTTATTATTGTCTAAAATTTCCTATCCGATGTGGGACGTTTGTACATAATTTTTTTAAAAAAAATCGATTAAGTAATATACGCCCGTTTTAAAAAAAAAATCCAATTGTATTGCAACATATGTGAAAATTTTTATTTTTATTAAATTTATGCTTAATGTAATAAAATAAATTAAAAACAAATAAAATATCATATAAAAATAAAAGGAGATAAAGAAATTAAAAATTGAAAATGATATTAAATATTTAATGTTATAAGAGAGAAAGTAAGTAAATCAATCGATATATATATATATATATATATATATATATATATAGATAATGATTATAAGACGGTTATCATAAGACGTCACATAACTTCAACTTTGAAGTGATTTTGAACATGGCTGAATTATACTTAGCTACTCACTTATAGTCTTCTATTCTTAAGTGGAGCCAATCATACCGAGCTTTAGGAAATACCACCACTGTTCTCTGGTGATCAAACATATCCTTAATTTAGACTTATCCAAAGAGTGTGTGGATCTTTCAAGGTCATTTGCTTCCTTGATTGTCTCCTCGAATTCTTCTGAAACCAGGTCATGACAAGCAGTTGTCTCCCAAAATATCAAGGGCCTCAAATTCAAGATTGGTAAGCTTCGGCATAATTCACTGAAATCATTGTTTCCATTCGCCAAATGACGCAGACATAATTCACTGAAATCATTGTTTCCATTCGCCAAATGCGTCTGAAGCGTCGTAATCCCTGTGACACGAAAATCAAGTGCGATTACTTCAAAGAGGATACAGACCCGACGCACCATCTTACTTCGTTCGAAATAGCTATCCACCGTTGCAACTTTACACCGGCGCAGTTCGATGCCATAAAGTGTCAAGTGTTTACCGAGCTGTCAGCGAACTCGATGACGCAACATTGCTAAACTACACTGTGCTAAACATACGAAATGTATTAGTCTAGCAGATTAAAGAATTATATACACGTTAATGACACAACATTATTTGTCTAACAATATGACTCCAAACAAAGCTTGTCTCATAATATATTCAATCTCCATTAACGTTTTAATCTTCTAATGTATAATTGTTCCATTAGAAAGTGTATTTCATCATCCTTTCCCTGTAAAAAAAATACTCCAACTTTACTGTATACCATCATATATTATAATATTTCCAACAATTCTTTATGTTTAAAAAAATTGCACAAGTATAGTACAATAGTTAAATTTTCTGTATGTTAACTTTAATAAAATAGTTTGTACATAAATTTTAATAATAGGATTAGCTAATAAATTAGCAGTAAGGAAAATGAGCAATAATAAATTATACATAAATTGGTTAATCGCTATTTACAACAAGAAAAATGATCAATTAGACTGACTTGTTTGGAGGATGCCACAATTTTCATATTTATATTTTCCATTTAAAATAATAAATAATTAAAAAAATAATAAGAATAATAAATTAAAGACTATCAAGACTTTATAATTTTTAAGTAATCTCATATAACCAAAACAAGAATACAAAATTATAAAGACGAATTGAATATCGTTGCAAAGATCATGCATACCATGAATAAAAAATTAATGGGATAATTGAAAGTTTAATAAAGATCAAATGTATGCGCAGTTTTACTTATTGGTAATGACAAAAGTCTAAATTTGTTAATTTTACTCAATAACACATTCTTTTACTATAGAGTTGTTTTTTATTAGAGGTCCGACGACTTGGATGATATTTAGTGACAATTATTGCTCATCGGTAATGATTTCAAAATGACTGAGAATCAGTTTATAAAAATCGAAGAAAACATGCTAAATAATTTAATCACTGTCGTCGACAAAATTCTTTCATGTTATTGTTTTGTTAGAGTTACCGGCTATCACTGAAAATAGTTTTTAATAAAATATCAATTTCTTCTTTGTGCTTAGCATATATAAATATAAATATACAAAAGCTATGTGCACTAAAAGTCTTAAACACAACAAATCAATATATGCAAATGAAAAATATGTGAAATTGGTTGGACTTCACCCTAGCAGATATTATTAACAATTTTAATTTGTATAGAATGAGTTGCTCTTGACTGATCTTGTTAATGTCAATATTAATTTATAAGTAATGTATATTAATTTATGTTTCAAATTTTAATTTAACCGGATTGATTAGTACATTTTGTTGAAAGCAAAAACAGTCTGATTGATTCTATTGGTGCAAAATCAAAAAAATAAAAGTCAAAAAGTCAAAAGGTGAAACTTAACAATATTTTTCTTTTTATTTACTGACAAAACGAACTCTCCTTTTGGTCCAGAGTCTCTCTTCCTACCTTCTTTCAAAACGAACTCGCCGTCGTATTTGAACTACTCGCCGTCATTTTATCAGTCTCCGGCGATAACGGCGGAGGAACACCGTGTTTCAACAATCCAACATCATCACCACCACCGTTCACATCAATCTCCACCACCACATCTTTCGAATCTCCTATCATCCCTTCCTTCTGAATCCCTCTCAAAACCTCAACGATCTCCTCCATCGATGGCCTTACTTCTCTCTCCTGTTGCAAACACCGGAACGCTAATTCAGCGACCGACGACATCATCTTCTTCACGGAAGGATCTCTCTCGAATCCGAGTGATTGATCCGCGAGTTCGTGAACGGCGTCGTTTTGGATCTTCGAAATCGCCATGTTCGCTAGGTTAATATCTTGGCGGTGCCTGGTGATGTCTACCGCTTCTTTTGATGAGATTAATTCGGAGAGGACGACTCCGAAGCTGTATACGTCGCTTTTCTCGTTGAGACGGTAACATTGGTAGTACTCAGGATCTACATACCCTGGAGTGCCTTGTGGTGCGGTGGAGATGTGTGTTTGATCCATCGGAAAAAGCCGTGAGAGTCCGAAATCAGCTACTTTCACTTGGTAATTGCTATCTAGGAGAATGTTAGTAGTCTTGACGTCTCTGTGTATGATTCCTGTATCAGAGAAGTTATCATCATTAGTCTATAATCTCATTGTGTGTATGTGTATGTTCAGATTGTGTTACCTTTGGTGTGGAGAAAGGACAATGCGCTTGCGGTTTCGATGGCGATTTGGAGTCGAGCAGGCCAGCTAAGGGGACGAGATTGTGCTTGGTTTCCATGGAGATGTTCAGCGAGTGTGCCGTTGGAGATGTATTCGTAGACTAGGAGTAACTCTCTGCTATGTCTTGTTGTGCATCCGTATAGGATTACTAAGTTTGGGTGTTTTAGGGACCTCAAGATCTCGATTTCGTTCTTGAATTGCTCAACGCGTTTTAGTGATCTCTCGAAGAGACGTTTTACAGCTACAACTCGTCCGTCTTTTAGTGTTCCGTAGTAGACAGTCCCGAAGCCTCCATCTCCAAGCTCTGTAGAGAAATTCTCAGTGGCTTCCTCAAGTTCTTCGTAGGTGAAGACTTGAACTCCAAAGTAGGCGCTGTTTGCAAGGTTAGACATTGAGGGCACAAGAGAGTGATTGCTGCCAGAAATTGTTGTGGAAGTTGGTGTGTTTGACATTGTATTGCTCGAGTAAGTCATTGTTGTTGACAGGTCTTTGCTTGTGTATTGAGCTGCAAGTTTCTTTCTTCTCCGGGTGATGAAACAGAACAAAAATCCGATAATAAGAGTGGCACCCACGAATCCACAAGCGAATCCGATGCCTACAGACAAGAGCTTCATTAGATTTTACTGTTTCTAAGGTATGTTTCTACTGAGACTAGTTTCCATGAAAGGAAAAGAATAGACACCTACCTATTTTCGCTTTTTTGGGGAGACCTGCATGAGAAAATACCATGAGAAAAAGGTTAGTTCAAAAGACAGAACTTAGAATCGTGCTTGAAAAGGTCATGAGAAAATGAATGTAAATCATATTGATGTTAGCAAAATCTAGTTTCAGTAAAGGTTAGGTTGGTAGTTGGGAAGATTATGCAGAGGTTGAGGAAGAGAGAAGATCTGTTTCTTGTGGATGTACATTAGCTAATAAGTTTCAGACTAAACTAAGATTCAGATTAACTTAAATCAGTCGAAGTAGTCAGAGAAACCGGAGCAAAAGAAACATTACCCTCTCCACAAGTATGCTTGTGAGGCTCATTTATACAATAGCAAACAAATTCTCTCAACTGCTGATTATATCCACAAGAACCCTTTGATTTTACGCAACGGGAACAATCTCTGTTGAATGTAAGCTCGAAACCCTTATCAAGAGCCTTCTTTATCGTCTCCTCACTCTGATTTATCTCTGCTGTTTTCAAGGCAGATCGAGAAACGGCAACATCAATGGTCTTTTTGCAGGATGACGTAAACTCATGCGAAGATGGGAACTCTTTTCTCACAAAGTAACTCTCCTCGTAAGTATCATCAGGCCAACACTGAAGCTGACTAATGTAATCAACGGGATGATCAGAGCAGTTGTAGAAAAAAGTTAGCACTTCAGTGTCTTTATATAATGGAAGCACCTCTTTGTTGATTAGTGCGGTCTCAAGATGCTGAGGACAGAGATTGTTGAGATAATCTTTTCTGGCAAGTCTTACTATACGAGACTCATAGTTCATCTCAAGGATTTGGAACTTTACCGAAGATATACTAAACTCTGCGAAATCTCCGCTGCAGGTGACCTCGAAATCCGGGTGACCGCACTCTTCTCTATCAGCTGTCCAAAATGGATAATAGAGTTCTGTCTGATTGCCGCATTTAAACAAATGACTGCAGTGTAAGTGACGCTTATCAACTGACAAAACACAAGAGGGGATCACAAAGAGCACCCATATGATTGCATATGGCAAAAAACATCTTCTTAGAGACAGACACAAATTGATCATGGTGATCTCCTCTTTTTTTTTCATTGCCTTGGAGATGATGAATAAGAAGATGAAGAAGAACTGAAGAAGAAAGAGGAAGTAAAAAAGCAGATGAGGAATTTGTGAATTGTTGATTTTGTGTAAGTCTTGGTTTTATATAAAGAAAAGAAAACTAAGGTAAGGTTTCTTTTTCTTTATAGTTGTTTATCTCATAGTATATTTCAACAGGGAAATTTCTTTGGAAGTAGGTGGGTTAGGATGATGACTAAGTCTTGGAATAGACTTGTAGACAAGAGAATCATGATATTCAACTATTTAAGAAGATTTTATTAATATATTAGTTTCTTTTTTTCTCTTTCTTTTTGTAGGACTAAGGCCTAAAACAAAGTCCCGGTGCAAGAAATTTACTGAAATTTACCGGAAGCAAAGTAGAAATGGGGATAGATCTACACTTATGAGGAAAGTCTCCAAAAGAAAGAAGAAAGACTTTGACCGTAATTGCCATTTTCTTTATCAGTTTCAGACAAATGTGAAGGCATTTAAAGATATGTGGAGAGAATGAAGAAATGAATAAGTAACAAGACAAAGACTCTTTTAGTATTTTACCATGGTCCATGGAAAAAGAGTCTGAAGATTTGTGATAAAGGAAGGAGACAATTTCATTGCATGGAAGACTTTCGTACCCTGAAAATGACTTGATGGGAGTTGTTTATGTCAAGTTGCTTGGAGATAGATAAAGACTTTTAGACTACTCAAGTTTACTGTCTTCCCTCTTGAGCTCACTAAGAAGTTAGTTATGTCTTAACATTGGTGAAACCAAAAGAGAAAGATTGAAAAGAAAGAAAACTGTTTTAAGAGGGACTGCGGAAAATGTAGTGTTAGCTGTGGTTCTTGGTGATTAGGATGTGGTATATGCCTGGAGTTTAAGCCATTTGCAGAACTTAAGGGATTTTAGTTTTAGTGTGTGTCATAGTGGAACTAAAGAGGCTGCAGACTAGTCTTGTTCAGATTTTTGAGCAATCCGTTATTTTCTGTTTTTAGTCTAAGTTGCATCGGAATAGTTATGCATAATTTAAGAAACTTGCTGAGAGAGTTTGGTATAACTTACCAGTCGAACCAGATGGAATCATTGGAATGCATTTGGTGTCTGATGACAAGTTTGTCTTGCAGCAAACTGGAGTGGAATCATTGTAGGAGCAGATTCCACCAGTGGATTTACAGTCTTGACACTTCTCATGAATCCTCAGCTTCACCTCAAATCCTTCTTTAAGAACACTTTCCAATTTGGTCACATTCAAATGTTTCTCCTCAGGAGCATAACTCATGGGAACAGTGATGTTGAAACTCCCACCACAATGCTCGATATAGTCATCTTTCTGATGCATCAAGCCAACACCCATATGTGGACATGAGAAATTCAAAGGATGATGAGTAGGAGGGTTGCATAAGTAGTGAGCAAAGAGGGTCTTGTAGTCCGGCAAAAGCTCAAAGAGTTCAGGAGTCAACGTTTCGCCACTTAATGTAGCCTCGCAAAATGGACCTAAAAAGTCTTGCCTTGCTAATTTAAGTGTACCAGTTGTGGTGTTTACTTGGAAAACCTGGTACATCAAGCTTGAGATCACTAGGAAAGTAGAATTTGTTCTATTGTCGCAGCGAAGCCCCAAAGATGGATGACCACAAGGTTGGAGCCGAGCACCTCCCCAGAAAGGGAAACCTGCTGTGAGATTCCCACACTGAAACAGAGTATGACATAACCTATTCTCTTGTTTACTTAAAGCCCAAGGTAGTTGGTTAAAAGAGGTCAAGAAAAAGAGCAAGACCAGACAAGAGTTGGGTTTAGAGAATCTGAAGAGTACTGGAGAGAACATGATTGATATCTGAAAAAGTTCTCTTTTTTCTCTGAGTTGGTTTGAGTTAAAGCAGAGTAGATAATAATTTGAATAAACAAAGATAAAACAGAATAAGAAAAAATCTAGTGAAGGAGACAAAGAGATGAGCTAGTGGAAATTTCTAAAAGGACTAAGTCAATATTGAAAATGATATTATACATTAAGACTTGGAGAAGTTAAGCAAACGTCATTGTTTTAGTTGACTTTACAAGACTTTTCTTCGTCTTTTGGTTTTTAAAGTCATCCAAATCAACTCAAAATCCATTTTTTTCACTGTGGAAAAACTTGTTAACGTATAAGAAAAACTATTTCAGATTCAGACAAAATATTTCTAGGAAGAAGGAAGTGATATAAAGGTTCCAATTCTAGTTTTGTAATGTTGTTATTTAGAAATAGCATATTAAGTCTGTGTTCATACATAAAACATAAAATGGGCTCACTCTAGTTGAGAGAGGAGACTGCATTATTGGCTTGATTAGATAGAATTTGGAGCTACAAGGTTGACTTCTAGGCATTGACTCCAAATCGATAGAAGTACTTGAAGATAAGAGTCTTTGGATTTTGTGAAGCAAGATGTGTGAGAGCACCACCCACTTATTTAAAATTGGAATTCGGTTTTAATCCGGTTTTTTATTTTAAAAAGTTAGAACTTTTAGAAATTTTTCAAAATATTATAAATTTCATTTTCTTAAACAGTTTAAAATATTATAAATATTAAAACTTTTAAAAGCTTCAAATATTATAATATTTAGTTTAAACTGTATAAAATTTTAAAAATATTTAAACTCTACAAAAATTTAAAGTATTGTTAATATTTTAACTCTAACAAGAAAATTAAAATATAAAAATATTGTACATAAATATGATTGAACGGGTTTGAGTTTACATAAATATGATTATATTTTTCTTACGGGTTGTCTATATTTGAAATCTTTAACGGGTTAACTTAAAATATAATTTTTTTTATTTAGAATCCGCTTTGTAAATTGTATATTATGCCAGTGTGTCATGTTACCAATGAACTGCAAATCAATTGGTAACAACTTCCACGGTGGGAAGGTTGTTAAAGGGTGAGGATCTAGGTTCAAGGAACGTCAGACACACCAATAACCTACCTGGTGGGCCAGGGAGCTGCGGGCCAGAGGGCTGTGCAGATTGGGCCCACATGAGAGAGGTTAGAGTCAATGCGCTGCAGCGCTGTAAGGTTGCCATGTGGCGGGGTGTGCCACATGGCAGAAGATCCCACTGGGCGGGTTGTTACAATGAATAAACTGTTTCGTTTGTATGAAATGAAACTACATTATTCGTGTAAATTGAAATGACTCTCAAGACAGGAGTCAAGAGAGCTCACACCCTTAAATGCAGTATGAGGTGAGTCAGGCGACTATGTGGAAAAAACTATAATTCCATAACTAATAAATGTTGTTTTGCATGCATTGTTTACTAACTAGAAATGTTAAATTAGGTATATATATAACTAAAAATTGACTTCAAATTGGCAAAAGAGAAAGAATACCAAAACTCATGACCATTTTTAGTATATATTAATGACGTTATTTTATGAGATTCTTATATATTTGGGACTATAGTTCGGACTTACATTAATTTGGACAGTATTTAGATATGAAATGACAATTGTACCGTTTCACAAGAATTGCAACAAACTTAAAGTTTCGTCAATATGTGATGTTCTTATCTTCTCCTCCGGCGAAGCATGCGAAAATTTTTCTCAATTATTTTCGAGGATCGGCTTGGATTCATAGAAAGAAACAAGAGAAAAAGAGTATTGAAGATGATATGGAGACAAAATTATCTAGAATTGGAGATGAATCAGAGATCTCGATTCGATTGGAAAGCATGAACATAAAAAAAATTGAGATAATTAGTTTGGGGGAAAATAATAATTTTTCTCCATTTCAATTGTCATTTTAACATAGTATAAATTATAATTATAACTCCTATAATTTTTCAATAATTTAATTATTTTCAAAATATAATTTCCATAACTTTTTATTCTATAAATAATCATTCTCACATCATATATCTAGCTTCCATCATATCTCAAATACTTTTTTTTCATGTTCTTGCATGGGTTGAAAAATGAATTAAAATATCATCGTAAGAGTTAGGTGATATTTTTTTTTAGTATATATATTACATTGTACGAGTTTGATTATGTATTTTTTAAACAAAATTATTCCTTCTTTGATTTTTATATTTTTATTTAAAATTAAATTACCTATGTATAATAAAATTTTGATGACTACAACAAAATTAACTAGGTGCAGATTCAGAAGTATCGAATAATCATTCTTAAATATTTACTTTGGATCTTTGATTCTTTTCTTACTTATTCATGTATATTTATTTAAAAAATTTAAAGTATGCAATCTGTTAACGAAATAATATATTGTAATACATTAATTTATCAAATATATTTTCCTTAACTCACTCTTATCTAAAAAAAAAACTTTTTTGTGTACTCATCAAAAAGATCATAATAATGTATTTTTAATTATAGATTCTGTGGTTTAAGAGATTTTATATATAAAAAAAACAATATGATATGCCACTTATAAAATAGCTTGTACTATAAATATGAAAACATATCTTAGACTACATAAAGTTAGCTGTGGAATATGACTTAAATTAAGTGGAATATACATAAAGAGCCTACAAAATAAACTTACCAATATGACTTAAATTAAGTGGAATATACATAAAGAGCCTACAAAATAAAAAAATTTCTTAGAGATTTTTTTGTAAAATATTTTGATTGTAAAAAATATATATTTAATTTCTTAGGATATATATATATATATTTATGATAAATATTTAATTTATTATCTACAAAATAATTTGTATTTCAGTTATTCAGTACTTTATGTTATGTGTTAGTTTATATTAACCACTGAAATTAAATGTTTGAATATCATAGTAAAATTTCATTTCTATTATTAATAAAGTTGTCTTATCTCAAATGCTCAAAACTACTAAGGGAATTTCAAAAATACCCCTTTTCATATACCTCTTTTTAAAAATACCCCCTTTTCAAACCTTATCAAAAAACCCACTAAAAATATTGAAATTTATCCAAATATGTGTGTAAGCTTATAAATATATACACAAATTACCTTTATACGTGTATAAAACTTTATATACCTTTCATAAATAGCGTAAAAATAAATTATAAAAACCTTATAAAAACCTTATAAAAACCGTATAAACCCTTTTAAAAACCTTATAAAACTTATAAAAACGATTTAAAACTATTTAAAACGTTTTAAAATATTTGTATTGAATCTCCCAGTAGTAGTTATTATATAGAAGTACCTTATAAACTATATAAAACTTTATAATTTTTATATTTAAAAAGGGGTATTTTTGAAAATGGATAGATAAAAGGGGTATTTTTAAAAAGGGGTACACCAAAAGGGGTATTTCTCAAAAATTTTCAAGAAACTATTAACATATTTGAACAATAAACAACAAAGAAATTCAAGAGATATGTATGCATTATTATATTTAAATAAGTTCTATTATGATATCGTATGATATTTTTTAAAAGTGAAAAAATTGTCATAAACATATAGGACATTCAGCTGTATGAATATTTTATATATATATATTCCTTAACATAGTTGATTTCAAAAAAAGCTGGTAGTCATATGGTAGGCAAAATAAAATAAAAATTAAGTTAGTCATTTATGTAACTGTTGGCCTTACCTAGTAAGACGCTATTCGTTTCTGCATTTAGATTATGTTCTCTTAATTATAAAAATAAAAACATCATTTTCTCGTCAAAACATATTTTCATGCTAAAATGCAAAATCACGTTTGCCAACTAAAAACACAAAATTATGTTTTCGCACAAAAAACGCAAAATCACGTTTTTGCCATAAACTAAAAAATTCATTTTCCGTCAAAAACGCAAAATCGCGTTTTCTAGCCAAAACCACAAAATGTTTTAAATCTTATAGAAATTATATTTCAAAAAAATGGAAATTTCAAATGTCAAAAACATTAATTTATTAAAAAAATTTAGGCGTGTATATATTTTAGATCAATAATTAAAATTACTATGATAAACATTAATGTTAAAGAAATTATTAGCTCCAAACATGGGTATCTTAGTCATTTTTAAAATCAAATCCATCTAGATAGAGATGCAAAATGGAGAAACAAATATATCCCCATCCACATGGATCATCTAGTTAAATTTTTTTTTTTTTTTTGGTCATTTAGCATCCAGATGGATCATAGATATAGATTATCTGAATGAACTATTTTGATGGAAATTTTCCATCCAAATTGGAGAAGACAATTCCAAAACCTTAAATCTCGCTGGTACAAGAAGCTCTACATGTAGAATCAAAGCATCAGAATTCTTGAAGCTAAATGTCATGAAAATTTTGCTCCACAATAACAAGCTCCATATAGTTTCCCATATAGTTTAAATCATCGTTTGAGTTACCCATCATCGAAATTAGCTAAAGCAAACCATAAAAGTAATCTCAATAAACAAAATTTGTTTGGCAAATATCATGTGACCTATGAGTATGACTGTTACATATCATTAAATTGATCATACACACACGTACGTTACTATTTCATTTCCATCTTTTGACCAAAAATATTGAAAAAAAAAAAGAGTAAATTCACAAAGTTGCTTTTGTTTTCCTAAAGCATCCTTCCGCATGAGTTTTCATGTGAAACTCACAGATCCTTCAAGCATTCATTGACATTGTCATGAAGCTTTCGTTCCAAAACTTCTCCACAAATGTTACCCATCAAATGATAAAATGCCATAAGCTCTGAGAGTTGCTCAACGTTCATCTTGTTCATCATGTTCCTCGCCATCCTCTGTTTGTCCTCGTCTACTTTCAACTTTTTCATATATGATCCTCCGTTCCTCACCGTTGCTCCCATCTCCTTCAGCCTCATCTCTTGCTCCGCGCTTAGTGCAGTGTTTGACTACAAGAGTCATAACATACACAAAAGAACCAACTTAGCAAAAACAGACAAACATTTCAACCATGGGTCAAGAAAGAGTAGCACATCATCATTAAGGTTTTTGTAGTGGGCTAAAATCTTGTGGGTCGGGATGCAGATCCGTGGCTCTTATCTGGTCTAAACCCATCAAGACAGGTTTAGACCTACATGCATGTTTGTGTCCGAGTTAAGCCCATCACAACAACCATACACCTCATCTAAAATGAATACTATATATATAAATACTAGCTATTACTATGTGACCCTTAAGGACAGCGAAAGGCCAAGCAAGTGACTAAACCATTTTTGCCTCTTGCAAACAAGATTATGTAAAGTTTAGCACTGATTAGAGAGATTTAGTTATTGTTTACCTCAAGAAACTCAGCTCCAACTTCGAGTTCTGATTCTTTTGATGGGTTCTTACCAGGTGCTCCTCTAACATACATATACTTTGCAAGTGAGAAACTACGAACAAGCATCTTTCTTTTGTTCTCCATTTCTTTATCAAGCTTCAATGTCTTTGGAACCGACAATGAACTGTTCAGCTTCTTCTGATACGCAATCACAGCCTTTGCAAATTCCTGCAAAATCAAAACCACATAAAAACTCAATTTCACAACTTTTTTTAGTTGCAAATGTAGCTAAAACTATCTTCAAGAACACACAGACAAACCTGATATGCAGCAGGACAACCAGGATAATCAAACTGATCATCAAGATCATGATGTCTCATTCTCTCAGGATGAAACTGCAAACCCATTATGAACTTCCCTTCTTCAGGATTGTAAGCATCAGGATCATAAAAACCTTCCATCAATCCATCAGAAGCAAACGCCATTGGCACAAACCTCTGAGCCAATCTCTTAACACCTTGATGGTGATAACTATTAACCAAAATCTCCATGTTTTCACCATCCAACGAATCTTTAAACCAAGAATGAAGTGGACTGTTCTCAACAATCCTCACAACATGTCTATGCCCATCATAGTTATCATAATCAATATGCTTCGTTCTACGTTCTTCCGGTAACTTATTCGTTAACTCTTTCTCTAAGTCTAGATAAAGAGTCCCACCACAAGCAACATTCAAAATCTGCCACACAAACAAAAACTCCTCATCATTAACATTTCCTGTTACTCAAAGACACAAAAACTCAAAAAAAGAGACTTACTTGTGAGCCTCTGCAGATTCCTAAGTAAGGAATGTTCTGTTCAAGACAAAGCTTAGCAAGACCCAACTCAATAGAATCTTTCTCTTTATCAATAGCTGTATCACTCGCATGTGTTTCCCTAATCTCTTGAAGCTCTTCTGGTGAAAGAGAAGATATCTCAGATTCATAAAGAGAAGGATCAATATCTTCTCCTTCACAAAGAAGCACACCATGTATTGGTTTAAAGCTCTCAAGCAACATGTGAACACCAGTGACTCGTGGTACAATCACTGGCACACATCCATAACGTACTATCAAATCAAGATGGTATTCACCTGAAACCAAAAAAAAAAAACACAATCTTGAAATCACAATACCTTAAAATAAAGAGAACCCATATGCATTATGAAGAAGAAACATCAAAACTTCCATAAAGTTTCGATTTTTATATCAAAAATCAGAAACCCATCAAAAAGTTTCGATTTTTATTACGAAAAACAGAGCCATGCATGAACAAAACACCAAAAAAACAGAGCAAGAAGGTTAAACGAACCAACGAAATCGACGAATTTGTTTTTACGAACGGTGCGTCTAGAGACGACGAGGACACGAGGAAGGATTTGAGAGAGATCATTCACCTTTGGATCCATCTCTATTGCTCCCATTTAATAATATTAACCCAGAAAATGAATAGTTTTTTTATGTGTTCGTAAGATCCGATGTGACGTGAGATTGAGAAAACAGAGTTCTTCTCGTGATAGAGATAGAGAAGAGGAAGCACAACAAAAGGCTAATTTATAGTGATAATAATTAATAAAAAAAGAGACTTGGATTTCTTATATATTTAATTTTCAGAAAATTTATAAAATTTGTTTTTATAGTTTTTTTTTTTTTTTAGTATTTGAGTCGTTGCATTGGAGGAAAACAGAAGGAAACAGGTCTTATTAAGTTTTGCTGACTAATGAGTATATTGGAATTTGGAAATGGATATATATTAAAAAGGAATAAATTGATTTTTTGGATAATTTTTATTATTTTAAAAAATTTTGGAAAAGAGTTAATGAGGAAATGAAACCGAATTCAAATACGTTTTGTCTGGTTAACAACTTCCTCAGATCAAATCTAAATTTTTGTTTTTTGAGTGGTTTTATGTAAATTTAATTTTTATTTGGCCCACTTTGGTAATTAATAAAAAAATCAAAATTATGTAAAAGATAAGGTATGTAATCATTTGTTAAAAGGTAATTAAGAATGAATTTCTGGTTTTTATAGAAAGAATACAAATTGGATTAAATTCTTGATACGATTGCCACATTTTCATGTGTTTATAGTAAAAAAAAAAACTATACATTTTTGTTTATTCAAGTAAATTTATTTCATTAATTGGTATTTATGAATTCAGTATTAAAGATTTTAGATATTTTTTCAGATAATATCAGTCACTAATCAAAATTTGTAGCTTTCTACGGTGATTTAGAGAGATTTTTAATTAAGTTTATTGGTAATTAAAGAATAATTTTGTTTTTCAAGAAAATACAGCTACAGATTTTGTAAAAGTGTATCTATGATTTTGAGTCAGCAAAAGGTTTAAGACACGTGTGTGTGGGAAGGCTTCTTCTTTGGTCCTCCTCATAGCTGACGTATCACTCTATAGGTGAGTTTTATATATACAATGAACTATGATGATCATCAACTCATAACACAATGTATAATAATAATAATAATAATAATAAAAGAATAAGTGAAAAAGAGGACTCATGTAATTTTATCAATTCTAAATTATAAAAAGAAACTAACTCACCAATTAGAGCAATCATAGCCAAAAAATAAATTATTGACTCTAGAATGAATTTTCATGAAGTTGATCATAAACCATTTTATTTTTCCGTCAACAATAGCTATAAGATTAGATTGTAAATGTTAATGATTGAGACAATTGTTTATATATATGATGATATGCAAAAAAGCACGTATTTTAAGTACTTGTCAAATTATCCGTTTTTACATTTACATTTTCAAAATGTATAAACGAGACATTTATGTTTATTCTTTAACAACCATCTCATTAAATATTAAGTACATAATACATTACGACCTTTTGTGAATCGCAATAGTACATAATATAATTAACCTTACTTCTATTAAAAATAACATTAATCAACTATTACAAATAAAAATGCAAAAACCAAATCAATAATAGTCATTAAAAATAAACATATCCTACTATTTTCATGTAATTTAATTAGTTATAAAAATGAAAATACTTTAAAGATTTAAAATAAATAACGAATAAAATTTAATAAATAAGATTTGATATTTAACTTATCATATTAATTTGTTATTAATCATTATGTTTCACTTCTCGTACTTTTTTGTTCTATTTTTTGCAAAAACGTAATTGTTACAAAAAAAAATAAACTAAAATAAATTTAGTTGTATATTTATAGATTATATATTTAATAACTCAACTATATCAAAAAATTTAAACGTACATTGATTCATTATTGATTATTCAAAGAATACATATAAAGCATGGATCTTCTTTTGACATATTGACCATGATGGACACTTTTAAATGACCCATGCAATATTGTGTCTGCGCTTCCGTCAAAATTGATTATAAATTTCTAAATTGAGTCAAATGATCGTTCAACAAGAGGGTATGGACCATAGTGACTGTCTGCGTTTCTGATTAATATTAATCTTTATATTTTTATCATCAAAAATATTTAAAAACGAAGAAAAAGTTTTATACAACAGTTTTTAATCAAAACCCCATACACTCGATCAGATTGGTTCGAGTCGGGATATTCAGATAGTCGAGATTTTTAAAATTTTATCACCAAGTATTAATAACTCAATTGTTAAAGATGTTTGGCATACGTTTAGAGATTGCCGGTTCGAGTAACACTTGGACGAGACCATATAACATGCTTTGGTTTTGGATATGCGGGTATGTATGGGTTTCGGTCCAGAACCTCTTTAATTATTAATAAAAAAATAGTTATATCAAAACTAGCTGAATAAAAAATTGGTTCGAGTCATATTATGGATTAGGTTTAGTCTTGAGTTTTTCTGGTTAAAACCGGTCAAATCTAAAAACTAAGTAAAAATCAAGTCGGGTTGGATCAGCGGTTTTGGGTCGGGTATAAGTCACAGGCCTACTTCAAATAAAAAAATTCAATAAAAATGAAGTATTGTATTAGCAGGAAAGTCCAAATGGGCAGCCCAATGTTGCGGACGTCCAAAATCATTCGTTATATGCATGCGTCTTTGTAAAGATTCTTTGGAGTAATAATAGTTTCGTAAACTATACCGTTTTTGCAAGCTTGATCAAATGGTCTTTAAGAATAGTGCATGGACACACAACGTAATAACATCCCAACCTGTCTGTCACATTTGCTATATATGCACGACGCCTCGTGTTTGAACCTTACATTTTTAGCAAATGCCTAGGCTGTTGTGAGTTGTGACATGAATTAACTTCATAGCCAAATCACATAGCCCTAGTACTACTAGGCTAGTAGTAAAGAAAAGAGAGGTAACATATTATATGATCAAATGCATGAAAATACAAATGTAGAATTAGTAAAACAAAAAAAAAAACGAACGGAACAAGTGTGTAACCCTTCGAGTCAACCTCCAACTCTAAACGTGTAACCCTTCTCTCCCTTGCTAGTAAGTATGATGGATGTAATAACTATAGAAGTTTGACTACTATAGAAAACATTATCTATCTTTATGTTTTAAGATCATCAAATTAAAAGAAAACATATGATTTCTTAAAAAAATAGATTTTTAAAATTAACGGTAATAAATTTCAGTTAAAGCCGATTAATTTGGCTATTGGTTAATTTATAAATTAAATTAAACCAAAAAAACTTAATTTGTTCAAAAAAAAAAACAAATATAAATGGGTTATAGTTGTCCATACCAAAATGTTTTGTGTTTCAGCCCATTGAAAATAAATTTAGTCCAACACGACCGAATATAGTTATAGTTTTTCATTTTATCATTATAATCTTTCAATGATGGTTAAGACCTGGAAAAACCGCATATGTTTTAGTCCTTTTGGATGAGGATTGTTGGGTAATGAAATTTTAGATATTACATGAACATAAAAGTGGTGACCTAAAGCATGAATGCATGATGTTTGATGAAGTCAATATTAGCTTAATCATTTTCATTTGTATCATAAGTTAATAGCTGTAGGAATTAATCTGATCCTCTTATATTAATGAGAATTTTTGAGAAATATGAATCGGTAGAAGTGTGTGATTTTTAAACACCTAATTTGAACCACTATTCAAGATAAACAACATAATTTTTAAGCTTCAAAGATGACATAAAAAAACTCCCAACAACCATCATTCATCATCACTGATTTAATTTTGATATAAATTTGTTTATTATTATTAATATATATGTTTTAAAAATACATTATATGCTATCAACAAGTAGGCTTAGGAATATTACAAGTTTCTAAAACTTTGGGAGCAAATGGACTGCTAACAAAAACACTATATAATGGGTTTTTCATATAACCACACAAACATGACTTTTGTTCGGTTAGTTTGTCGCAACATTCTTTAGCCGGTTGGTTTCCTCCGGTCACTGCCGGTAGGCATGGCATCAGGTCCGTTGGAACACAAGATTGTGCAACTACTCCATTGAAACCTCTAGGAGATGACATGGAGACAATCACTAATGTAATGACCATTACTGCCATGAACTTCATTTTTGCTTTCGATTTTTTCTTTGTTTCTAAGTTATATATGTAATTGAGATTTTTGCTTTGTAGATTTGAGGATAGTAAACTTCTTATATATATATAAGATTAACTTGGTTGTAACAAGTAAAGTTGGTCTTATCTTATTCAATACACTTAACCATTTGGCTATCATGCAGGATAAAGTGAAGGTCATGACTCGTTTTCCATAAGTGCTCACACATATGTTGAGTGTGTAAGTTGCATATTGATGCATCCGTTAAAGTGTAAAGAGAATTTTCCAAATGAGAATCATGTGACTCAAGAAAAAGTGAGAAACTGTTACAGAAATTTAAAACCAGAAAAGAGAGAAAAAAAAGTAGAGAAACTGTCATATAAATCTAAGATAATTTAATGAATATGTTATGGTGGAATATAGAGATTCTCTCTTTTTACATTAGCTCACTTTTCTCTCTTTTTTGTTATTTTTTTTTTTCATTTAAGAGGGTGTTCAACTTTCAACTTAAATGATTTGAGATTTTATACAATTTTGATAATTCGGGGTGAATTTAGGGGTATTATAATGATTGATTTTTAAATTTGCGTAAATCCCACTTAAAAGCATGATATTTAGATTATGTATTTTAAACTAAAGCAAATCTTCTAAAATCCTTTAAAGTCATTAAACATCTAATCATCAAGATGTTTCAATGACAATGAATTTAAAGTAAACTTTTAAATCACTTGTTTAATAATATTGGATTTCATTTTATTTAAACTCTTTTTTTGTAAAAAAACATGAACTAAACAATTGATTTTTATATATTTTTAGCATAAATCATTGAATTACTTGATTAAAGACACTTTTACAATATAACATACCAAATTCCGAAAAGAGTATTAGTCAAAATTTCTACTAAACACAATATTTTCGACGTCGTTGGAAACATATGCTTAGGAATGTTATTTACTCGAAATTTTGTCAAGAGTTTCTGCCCAAATATGCATGTATAAATTCGTCGAAAAGTGACAATAAATTAGTTGGAAATCTTCCTACAATATGTCGACAATATTTTGCGACGAGCTATATAGTCGGATATTTCTTATTATTTCCGACAATTTTTGTGTTTAGTTACGGTGGTTTTAGTAGAAAATAAATAAGAAAATTCTTGATATGTCTGCTTATGAATCAGGAAGCTTTCCAAAGATTACGATATACAAATTTTAACAAGTTAATAAAAATATTTAACTATATTATTCATTAAAATTGTAAAAGTAAGTATTTATGAAAAACTTTACTTCTTTAGGAAATCAATAGGTCGACCGACCATGGATTTCATCTTTTTTCTTTCATTTTCTTTTAAATAAAAATTTAGACTCTCATATCTTTTATTATAACTATTCAATTCTTTCTATAATTTCCACTTACAAATAGCTTTAGCTTCATAAAAAATATTTTAAAAGATCGTGATTTTATTAAATCTGAACTCTGAAAAAAATAAGTTATACAAAAGAGCTTGGTAAGATTTTCATATTTTTTTTAGCCGGCAGATTTTCATATTTTTTAAACAGTTAAATTGATCACTCTCACAAAATTAATATATAAATGTAACTAAAAAACTCCCTTAAAATATTTTGTTGAACTCGTAACCTAGTAAGATAAATATAGAACAAAAATGATGTAAAAACGTGTTTTGTTGAATGTTGTCTTGGGTGATGTATGGAATACAATAAACTCCAAATCATATCATAATCATTCATCATCAATAACTCACTATTACATAATGATTTCTTTCAATACTTTTTATTAACTATTTTGTCACCATTAGACTTTGTTTAGGAATATCTAAAACTTCAACAAGTAGGATAAGGAATATTACAAGCAGTTAACGTCTTACGAGCATTTTGTGAACTAACATATGAACTATACATCGGATTCTTAATATAAGAACACAAACATGGTTCTTGTACTTTGAGTTTGTCGCAACACTCCGTAGATGGTGCTCCTCCCGAGATCATTGCTGGTAAGCATGACATTAGGTCCGTTGGAACACAAGATTGTGCCACTACTCCATTGAAACCTCTAGGAGATGACATGGAGACAATCACTAATGTGATGACCATTACTGTCATGAACTTCATTTTTATTGCTTTCTATTTTGTTTTGCTTTTGTAGATTTGAGGATAGTAAACCTCTTATATATATAAGATTTAACATAGTTGTAAAAAGTAAAGTTGGTCTAAAACTTAACCATTTGGCCATCATGCAGGATAAAGTAAAGGTCATGACCTCATTTTCCACAAGTGCTCACACATATGTCGAGTGTGTAAGTTGCATACTGATACATACGTTAAAGTATAAAGAGGATTTTCTAAATGAGGAACATGTGACTCAAAAAAAGTAGAGAAAGTGTGAAACTGTAAAAAAAAGTAGAGATGTTGTCATATAAATCTAAGATAATTATTGCCAAAAAAAAAAAATCTAAGATAATTTAATGAATATGTTTTTAAATTATCAAAATTACCTCAATTAATTATGTCATGGTGAAATAGAGATTCTCTCTTTTTACAGTAGCTCACTTTTCTCTTTTTTTTTTTTTTTTTTTTCATTTAAGAGGGTGTATTCAACTTTCAATTTAAATGATTTGTTTTTTTTTATTATTATTACAATTTTTGTATGTAATATGGGGTGATTTTAGGGAAATTATTATGATTCATTTTTAAATCTTCTTAAAACCCACTTAAAAGCATGAGATTTAAATTCTGTATTTTTTTAACCAAAGCAAATCTTCTAAAAACTCTTTAAAGTCATTAGAATCCAATAATCAAAATATTTTCAATACCAATGGATTTAAAGTAGATTTTCAAATCACTTGTTCAATAAAATTGGATTTTATTTAAACTTTTTTCAAATACATTAACTAATAACACTAGATTTGTATTCTTTTAATGTATAAATCATTTAAATGCTTGATTAAATACACTTTTACAAGTAAACATAAAAGCCAAATCTCAAGAAGATTATTAGGAGAAATTTCTTCAGAACACAACATTCTCGACAAAATTCTGACTAAAAGAACACCATTGGAAACATATGGTAGGAAGTGTTTTTAACTCGAAATTTTGTCAGGAGTTTATGTGCAAATATGTAATCTAAACTTGTCATAAAAAGGGCAATGAATTAGTTGGAAATCTTCCTACAATGTTCTCACAACAAATTACGACAAGCTATACAGTACATAATTTCTAATTGTTTTTAATAATTTTGTGTGTGTTTAGTTACGGCGGTTTTAGTAAAAAAATAAGTCGTAAATTTTTGACCAAGTTTTAACGATCTTAAACATTGTGGTCTCATTAGAGAAGTTTAGGAAATTAGTCAGAAATATCCAACTGGCCTATTTTTTATTTTTTTACAAATTTTTTAACCAAACTTTTTAAAACGAAAAATAATAATTAATTACAAGGGGAATTTATATAGTTCTTAAAATATAATTTAAAATTTAAGATAATTAATAAAAATCAAAATTTCTACGATTATAAGAACATTCAATGAAAAACAAAAAAAAACTAAGTAGCAAATTAAAATAAAAAATTGAAGTCAGGGCTCGAGGAGCTAGGTTGGGTTTTTTCCTCGACATGGTGGAACCAAAAAGGTAACCAAATCATGAAGCTCCCCAATCAATTAAGCTATACAAATTTTAACCAGTTAATAAAAAATAGTGTAAAACATGTTTTGTAAAATGTTGTCTTGAGATCAGTGTGGACTATACTATAAACTCTCAATCATATCATAATCATTAATCATCAACACAACTCACTATTACATAATGATTTCTTTCAATACTTTTTATTTTTATTATTAATAATTAACTTTTTGTTTTTATAGGAATATCTCAAACTTCAACAAGCAGGATAAGGAACATTACAAGCCGTTAACGTCTTACGAGCATTTGGTGAACTAACGTACGTACTATACATCGGATTCCTAATGTACGTGCACAAACATGGTTCTTGTACTTTGAGTTTGTCGCAACACTCCGTAGATGGTGCTGCTCCTGAGGTCATCGCTGGTAAACATGAACTAAGTTCGGTCGCAGAACATGTTACATTAACCACTTCTTCTTCAGAACCTTCGACCACGGTTGCTCTTATCGAAGCTGGAGACGCCATGGCACCAATCACGAACACGATGAACACTACTGCCGTGAACTTCATGTCTTCTCAACTTTGTGTGTTTGTGATTTGTTTTTGTTCTTGAGGATGGTGAATAAGAGTTTATATAGAGGTGTAGTTGTAACGTACGATATTTGAAGACTCTTGTCTTATTAAGAGATGTTCATACATGTGGCTATCATGCATAAGGACGTCGAACGTGTCCAGCATTTGTATCGCCCGTTAAAGGTTATTGAGCTTATTAACAAATGTTTTTAATTTGAATATACGTACACAACTTTATTCACTAAAAAGTATATTTTAAGAATATTATTTTATTTAAACTTGTAATTATAGAAAAAGTTAAATAGGTCTAATTAGAGTACATATTTAACCTTATTTATTAAATGAATTTTATCAAAAATAAATAGCTATCTATTTATGTTTTTGTTTTTGCAAATAAACCCTTCAAATCACCATTTTTATAATTTTAGCTTCTAAATTCAGAAATTACAATTCATTCCCGCAAAATTGAAAAAGATACTCAATATAGCATGTTGTCGCTACTATATGCTAATAAAAGTTTTTGAAATAATATATTAAATCGATATCCTTGTGACGAGTAGTTTAAATCTAACTATAAAATTTAAAACACAAATTGTATGTGATCGTTAAAACAAAAAAAAAGAAAAAAATTCTATTGAATACTATTGATGATTATCTATTTAATTAGACTCTTTTATGAATTTCATATCTTAATATAACTAAAACAAACACACACAAAAAAAAAATTTATTGTTGAATACATAAATGGCTATCTATTTATTTTATGTTAATTTCAATGTTATATAGTTTACAAAAAAATAATTTTATATGAGTCAAGAAAACTTATTTAGTTTTTAAAATGTGTCTGAGCCCGGGTTCGAACCGGGGACCTCTAGTGTGTGAGACTAGCGTGATAACCGACTACACCACCCAGACGATTTTGTAAAAATATTCAAATTAAATTGTTTTAAAATTAGATAAGTGTAAGAAGTGAGTTTTAGTGATTCTCGCCATTGTTGATGCTACTTGTTCTGTCCTCGTCCTCAGATTAGTGTCCCAGAAGAAACAAATCTGTCATAATTACTCCCAGGAATATCCAAAATGATAACAACAAATCAAGCTTCACCTTCTTCTTCATCATCTCTACCATTTGTTTCCTTCTCCACTCACTGGTACGTTTGCTCAAGTTTTATGCCCATTCATAAAAAAAATTGAAATTTTCAAGAAAAGTTCGGATTTTTTTGTTGAAATTATTTCTGGGTTTTGTATGTATTTGAAGATTTGAGATGGGTTTGCTTTAATCTTCGTTTTGGTGATGTAAAGATTGAATCTTTTTTGTAAACAGTAAACTTCAGTTGTTGGTGGATCTGTACAAATCAAGAAAGGAGCTTTGTAAGTACAAAGAGAGACGAAGAGATTTGGAGTCTGCGATAGCAAGAGCAGAGCTCACCATTGGTTAGAAAGAGGTCGAATTATGGAAGCGTTGAGGGTCGAGGAGAAGTATGTGGAAGTGATGAGAGTTTTGGAAGCTGTGAAAGAAGAAGTGAGTAAGGTGAAGCTTGATGTAGCATATGTATTGGGAGAGAGAAGTGCAGCAGAGAAAGAAGTTGAGGAACTGTTGTTAAAAAGAGAAAGGGGATTGAGATTGTTGGAGGGTCTTAAGAAGGAGATTGAGGTGGTTAGTGAGGAGCATTTGATGGCTGAATTGGGAAAGATTGAGGCTTTGAAGGAATGTAAGGAGATTGAGAGGCAGAGAGAAGGGAAAGCTAAAGAGGTTTTGGAGTTGTTGGTGGAAAAGAATAAGAGAATCAAGGAAATGTTGGAAGAAGCTGAGAGATCGAAAGATATTGAGAAAGAGTTGTATGAGACGAGTTCGGATGTTGAGATGTTGCAAATACAGCTTAAGCTTGTTGAGAAGATGGAGAGGAGAGTACAAAGTAGAGACAGTAGTATGTCGAGATCAAACCGCTCTTTTGAAAGAGGGAAGTACAATTTATCGGTTTTGAAAGAAGTAACAGAAGCAACTGAAGCTAAAAAGAAAGAACTTGGTTCTGTTAATGCAGACCTCTTCAGGGTAATGACAGTAATGGAAGCGTTGAGGAATGAAATTACCAGTGCAAAAGAGGAAACATTTCGCCTAGAAAAAATCTTAAGGAAAGATGATGTTAAGATTCAGAAACTCAACTCGAAGATGGTTATGGCGAAATCGAAGTTGGAAGCAGTATCTATCGCCGAAGAAAGAATTAGCATGCTTGCTGACAGTTTAGTTGGTTCTCTTGAGAAGTTAAGGAAAAATAGAAATGCTGCAAGGAAAGAGGAGCGTCTTCTCAAAATTGAGAAGACGGTTACAAAGGCTGAAACACAGAAAGCTAAAGTCGGTATAGATGATATGGAGAAAGAGATTATTTCCAAGTTAGATGAGCTTGAGGATGCAAAACGTGCAGAGGCTTTAGCGCTTGAGAGGCTTGAATCTCTTATAGAAGACACAATGGAGAGTCGTGAAATAGAGTCTGAGCATTGTTCAACAATCACAATCTCGAGGTTTGAGTACGAGTATTTGACTAGACATGCTGCTCTAGCAGAAGAAACCGCAGAGAAAAAAGTCGCAGCAGCAGAGGCATGGGTTGAAGCACTCAAAGCTAGCACGAAAGCAGTTTTGATGAAGACGGAAACTTTGATCAGAGAAAGTGGAATGACGAAAGTGGAAGAAGAAAAAGAAGCACTTAAGATGAAAAGGTCATTATCGACGAAAAGATTGGTCGAAGATGAGATTCAGAAGTTTAAGCAGAACCCGGAAGCCGAAAGCTATCTTTCTCCTAAACCAATTGGTAAATCCACGCCAATACAACGAGGGAAGCCTAGAAGATACTCATCTGCAGGGACTCCAACTTTCTTTGTAATCAAGAAGAAGAAGAGAGTTCCAAACTTGGCCAAGTTTTTTAGCCGGAGAAGCTAAAATAACATATCATTTTGACTTATGAGAACCGATTGTATTTGTTGAAATGCCTTAGAAGTAAATCCATGAAATGATTCATATTCTTGTTCTCTGTGTAGAAAAGATCAAGACACCAAAGTGATTGATCTTATTCCTTTTGGACGGCACTGTGAAATCACAATGTGATAACTTATTATCAATGTGTAGGCACACCATAACTTTTCATATCCCAGTTCATGGCTACTTGTTTGCCACCTCAAAATAATGGTTGCCAAATTATAAAAATCTCACAGCTTATAACAGGGGAAATTATGTGTAAGCAGGGCCGGCCCAGAGCTAAAGCTCATAAAGCACAGGGTTTAAGAAGCAATATTTATTTACAAACTATTAATTGTTTAATGGTCCAGTGGGAAAAGTCTCTTCGGATTTTGCTCATTGTCTCAAGTTCGAACCTATTGTAGACAGTTTTTAGCATTTTTTTTTGTTTTAGTGCTTTGTTAGTTAGCAATTTTTTTTTTTTTGCTTTAGGCATATCAAAAGCTTGGGCCAAAAATAATATTTTATATAAATAATATTTAAAAGTATTTAAATACTATTTTTAAAAGAAGTAACAGAAGCTACTGAAGCTAATATTTTTTACTTCTTTCAAGCTTTTGATATGCAAAAAAAATATTTAAAAATAAGATTTAATCATGATAATTAGTATTTTATATAATCAATAATAAAGAAAATAATATTTATTATGTCTTGAAAGAGATTTTTAACAATTTTGATATAGTAAAATATTAGAAATACACTCTATCAAAAAATAATGTGTCTATATATACATATATTTTGAAATTTTTTACCTAATTACTAATTTATAATAGAGAAATTGATACCAATAACCTTTTTATGATACCCTCTTTTAAAAATACCCTCTTTTTTTACCATTTTCATTTTTGCCCTCTCTTATTTTTTAATGGCTATTTTACCCCTATTTGAAAGAATATTCTTTCCCAAAGGAAGGAATATTCTTTCCAAAAATTTCCCCCCCAAAAATTTCCCGCCAAAAACTTTCCCGCCAAAATTTTCCCGCCAAAAAAGTTTCCGAAAAAAATTTTCCCGCCAAAAATTTTTCCGAGAAAATTTTCCCGCCAAAAAATTTCCGCCAAAATTTTCCCGCAAAAAAAATATTTTTTCAAAATTTTCCCGCCAAATTTTTTTAAAGGGTTTACAAGATTTTTTAAAGGGTCTTTTAAAGGGTTTACAAGGGTTTTTAAAGAGATTTACAAAAGTTTTTAAATGGTTTTTAAAAGATTTGTAATGGTTTTTAAAGAGTTTTAGAAGCCTACAAAGGTTTTTAAATGGTTTTGAAATGATTTACAATGGTTTTTAAAATTTTTATAAGTTATAACAGTTTTAAAAGAATTTACAAGAATTTTTAAAGGATTTTAAAAAATTACAAGGATTTTTAAAGGTTTTTTAAAAGGATTTACAAGTGTTTTTAAAAGGATTTAAAAGTATATTTAAAGGCATACAAAGATTTAAAAATAGTTTTAAAAGATTTACAAGAAGTTTACAAAGGTTTTTGAAGGGTTTACAAAGGTATTACAAGTTCTTTAAAATGGATTTTAAGGATTTACAAGGGTTTTTAACGGGTTTTAGAAGTTTACAAAAGTTTTTATTAAATGATTTATCACGGTTATAAGTGATTTAAAGGGATTTACAAGTGTTTATAAATGTTATAAAATGATTTACAATGGTTTTAGAAGGTTTACTCAAGTTTTGAAAGGTTTTGGATGACTTTTAAAAGATTTACAAGGGTTTTTAAAGCATTTTTTAAGGGATTTATAAATATTTACAAGGTTTTTTTAAAGAAATTGCGGAAAAATTTTGGCTGAAAATTTCTGGCGGGAAAATTTTTGTCGGAAAATTTTTGGCGGGAAATTATTTTTGGCGGGAATATTTTTGCCGGAAATTTTTGGCGAGAAAACTTTTGCCGAAAATTTTTGGCGGGAAAATTTGGCGGGAAATTTTTCGGAAGGAATATTCTTTTTGTTGGAAAGAATATTCCTTTTTTCATCATAGGTTATAATAAAAGAGGGTAATTTAGTCATTTTGTACATTAAAGAGGGTATTTTTGAAAATGAACACCTAGAGAGGGTATTTGTAGAAGAGGGTATCATAATAAAGGTTAGTTGTGCAAATCTCCCTTTATAATATTGATGGAACCATATATCTACAAAAGATTTTCAAAAAAAAAATATTATCTTATTATTTTATCGAAATGTGTCTAAAATTACACGGGTCCCAACTTGGGACCGGAGAAGTTTATTAATTTATAGAGAGTATTAATTTATCGAGTATTAATTTATAGAGGTTTTTAATGTACATTGGTGGTATTAAAAGTATAGAGAAAATTTTTACAAAAAAAATAACTGAAAATATTGGAAAATAAATAAATGGAAAGAATATTTATTTATTCATTTTTGATCATAGATACAGAGAATTATTTATATTCCACAACAATGTTTGATTAATTAAGCTTACCAATTAAAGTTGTTGACCAAAAAAAAAGAGAGAGAGTTAATCGTAGAAATCGTATGAAAAAATTAAACACATTGCCAGTAATTAAGATGACACATGTCAAAATGTTAGAAGTGTCAAATGTCAATAAATTATAGCAAGTTTAGAGGAATCAAATATGTCAACAAATTTGAATGTCATATTACTTGCTAATCTCTTATCTTATAAGATTTAAGATATTGAAGTTTACTCATTAAAAATTAACTAAAGAAAAATTCTGACCATCATTAAAATAATATCACATTTAGCTTGATTATATATATAATCCCACAACCATACGTACTAAAATTACTAATCCCCAAGTCAAAAGAAATGACAATGGTTTTGTCCGATCTTCCAAATGATTTGTTGGAAAAGATATTCTCTAGGGTTCCTTTAAAATTACTAAAAGCAGTCAAACTTACTTGCAAAAACTGGAACACTTTAACCAAAGATGAGAGCTTTACTAAGAAGTTATTTGGTAAAACGGTAGCAACAAAGGAGAATGAGTTTCTTGTGGTCACGATGATGAATTACAAAGTTTATTCAATAAGTGTCAATCTCCATGGAATACATAAAGAAGATAGCTACGTTAAAGCATCTACCATGCATAAAGCTAAACTCATTAGCCTAAACGATGATGAAGATTATGGAGTTGATAATATATCCAATGTCTTTCACTGCGATGGTTTATTGTTATGCGTTACTCATGACGTAAACTCTAGGCTAGTGGTTTGTAACCCTTATTGTGGGCAAACAAGGTTGATCAAACCTAAAGAGGCTTACAAGTTATCTTACAGGTACGCTATTGGATACGAGAAGATGAAGAACAACTCTCTCTAGTGTTAGAGAAGAGCAGCTTGCGTGCTATTTTAGCGCGAGGATACACTGATGATGGAGATATGGATTACGAATAAGATTGAACCTGAAGAAGCATCGTGGAACAAGTTGTTGGAGTTAATATGACACCACTCACTGGTTTTCAGTTTAAGTTTTGGGCTGCGAGTTTCTTCATAGACGAGAAGAAGAATCTCGTTGTGGTTCTTGGCAAAGATGTGTTGGACTTTACCCGCAACGCATATATTATTGGAAAGTAAATCTTGGAGAATATAAAGAAGAATATTGTTACTCATGTGTGTGCTCTTCTTATGTCCCAAGTTCAGTGCAAATCAAGCAAGTCATAGTGGGAAAGGATGGTAGGATTATGATCTTTTGGGTTTGTTTATTTTTATGCATCTTTGTTTTGATCTATATTTTTAGTTATTTATGTTTTAGATAGACTCTTCTATATATGGGTTCGAAGTCTATTTATGAGCGTTTGATTCTATCTATTGGTATTTTATGTATTCAAAGCTTTTATGTTCTTCATTTTCATGAACGTAATGTGCTTATTTTGGTGGGCGTATCACTTTAATCTCTCTCATTTAGGATTCATAGCTTAGCTCTTATCTAAATCAAGTCGTAGGACATAACATTAACAATGACAACTCATAGGAGAGGTTATGAAATGCGTATTGCATACTAAATAACCAATTTTTTAAAAATATAGAAGCAAGTAGTAGACTTTGGTAAAAGAGATGGTGACGCAACACATATATATAGAGCAAGCGCCGCCCCACCTGAGTTGCTGAATAAAGGAGAGGTGAAGACTTGTAAATTCCGAACATGGCCTATATTATATATCACCATTTGAAAGCTATGTAACGTAAATGAAATATTGTGGTCGAAACATTCTGTTTGGTTATATATTTGATATGAATGTGTTTATTCGTACCTAATCTTTCAAATAAAACAAAACAATGCTAAGAGTACTTATGTTTGTTTTTTTTTTTCTGATAAAGAAAACTTATGAAGTATTTACCTTTTTATTTATACTTAAAATCTCTCATTGGATATGAAATTCTTAGCCATTGGTATAGTTGAATACATTGCTCCGGTTCAACAACATATCAATATAAGAAATAGGTCGGCATGTTGCTCATTATATATTGTTGTCTAGTACATAGGACGGTAGGAGAATAGAATTGTCAATATTTTATAAAAGGGTGAGTTGGAAAACTAGTACAATAACTATTTATAATTAGGAAACTAATAAATTTCCACTATTTACTACTATTTTGGTGACTTTTAAGCACTTAGATAAAAAGAATATTTACGAGTATGCCACTGAAAACGTATCTGTACATTTTATAAAGTGTACGGATGTACAAAAATATTTTTTTGTACAATAATAAAAATACCACTTAATATCATCCGTACACCGTATTATTGTACAAATTTAGTATGTGTACAGACGTATTTTGTACAGTTTAGTATATGTACAGACGTATCTGTACATTTAATTGGATGTGCAGACGTATCCGTACAGTTTACTAATTGTACGGATGAATAAAAAAATATATATTTTTACCCGTACAACTATTATAGTATACCAAAATATTTTTTTGTACAATAATAAAAATACCACTTAATATCATCCGTACACCGTATTATTGTACAAATATACGTAAATATACATATTTTGGTATACTATAATAGTTGTACGGGTAAAAATGTATATTTTTTTATTCATCCGTACAATTAGTAAACTGTACGGATACGTCTGCACATCCAATTAAATGTACAGATACGTCTGTACATATACTAAACTGTACAAAATACGTCTGTACACATACTAAATTGTACAAAATACGTCTGTACACATGCTAAACTGTACAAATAAATATATATATATATATATATGAAATAAATTTAAAATTTATTAAGTAAAATACATATCAAATTGTAGAGAAAAAACATAGATTTTTGTGTATCATAAAAGTTGTACGAGAATAATAACACAAAACCGAGTATGTAAATTATTAGATTCATGGGTTAAGAATATTCAAAGAAATAAATATAAAAAATTAACCAAAAAAACAAAAAACCAAATCGAAAACAATTGCCCTCCTTGTCATTTTCCCCCTTTTTTTCTATCTCACACCTTCTCTATCTCATATTGTAGGGTCCATCGACTAATTTCCTAATTATGAATAGTATATGTACTAGTTCACAAATTTCTTTCCAAAAATGTACTAATTCTCCAATTAATCCTTTATAAAATACTAGAAATTATGTCACACATTACATGAGTTTAAATTACTAAAAATAAAATATATGATAATTTATTACTAAATATATAGTAAAAGTGTTTAGTTACTTTTCAAATAAATTGATCATTTTAATTTAAAGAACAAAATAACCAACCTTTGCATCTAAATGAAGTGAAGAAGAGTAAGAAAGAGTATTTTACATGCAACTTATGCTTTATCTTTTTTTTCCTTCTCCGTAGTGCTAATATTAAAGCGGATAAATTAGCACGGACCTCCCGTGTTTTTATCCCATATTTTTGTATGTTAACAATGTTCGTCTGCTATGGATTACAAATTTTTCTAATAATATATTAAACGGTTTATAAAAAAATCTAAATAACTAACTATGCTACGTGTTAAATTAGGGTTTGTTATAGGCTTCCAACTCAAAACCAATTGGCAATGAGTGGATTGGCCCTAACCCTTTATATATTACTTAAGTCCCCTCACATCTTCCGATGTGGGATCTTTTCTCCACACGCCCCCTCGAGATAATGGCTCTTTTTAGCCATTAATCTCGACAGAATCCATCACGCCCCCTCGAGATAATGCTCTTATAGCTATCTCGATGGAATTGGGACTTCTTTTGGGCCATCAATTAATGGGGTGATCGGGCCTCTATCCGGGCCGGATTAAGTAATGGGTCAGCGTGTGTTCGGGCTCTGATACCATGTTTTGAGATCAGCGTCCCAGGGTTGTCTCCAGAAGACAAATCATAGGGAGAAATAGTGCGACGAGTTTCAACACGAGCTACAGCCATTTCACTCATCGTTTAGAAAAACTTTCGATTAAAAGAGAAAATCGAAAGAGAGGTCAAGCAGAGAGAGAAGAAAAACAGAGTAGTAGTGACAGCGGAAACAAAATCACAAGATCGAGCAATACAAAACCGTTTTTCGTAGTTAGGTTTGTAGCTCTGCTACCATGTCAAGAAACCTCAGTTTGTGTAAAATAGGTTTTCTTATCGATATCGATGTACATTCTTCACCTTATATACATGCTAAGATTAGTATAAACTCTTGACCTAATTACAATGTAAGTGAACTAAGATAAACAAGCCCATATGGCCCAATACCCTCCCTCAAGCTGGAACGTGGAGATTGCAGACACCCAGCTTGCCAAGAAAAGCTTCAAACTCTTTTTGTCCAAGAGCCTTAGTCAAAATATCAGCTAGCTGTGACTTGGTGTTAACATGGGAAGTAGAAATGACGCCACGAATGATCTCATCGCGAATAAAGTGAACATCATTACCAACATGCTTTGTACGTGCGTGATAAACCGGGTTGGCGGCTAACTGAATTGCAGATAAACTATCGGAATGAAGTGGAATAGTGTAGGAGCAATCAATACCAAGAATAGGAAGAAGCTCTTTTAACCAAAGAAGTTCACTAACGGTATCAGCCATGGCCCGGTATTCTGCCTCAGCCGAAGAGCGAGAGACACGGTCGTGTTTCTTAGTTTTCCACGAGATAGGAGAACCCCCGAGCTGAATAAACCAACCAGTAAGAGAACGGCGAGTTGACGGACATGTAGACCAATCAGCATCACACCAAGCTGTGAGTTTCAAATCAGTTTTAGAACGAAGTAAGATGCCTTGACCCGGACTGTTTTTGAGATACTGAACCACACGCAAAGCAGCCTCCCAATGTTCTGTTTTAGGAGCTTTCATGTATTGTGAGAGGATATGAATAACATAGGACAGCTCAGGTCGTGTATTACCAAGATAGATTAAACAACCAACTAACCGGCGATAACGAGAAGACTCCGGAATCATATCTCCTTTAGCATACGCGAGTTTGTGGTTCTGCTCTAAAGGAAATGTAACGGGCTTCACACCGAGAAGACCGGTTTCTTCGATGATGTCGAGAGCGTATTTCCTTTGACATAAATAGATACCGTCCAGACCACGAGCAACCTCTATACCAAGAAAATAGCGAGAAATACCGAGATCCTTCATATGAAAACAAGTATTAAGATACTCCTTAAACATGTGAATAACACGCAAGGTACTGCCGGTGATAATTAAGTCATCAACATAGACTAAGACGTAGAGTCGATCAACCCCATTATCAAACGCAAAGAGAACTGATCCGCTTCATTTTTCCCAAACCCATAGGCAAGAAGAGAAGTCGCAAGCTTAGCAAACCAACACCGAGGAGCTTGCTTTAGACCGTAAAGAGATTTGTGGAGACGACAAACCTGATTTTTATGCGTAGTACGAAACCCCGGAGGTAGTTGCATATAAACCTCTTCTTCGAGATCGCCGTGAAGAAACGCATTATGCACATCCATTTGGTGTACTTCCCAATCTAAAGACGCTGCTTGTTGTAGAAACGTACGAACTGTGACCATTTTTGCAACCGGTGCAAATGTTTCATTGTAATCAACACCCTCGGTTTGGTAGTTTCCAAGGACAACCAGCCGTGCTTTGTGACGTTCTAATGAGCCATCGGCGTTATATTTCAAACGAAAAACCCACTTGCAGCCTAAAGCTTTCTTTCCCGGAGGTAATTCACCAACAGTCCATGTACCCGTATCCTCAAGAGCTACGATTTCGTCTTTAACAGCCCCACGCCAATGTTCATCCTCAAAAGCAACTTTGTATGACTGAGGTTCAACGCCAGTAGTGATAGCATACAGGTAGCGTTGATAGTTTTCAGAGAATTGAGTGCTAGAGAGATAGTTATCTAGGGGATACGGCGTGGCTGACGGATACGGAGCGTAAAGGAGGTGAGTGACGTAATCAGCCAGCTTGACAGGAGGGTTCTTCTTTCGGTGACCAAAGCCTAGCTGTTCAGGTTCAGAATCATCTGAGGTATCCGAGGAGCTATCATGATCAGAAGGTGCGACATGGTGATCGGACACAACCGTGTCTGACTCAGAGACGTCGTCTAAGTCTGTGTCATCACTAGTGTCATCATGTTCCGATGAGGAAGAAGACAAAACAGGCGTCTGTTCGGGATCAAGACCGACGTGAACGGGAGAAGAGGGAGTGCTGGTTTCCGTGGGCGAAGGTTCAGTCGGAGTGGAACCCGAATCTGCTGGAGGTGACGACAAGACAGAAGCGGGTTCAACAGGAAGTATAAACGTTGGTCTCAAAGAGGAAGAAGGAGAGGTGGAGACAGGAGCCGTGAATGGGAATGTGTTCTCGTTGAAAACAACATCACGAGAGACTGATATTACTCCGGTTTCCATGTTATAAACACGCCATCCTTTCTTACCCATGGGATAACCAACGAAAATTGACTTAATGCTACGAGAAGCAAATTTATCCCCACCGTGCTTTTGGTTGTGAACATGACATAGACACCCAAAGACACGAAGATGATCCATGGGAGGAGGACGTTTGTAAAGCATCTCGAATGGAGTCTTTCCTTGCAAAATGGTTGTAGGAGTCCGGTTCATTGCCAATTGGTTTTGAGTGGATTGGCCCTAACCCTTTATATATTACTTAAGTCCCCTCACATCTTCCGATGTGGGATCTTTTCTCCACACTACGCATAGGTTATTGTATGATACTTTTCTTAAATAAATGAATGAAACATATTTTTGTATGAAGTTAACAATCAAATTAACCACCAGTGCGGTGGGCTAGTGGTTTAAGTGCAGGAATTGGATTCATGTGCTCCCTAGTTCGATTTCCGGTGGAAGAAATGCTTTACGCCATGTCATAAAGTATTAGCAAAGTCTGGTTCCGAACCATGGGGGAGATTAAGGCCCAGGCTCGAACACCTCCTAGTTAATAAAAAAAAAAAGTTAACAATCAGTAAGAACTAAATACTTTTATTCTTATTGCAATAATCTTATTTGGTAATGGCTGCAAAAAATAACATTTTTATTTATTACATAGATTAATGTCAAACCAAAAACCAACTTTTTATGAGTGAGTAGATTAATTAGTTATTTTATAATGGTTACAAGAATAACTATGAGCAATGGATTAATGTAAAATACCATTACACATATTGAAAAATATAAACTACATATTGTGATTATGGTCAAAAGCTAACAACGGCGCAAACCTAGCATTCGTAGATGGTTACGAAATAAGCAATGATGTCCTAAATCATTATATTTAAGGACACTCCTCCATATCTCTCTCAAGAGCTCACATTTTTCATATGTTCTTCTAGTACTGTACATTTATACACCTAGCCAATAAAATGTCCTATAATTTTTTTATATATGTACATTATAACAAAACTGTATACAAGAACGTATAACAAAATCGTCTATATATATATATTGCTCATCGTAAATGTGAAGCTGCACTAAGTTTTAAAGATATGGCTTTGAGTTTTCCTATATCCGTGATTTCTTCAACCATGGTACGACCCGAAAAAGTAAACAAACCCGGTCGTGCAAAGATCCATCTAACTCCTCATGATCTTGAGCTTCTTTATGTTTTCTATCCTCAAAGAGGTCTCCTCTTCCCCAAACCTGACCCGGACAACCACATCATCCCTAGATTAAAGGCTTCTCTTGTGACCGCGTTAAAGATATATTTCCCTTTGGCTGGTCGTCTCGTCAAAGTAAACAACCACCAAGACAAGACGCTGTCCTTGTACATCGACTGTGACGGTTCAGGAGCCAAATTCGTCCATGCAAAAGCCAAATCTGTCGCGGTCAATGATGTTCTTCAGTCTTATGGCTCTGTTCCTGATTTCATATCGCAGTTTTTCCCTGCCAACGATGTTGTTAGCCGCGACGCGCTTGTCTCAGAGCCCTTGCTTGCGATACAAGTCACCGAGATGAAAGATGGGGTATTCATTAGTTTTGGTTACAATCACTTGGTGGCTGATGGTTCTTCCTTCTGGAGTTTCTTCCACACTTGGTCCAAGATTTGTCTCAACGGTTCTGTTTCTAATATTAAGCCTCTTGTTCTCAAAGATTGGTTCCTTGACACGATTGACTACCCGGTACATATTCCGGTTTCGGAGATGGAGACGCAACCACATTGTGAAAATTCAACCAAGGAGAGAATCTTTCACTTCTCAGTAAAGAAAATTTCAGATCTCAAAGCCAAAGCTAACTATGAAATTGGCACTATGTTTCCGAAAATCTCGTCTCTTCAAGCGGTTATGGCATATCTTTGGCTACCAATCATCAGCCACAGTGGTCTCAACCGGGAAGAAGTAACACAATGCAAACTAGCTGCGGATATGAGACAAAGGCTAAACCCTTCTCTCAAGAAAGAGTGCTTTGGAAATGTAATCGATGTGCTTGAGGCTCTGGTGATGTGCTAGAGTTTGATCTATGTTGATCATTGTTTCCCTTTCAGATTAAGTTTCTCCTTTCTCAGATTTGCTAATTACAATCTCTGTAATTGCAGATCTCTTGGCTGATCATAAATCGGAGTGTGTGAGAGAGTTGGGTGATCGATACTCCTAACACACTGTGGGAGAGCTGTTGGATCATGGACTAGGCTGGACTGCTTTGCAAATAAGTCAAACGGTGAGGTCAAAAACGGATGAGAGTTATAAGACTTATGCAAATAATTGGACTAGAGATGTTATAATACCAAAACTAGGGGTTAGAAGTAGATTGGCTGATCATTCTTTGATCGTAGCAAGCTCTCCTCGGTTCGACGTGTACGATAATGATTTCGGCTGGGGAAAACCAATCGCGGCTCGGGCTGGACCGGGGAATGGTATTGGTGGTATGCTCGTAGTGTTTCCGGGAGTTGAAGAAGGGAGTATTGATGTTCATGCGACCTTAAATTCTTCTTTATGGTCTGATGTACTTAGTGAACCTATTGACCAAATGATATAATTGGTTAATAAGATACTTGTTAACCATAATTGTGAAAAAGAACGATTGATCTTGACCTTAAGTGAGAGTTAGTTAAGTTGGTAAAGAGTGTTTAGAATCGAGTTGTACTGAAATATTAATCTCATATTGTTGAATATGTTATTTAGTTTGACAAATGTTCTAATTACTGTTTTAAAATATAGCAAATTTTCACAACACTTAAAACTTGTAATATTGTTATGTTATGTACGTTATAGTCAGAAACATGCCTCACAAGAAAAACCAAAACCAACCAAAATTGACTTACTTACTGAATGGAAACTAAACTTAAGAACCAAAAGAACTGAAACTGAATTGTATTGAACCGAAAACCGAATGAATATCAAAAATATCCGAAAATACCAAAAAACTAAGATTATCTGAAAAAACCAAACTGAAAAAACCAAAAACATCCAAATACCAAAATATTCTTGAATAACCGAGCTAAAATTATCTAAAAATACCCTAAAACACCCAAAAGTATTAGAAAATAACTCAAATTATCCTAAATATTTTGGTTAAAACCAAAATAAAGAATACCTAAAAATATTTTGGTTTTATATCGATTTTCTGCTCGATATCCAATACCGAACATAAATTAAAAAAATTAAACCAAACTTCTATAAAAAAATCAATTTTGATATAATCAAACTTAAGAGCTGAAACTAAAACCGAAAATAGCGATATAAATCCGAATATCCGAACGTTAAGCACCAATAAGAAGTCAGAAATATGGAGCTACCATTGCGCAAAGGACCACATATCGAGCAATTATTATATTAACACATGGTGACAAGTACTTGACGATTAAAGGAATACACAATAAAAAGTGTACGAATGGTCTTTCTTTGTCAAGTTTATTATATACATATCCTAATTATATTAATCTCTAAACTATGTTGTTTCTATAATTGTAATCTCAGTGCCCACAACCCTATTTAACACCACAATACTTAAAATGAAAAAATAGTACATGATATAACATTTTTAGGTCATATAGTTTTTAGAATTAGCACTACAAGAAAAACAGCAATTTCCTACGGCCAGTTACGTGAAAAATTGGTAGGAAACAGTCGTTTCTTACGGTATTCCTTCGAAAAAAGTGGTAGGAAATCGCTCGTAGGAAATCGTAAATGGTAAGCTATTGGTAGGAAATTTTCCTACCAAAAACGCGCCGAAGCAAATTTTGAAGGTATTTTCGTAGGAAAAGCGAAGGGTATTTCCGACCGTTTTCCTTCCAATAATGCGTAGGAAACGCTTTCCTTCTAATTTCCTACCAAACGGTTTCCTTCTATTTTCCTACGAAAACTTTATTCATTCCAATTTCCTACGAACCGTTTCCTTCTATTTTCCTACAAAATTTTCCTTCACCTTTCCTTTTAAAGATGACCTTCCAGCATTCCTTCAAATGTTTTTGGTAGGAAATATTAAATATTCAATAAATTACATAATTCAGTTTTAAATAGATTATAAATTCTTAAATTGACAAAAAAAATATTTAAAACGATGAAAATAACATAAACATATATATAAACATAAATGTAATACAAACCAAATGTTGGTAACCATCTACATCAATATGATACAAACAACCTAAAAGTCAAAAAAAATGTTCAAGTTTTGAAAGAACCAGATCAATACTCTTGGGTTTAATCGTCGTCATCTTCAGGATTTGAGGAGATCAGATTTAAGCATCTTTACAATCTTCTCTCTGTGAACAACAAATTAGAATAAACTTTTGTTAACAAGCAATAAAATATTTAAAGCGTAAAGTTCATGTACTTTTTCTATGTTTCAAGTTAATTAACCAATCTTTTAACACTTTTGTTTCTATTATATTTGCTGAATGGCGTAATTCATTTATATTACCTACGCACTTTCGCTAATCATGCCTCCATTATTTTATTCACACCCAAAAAAGTCCATTGATCAAAATAGATAATCTATAATACAATACTTTATGAACAGAAATGAACCAAAGTTAAATCGATAACCTATTCATTATTCTACCAAAACAGAGAATTGAAAGTTATAACTTGTGATAGAGTGTAGTGGTTTCTATGCGATGCTAAATATACAGAAGAACAGTCTCAGAGAGTCACAAACAACTCACCAAGTGGTTTTCTGGTCTTCTTCTTGATGCTTACTTCCTCAGCTTCATCCAGCACCAAATTCATGTACTCATTAAAACCCTGCAGGATAGGAAAGTTAAGATAACTAAACAATGGAGCATTCAAGTCAACTAAACATCTCCTGATTAGAAACAAAAGATAAACTAAAGACATGACATTGACAAATCTTAAACCATCTCTGTTATTCATCTAAACAGTAGTATGACAATACAAATGCAGTTTTAAATGTAGATAATACACACCAACAACCCAAATAATATAACTAATTGCTATCAATTGCTCCCTTACTAAAATTAAACAATGTAGTCACAATATAAGCTTCACTGTGTAATTAAATCAGTGGTACCAACTAAAGTTCGAGCAAGAACTAGAAACATCATTACGACAAATTTCAAATGTCACATTAAAATTCTACCTTAAAGAAAAATATCACATTAGTGATAATGTATTCAATTTCTTTTCTACTTTAGACTATCAAAAGCCAGAAACTTTTCAAAACATGACTTACAGTAGTAGTACGTCCCTCAATCCTCAAATCTTTCTGCTTAAAAAGCCAAATCTGAATCCGAGTTTATGCATTATAAGGACCAGACTATATAAGTCTTATATCTAAGGTTCCAAAACATAGAAACTATATTGTAATGAAAATATTTCCATCTCAAGTCTCCGTCAAGATTTCAGAACCTCCGGTGATGCTCTCCGTTCGATGGTAGTCGTCCTCGTCTTGGAGCCACCAGAGAACTTCAAAAGTACGAGCTTTCCGTCGGAGAAGAGCTCGTCGGCGGAGAGCATTGTGACCGGATCTTCGAGAAAAAACTCACTATCCACAATTGGGTCTTGCTTATCCGGTAAAGGTTGCTGAGTGAAGGTTGCGGAGTGAAGAAGGTTGAAGAGATTGTCGGTTTCGTCGACGGCGGAGACATAAAACACTTAAACTCTTTAGGTTTGTTTTGCTTTTGTCTTAATGGATCAAATAAAATCTGGAGGCCCAACAGTATTCTTAGAAGCCCAGATTCTTAATTTCTTATAAGCCTTCTTTTTTGTGTTAAATTAAAATAAAATTATCTTTATCATTATTAATTTTTAAAACTTTTTCCTGTAATTATAAATTTTATTTTTTGTTTGATAGTTTATATAAATTTAAAATTTTAAAACAAATATGATATAAATATTTTTTTTCGTCTTAAACAATTGAAACAAATAAATGTATAAGTACAATTATAATTATATGCCCAAAACAATTATTATACAAATTAGTACTTTATAAACAAATTATAAAGATCTATTTTCTGTTTAGAATTTTTAAAACTTATTTATTGCAACTAAAATGTTCATATCCTTTAACCATATATGTGTTGAATTGTAAGTGAAAAACTTTGGATAATACAATTTTTCTTTTAAATTTAAAAAGATGAAAAATATATATATTTTTTTAAAAATGTATATATTTAAAAAAAAAATTGTTTTAAGAAAAAAAGATGAAAATATTTATATTTTAACAATAGGAAATGGTTGAGGATATGATATTTTGAACAATATATATTGCAACAATAGTAACCTACTAATTTCCTACAAATCTGTCTCCTTCAAATTTCCTACGAAATGATTTCCCTCGATATATCTACTAATTTCCTACGACATTTCCTTCCACTTCTGCGTCGAAGGCGTTTCGTAGGAAAAATTCCTACCAATTTCTCTCTGCGTTATTTCTTTCCACTTTCCTTTTCGTTTCCTTCACAATTTCCTACAAAACTATTATTTAAAAGAATTTGGTAGGAAATATTCCTACCACTTTCTGACACATTTCCTCGTAGTTAAACACTCTTCCTTTTTCCTACCACTTTCCATTTTTGTGATAAATGCGAAGTTTTTCCGTAGGAAAATTTTCCTACCATTTATTTTGTAGGAATTTCCGTAGGATATTGACATGTTTTCTTATAGTGTAGCTTCGAATAGAGGCATAAACAAAGACATATATGGTATAGATACATTGACTAAGCAGGATGCATGAGATTTAAGTGACGACGACCTTGGAATAATGCTTGCATTGTACTGAAAATCACAACATATGGTCAAGTAAGGTTAAAGCACACCGAAGTGTTTCGAAATTACACTAAACTCTTTGATAAGAAGTGTTTTCGACACTTGGTCATATATAACATCATGGGTTCATATTTTTTTCACATGTTCTACATCTTTAGTACTCCATTGGGTATCTACGATCTATATAGTACAATTTAGACCTACCCAAATGTCCTATTTCAAAACTTTTAATACTATATCATTACATATATTTTCACATTATTGGCATGTTCTCAGGAAGTACGAAAATTTTCTAGTGTCCACATCCTAATGTAAGTAAACATTACACATGTAATTATATATATATACTAGAAAATGACTGGCACGATGCATGATTTTGTTTTGTATCGATCGAATAATTGATTTTTGATTGTTTAAATATGAGAAAAATATATAAATGTTTTTTTTTTAAACCGGTGTAATTACTCTAGACATATTTTTTTTTTATTTCTGTTGACTTAGGTAGTTATTTAAAAATTTATCGACAACTAATTAAGGCCATTGAATACAATTTGGTTATTGAATTCTAAAAGAGCGTGTTGGTCTTGTTTGACTTTCCTAGGATTCTCATGATGCGTTTCGATTGATCCTAGTTCGTTTCTGATGATTTCGACATAGAGATCCGAATCTGAGTGATGTTAACATGGACGCAATGCTGTAGAGATCCCATGGCATCGACATGGTTCCAAGAAACTTGTAAACTAAAGGAAAAATCATTTTTCTTTTTGTCAATATTGTGACGTGGATGCCATGTCACATGTGTAGTTTACGTCATCAAAATTCCATAGTTTTTGTTATTATGGTAGCTTATGTATGATTTAACACAAATTCATAACTATATATAGTAAATTTGAAATAATATTTAGTTGAGGTATGAATTAGCATGTGGTATATTTGATGTATGGATTAAATATTTGGTTTGAGTTTAGATATGAAAAAGCTTTTTTTCCGACGAAATAACATATAACTTAATTTTATTATTTTCATTAAAATGGTTTATTGATTCATGTTTTTTGGATTTTAATTCATATACTAGGTTTTGAACTCACGCTATGCATGAGTTTATTCGATATATTTTGTTAAAACTTAAATACGATTGATGATAATTATTTAATATCATCTTATAATTTTTGTGAACTATTATTAAAGAAAAAATTTATTTCAAATACACAATTTTAAAAACTATAGAAAGCAATAATACATAATATTTAACTACCTTAACCATATCGATCGTCTATCGCGTCAAATACGTAAGTAACGTGATTAGTTAAAGGTAGATCAGCAAGAAGAAAACATGGATCATCCACAAAGGGAACCAACTAGGATTGGAGCAGAGGATACTCCAAGGATCATACTCAGCGCCAGGGGATCGTTTCTCTGGCGGTTCAGAATAACAATTTCGAGATAAAGAGTAGCTTGATTTCAATAATTTAGGGGAATAAATTTCATGGTTTGCCACTTGAGAACATTATTTCAATCATTTGGTCAGCTAAATCATAAAGACATTATGTTTGTTGAAAGTTGAAAGTTGAAATGTTTTATTCAGTCGTAGCAATGCGTTCTTTGTACGGTGCATAGATAAAATTGAAAGCTTCCTTTCGTAGACATACCGTATTTTCTCGGATAAAACTCTGAATCATGATTTCTATGTAAAAAAAAGACATGTCATTATTTTTATGACTTTTTGGAGAAAAAATAAAATTTGGTCCCTATTTGTTATGGACTTGATTGGGAACAGAAAAAAGGATCATGTGCACATATTGGGCATAATGAGATGCATTGAGATGATATTTAGGAACTAGTGAATATGAGTAATCAACATATATATATTTTGAATGTAATGTTAAATATATATTCAAAGAAAAAATTAAAACGTTTTTACAACTAGTAAAACATTAAGCAAAATAATATGCTGAAAATAAAATGCTGAAAAGAAAAAATTAATTTGTAACACCCATTCTTTCACAAGTTGAAACTAATCAACATATTATTAAAGAAGTCACTTAAGAAAGAACATCATGGTAGCTTCAATTTAATAACAATATGATGCTAGGCATAATGGTGGAGTTATTGAATTTGTGCATACAGACTTGAAAAAAAAGATACCTCATTACTAAGCTGGTGCATTCTTATCATTCTTACCATATTTTTGCTAATTCTAAATAAGTGGTAGAGAGAAGGATCGAACTAATGACCTCATTACTCATGCATTCTTAATACCATTAAGCCTACTTTCCCATACTAAAAATTTAAATATTTGAAAGAATGAATTAAAATAATACAATGTTTATGATGTTATGCAGATATTATGAGTTTACGACTTAGAGACGAAAATTTTATAATGTATATGGTCGTTTCTTTAATCAGAATCACGAATTGAAGAACTTATTTGAATCACGATCAAGAACAAAGATGTCAATTGAACAGTAAAATAACCAAGCTTGATTAAACTAATTTTTGGAAGCTTAGTAAATTCCAAATTTGACAATAACATTTTGATGAACACGTCTTCAATGGATATATATAAAATATCCCTTAATTTTATATATTATCCTCTTACTGTTTGGGTTACTAGATCTCTTTGTAACACCAATGGGACTCTATCCACACATATCACATATGAGCTGATGAAGCTGGCCATTCTCCATGTCTTCTACTGTTTTGTTCTTTCTACAATGAGTAAACTGTGATTTGATGAAACATGTATCTCATCAAGAACAAAACCTTCATTTCCTAGAGACTTATCCGAGAGGAGCTTGGGCATATTGTCTTAGCTTGTTGAGAAAGTCCGAGTTAGCAACAAAGGATTTCGTAATTGCATATTTGCACTAAACCCTTTTAAAAAACACCACTGTACGATGCGTTTGGAATTATTTACCTAAATCACTAGAGTAAACGACACACCGATCCGTCATGTAACATCAAGAGTTCACATTATGCACCTTCCCATTAATGTCCTATTTCATTTTTTTTGGTTATAAATATTATATCATACCATATCACAAGTCTTCACATTATTGGCATGTTCTCAAAAACAAATACGGAAATTGTCTAGTATGGTCTACATATATCTTTCTATCCATCATAAAGGTATGGCTCTAGTAATTTCTATATGCGTCTAGTTGATATAATATGTTATTTATATGTTACAAACTTTTAAATCTACAGGCTCAAAATGGTAGAAGTGATCGTGATTTCTTCAAGCACTGTACGACCGGGAAACAAAAACAAACCGGGTCGCAAGAAGATCCATCTAACTCCACATGATCTTGACCTTCTTTATCTTTTTTATCCTCAAAGAGGTCTTCTCTTCCCCAAACCCGAACCTGGAAACCTTATCCTTCCGCGGTTAATGTCCTCTCTTTCGACTGCCTTAGAGATATATTTCCCTTTTGCTGGTCGTCTCGTCAAAACAAACAATCAAGAAGACAATACAGTGTCGTTTCACATTGACTGTGATGGTTCGGGTGCCAAATTCGTCCATGCAAAAGCCGAATCTGTCTCCGTCAACGATATAATTCAGTCTCATGGCTCTGTTCCTTACTTCTTAAGGCAATTTTTTCCTACCAACAATGTGCAAAGCCGTGACGCCCTAGTCTCCGATCCCTTGCTTGCGTTGCAAGTCACCGAGATGAAAGATGGAGTTTTTATCAGTTTCGGTTACAATCACATGGTGGCTGATGGTTCTTCCTTCTGGAAATTCTTCAAAACTTGGTCCAAGATTTGTCTTAACGGTTCTGTTTTAAATTTGCAGCCTCTTGTTCTCAAAGACTGGTTCCTTGACACGATTGATTACCCGGTACATATTCCGGTTTTGGAGATGGAGAAGCTATCACGTTGTGATGTTTCAACTAAAGAGAGAGTTTTCCACTTCTCAAGGAAGAACATTTCATATCTCAAAGAGAAAGCTAACAACGAAATTGGCACCACAGATATAAAAATCTCATCACTTCAAGCAGTTGTGGCATATCTATGGCTATCAATCATGAAACAAAGTGGTCTCAACCGAGAAGAAGAAACGCAATGCAAAGTAGCGGCAGATATGAGACAAAGGCTAAACCCTTCTCTCAGCAAAGAGTGTTTTGGGAATGTAACTTCTCTCGCAACGGCTACAACCACTGTAGGAGAGCTATTGGGTCATGGACTAGGCTGGACTGCTTTGCAAATAAGTAAATCAGTGAGGTCAGAAACAAATAAGAGTTATAAATTTTTTGCAAAGAATTGGGTTACAAATGTGAAGAGACCAAAAACAGCAAATGGAAGTATATTGGCTGACCATTCTTTGATCATAGCAAGCTCTCCACGGTTTGAAGTGTACAATAATGACTTCGGTTGGGGAAAACCGATCGCGGCTCGAGCCGGACCGGCTGATGGGACTGGTGGTATGCTTGTGATGTTTCCGGGAGTTGAAGAGCGGAGTATTGATGTTCATGCGACATTTTGTTCTTGTTTATGGTCTGATATGCTAGTGAACCTATTGACCAATGATATGAACGATGACTAGGAAGTCTAGGATAAATCATATCAATCATGTAAGATAACGAATAATGAATAATCTCCTTGAGGAGTTAGTCATATTAATATGTGTTTATATAGTGTACAAGCATATCATAACTACCGAATTTTTTTTTTGAATCTAATGTCAAATTATATTCAAAGAAAAATAACGTTTGTACAACTAGTGCATCGTGTTTTTAGAAATAAAACAGAAAATTAACCACATAACTACTGATTATAGTATACAACAATAAAGATTTGGATTTATATCTAATCTAACAAATCACACTTTACCCAAATTGTAACTATCTTCAAATATCGACTGATCTAGACTTTCTTAAACTAAGGTTTAGAAACATTCATTAAAACCGCTTTAAAGATTTACGTGCCAAAATATTTACATTGAGCTACTGTTACGGAGAGGCCACATATTGAGACTTGGCACACTTTGTTTCTGACGAAAAAAACAAAAATGATATTGGAAAGTTTTTTTTTTTTTTTTGAAATTAGAAAATAAAACATGGATGAAAATGACCATCGCTAAATTGCTCTTTCTCCTCCTTTCTTTTATTATTATTTTTTCTTTTTGGTTGTGAACGACCATCACTAAGTTGTTATGGATCATTTCAATTATCTACTGTATTGTGTATCTATATATTTTGAAGTACATTTGTGTTAAAATCATTTTTGGCAATGATTCCTAAAAACCAAATGTTTTAAACAATATTAATCTCAAATCATTAATGTTAATTTCGTAAATATGTATCTTGAGTCGGTTTAAAACTAAAATTTATAACCGAAAATGACCAAATAATTTTTTTTTATGGTATACCATTTGTGAAGTTGTCCACCGACAACTTTAATTATTTATATAAAATTCAAATATTCAGTAGACAACAATTTCATGGTTTTTTCCTATTTATTTCTGCTAGCTTAATTTATTATGTTGAACGTATAAACAATTTTAATATTCAGTGGAAACCATTTCCATGGTTGTGTTTTGCGAGATACGAGTTTTTTTAGCCAGTAATTGAAATTTTGAAGATTGCTTTGGCTTCTATGGCAGCAGCCTTCATCTTCTATATCTAATATTTCTTTCATAAGACAACTTAAAATCTTCATTTTTGTAGACAATTTTGAACTCATGTGGACAGCTTTCCCAAATTCTATGATTTTATGACAACTTTGGTCGATCTCATAGTCCATTAGATCTCACCCATTAGATCTCATCCACAGCTTCAAATGTTACATCACTTGTCACTATTTTTGTCTTTATGGCATAGGGAAGATGTGGAATCAAACATGACATTTTCGAAAAGTTTGCCATTAATTCATGGCATTTCTCCTAGATTTTTCTTTTTCTAATTTGTTGTTTATAATTGCATCATTTTAACGATGATACTTTGGTATTTTATTCTTGATTTTGTGGTACTCGTGGAAAGAATGGACAATTTAGATGGAAATAAGATTTTGACCATTAAAATAAATGTAAAAATAAAGCTATAAGATTTTCTTTATTTAATCTCTGTCTTTGTATTATTCGTCGATCTCAACTCGGTTTGTGGATTTTATTAGTTTCCCAATAATCTTGCTAAGAGCTTCACTGAACAACATAAATATAATGTGCATGATTAAAACCCATATTATGGCCATGTTCTTTAAGGTTTGCTAGTCTGAAACAGTCATGAAACCAACGACTGATAAAAAACTGTTAAAACAAGAAATCAAATTTTAGTTTATTTAAAATTTGAATCAAATTTATGGTAATCTCTTTTCGGTACAAAACATTCATTCGAGACTACACAAATACAATTATTACGATCATATCTATATATATAAAGTTAGCTTTTTCTCTCTTCTCCCTAAGCCACATCATCATCCACTTCATTTTATTATTTAATTTTTAAAATTAATTATACCATTTTATCATTTAATTTTAAGATTTAAACCTATGTAAATAAGCTTTTCAAAAATTGATATAAAAGGTTTTTTTTATATTATACATTATAAAACTAAAAAAAAAGTTAATTGATCAAAAGTTAAAAAAAATTACTAATTGTCGATTATACTAACAAATATATTTATAATAGATTATAGTTTTAAGTGAATGTTTAAAATATATATATATATATATATATATGATTATATTTACACAATGTAAACCTAAATTGTAATGGGATTTAACGAGAATAGAACAAAAAGTAAGAAATTTTGAGAATATAATTCTATCTAATTTCTGTCTCACAAAATTTTCCAACATAAATGAGATAGGTCAGACCGAAACATGAATTATCATTTTTTTTAAACGTATAAAAAGGCAAAAATACAAAAAAATATTTTTTATAGGTTTCCAATATGAATTAATTATTTTTTCCAGTAAACACATATGTTAAACTAATAAAAAAATTAACTATATTTTATAAAAATTGAAAATTAAAATTAAAACACTATTAATGAAATAAACTAAATATAAAGTAAATTATACTAATATGTTAAATTTAAAAATTGTTCCATATGAAAAACAAAAAAATATATAAAACATAAAATCAGAAACAAATATATAATAGTATAAAAATGATCATTACGAGATATAAATTACGACAAATCCAAAAAAGAAAAACATAAAAAAAAATTATGACAATATATAAAGAGATAATGTAAACAATAAAAAATACAACAATCCGCCCAAAACTCACAAATCATTTTCAAATTTCAGGCCAACATATTAAAAGAGCCCACAATATTAACATCTAAATCTATATTTGGTAAAAACCTAATAGCACACGTTTTTCAGTGATTCTCCACCGTATTTCCGTTTACACCCACACTTCGACTTAAACTATACCCACTTAATTTCTTAACAACTAATGAAGCTAAAACTCAATAGTTTTTCTATACTAACATAATCTAAGTTTTAGAAAAGTAAAATATGATATAGTGAAAAGAGTAAGTAGAAAATAAAATACGAATCAATTACTCATAACGCGCGGGAAACCGACTAGTAATTTATAAAACGAACTATAAAGTTACAACTTCATCTTTTATAGTCTAGAAACTGCATATTTAATTAGATCCTTGCGAAGAGTTTTGCCCGATGGAGTCTTTGGTATTGAGTTTATAAATGCGACCTTTCTTATCTTCTTATATGGTGCGACCTGTTTACCATATTAGATAAATTTAATCACCTAACTTACATAAGTATGATATAATTGAATTGAGTTTAGGTTATGATGATCATAAACACACCTGTTTAGAAATATATTCAATGACTCTTCTCTCACAGAGATTGCTCTCAGGTCTTCGCGCAATGTAAGCCATCGGATATTGTCCTGCTTCTTTATCCGGAAACCTTTTGTGATGCAAAAATTAAAAATCAAACATAAGAAAAACTTTAAATTTTTTTTCCGTTTCAAATTAGTTGTCTTTTTCATACATATAAAAAAAACATTTAATTTTTCTATTTCTCTTTTCACTATTGTGCATTGTTTTTCACTAATGCATTAGTTTTATATATGTTTTATAAAATGAAAAAATCTTGAAGTCTAAAAAAGAAGTAATATAAGACTTTACGGGATAACAGCTGCATCAAGAATATCTGGGTGATTCAGTAAGAGAGCTTCTAGTTCAGCTGGAGCTACCTATTATACAAACCAAAACATCATTATATTTTGTTTTTGAGACATATTATATCAAATGAATTTATCAGAGTGACAAAATGAAAATTTGATTTTAAATTTTAACCTGGTAACCCTTGTATTTGATTAGCTCTTTCAATCGATCAACGATAAAAATATATCCATCATCATCTATATAGCAAAGATCTCCTGTTTTAAGCCATCCTTCTGAAGTAATAAGTTCTTCTTCATTTCTAAAATAACCTTTAAACAAAAATAAACATAAATTAGAGTGACTTTTTGGTAGTATTTCGTAAATACTTGATGTATTTTATTGTATGTGTTTTTTAAAATAAATTTTGATATATTGATATTACATAAAATTAAAGTATAATATGATAAAATAACAAGATATTTTTTTAAAAATACATGTGAAAAAAATAACAAGAATTTTTTTAAAAAAATACATGTGAAAAGTATTGTACCTTTGGCAATAGAAGGCGATGTATTTTATGGCGTTTAAGGCGATAAATTAGAGTGATTTTTGGTAGCATTTTCGTAAATATGCGATGTATTTTATCGCGATTTTTTAAATAAAATTAAAATATAATATGATAAAATAGCAAGATATTTTTTTATAAAATACATGTGAAAAGTTTTAGTACTAGATATATGTTCAGAAATGAACTTCATAAATTATTGTACCTTTGGCAATAGACGGCCCTTTAAGCCAAAGCTCTCCTGTTTGGTTCACACCCTTGAACTGACCTGTCTTTGGTTCCACGATCCTTGCTTCTGCACCACACGACAACAACCCTACCGCACCATATCTCTTACTCTCCTCCACCGAATCTATAGAAGCTCCTACACCGTTAGATTCCGTCAATGCGTATCCTTGATAAACATCAACCGTTGGATATTTCTCCATAAACACTTTAGTAACCTCCTTACTCAACGGTGCTCCACCGCACCGTACCGTTCTCAAGAAGCTTACGTCGTACTTAGCTTTTATTTGATCCGCTTTGTTTATCATTGCAACCAAAACTGGCGGCACGAGAATCAGAGTCTTGGCTCTGTATTTCTCAACTGCCGCCATCATTTGGCCTAGCTCGAACCGAGGTAGGATGATGACTGTCGTACCTAACGTTAAAGTTGCCATAACGAAGTTGAGTAAGCCAAAGGTGTGGAACAATGGAACGGTGCAAAGGAACGTCTGTTGTGGCTGTTCAAATGGCTCCGCGATGTATCTCGCCACATGTGCTATTAAGTTTCCGTGAGACGAAATCACACCTTTGCTTAGTCCTGTCGTCCCTGAGGAGTAAAGCAACATGGCCGTATCGTCTTTGTTAACTTGGTTTCTCACTCGTTGTCCTCTTGGCTCTTTCTTGATCATCTCATTTAATATTCCAACCACTCTGAGACCTCCTGGAGCGCGTAGGGAATATTCTACGCACTCCAGGATGATGGATATACCCGAACTGGCGAGTTTAGGAGCCAGTTCGGGGGTAGTGAAGGCGAGTTTTGGATTACTATCCGCGATCTGTCTAGAGATCTCACCAGAAGTATTGAGAGGGTTCGCGGTTGTGACGACAGCACCTAGAGACATGACTGATAGACATACGATGGGGATGGTAATGGAGTTGGGAGACAGGACAAGGACAACGTCGCCTTTACGTATTCCCACGTCATGTTGGAGAGAGTCCGCGACACGATCCACGGCTCTCCATAAATCGGAGAAGCTAATGCAATGGTCCGTGGAGGCGTCTATGAAGGCGGTTGTGCCATGGTGCGTTTGGGATGAGATGAATGTTGTGACATTGAGAGAGTCGTTTGAAGGAAGTGCCAATGGTTTGCGTTTACTGTAAAATGTTGAGTCTGCATTGCAGAAACCATTTCTTGGATCGATCAGTGATGAGAATCTTTTGGAATTAGTCATTTTCTTAAAATGGTATTAGACTTTTTGGTGGAAAGGTCTCTGACTGTTATAAACTTATAATAATTGTAGTAGCAGTGTAGCACCAATCAGAGCCTCTTAAATAGACACATGTTCAATGTGCATTGGAATCTTAAAATCTGTAATAACTTGTCCTATTCGAAATAAATGTATTTTGTTTTATCTGTAAAAATTGAAACTGACTTTCTATTTGTATCTTTATTAGAAGAAGTAGGGGAAAACAACCAAAATTAACTCGAATAATTTGCGAATGTATTTTTATCCCCGACTTTCAATAGAATTGTCGTTTCATATCCGAATTGATAAAATATTCAAATTTACAACATAAAATTATAAATATTAGACTGAAACCAACACTTACATATATATATAGCATAATGGTTTCAAGTTTGAATATACTATCAGTTCATGTAAGAAACAATCATTCGTTCATTGAGATCTGAGTATATAAAAAAGCATCCAACAAATTGTTTCAGTTGATTTTGACTATTCTCTCAAAGAAGTAAGATAATTATAAGTTTACAACAAATTTTCATTTAAATGAAATCCGCCAAAAAATCAACTGATTTACCAAATGTGTAAAAGTTAGTAACAAATACAGTGTAAAATAAGATTTCTCGTTCTTATAATTCAAAAGTAGACTGTCTTGCTTGTTTTTCCAGATCATTTGATTCAGAAATTTTTTTGTAAACGATTTCCCTCTTGGTTGGACTATCATGAAGTAATATTTTAATTAATGTGTGGTTGAAAAAAAAAAAAATACAATGTTAAATTTAATATCAACATATAACAAACCCAATACGAGGATACATATATGAAAATAGCAAGCCCAAGTAGGATCTAGATGTAGTTCCACTTTATTATTCTTCCATGTTAAAGCTCTATCACTAAATATACAAAGACAGTGAGGCTGTTTGTACAGATCTAGGAATCTGCCGACCACTAATAAGGTACTTGTTATATCATATACATACTTATGATCTATAAAAAAAAAAAAAGTGAAACAAATTAGGTGTAGTGTACTATCAAGTTTTAGCTTTGGATAAACAAATATGTCATAATTTGGCAATGATCTTATATTTTATCAAACTTTATAAAATAAGTTCTTATAATTCTATATTTTCTTTGCAATCGGTACAAGTAATTTTTTCTGTATTTTATAAAAAAGTGTTATTCCAACATATTTCATGCAGATTAAAAAAACTGTTAAATTTTGACATTTTTATAAATACATTAAATATTTTTTATTAATAAGTTAAAATAATAAGGATTAAACAAAACTTTTTTCGAAAGTATGCATAAAAAATACAAAATAATACTCTATACTAGAAAATAAAATTTAATAAATTCTAAATGTAGCACTTTTTGTGAAATAAAAAATATTAAGGCTTTGAATGGAGATAGCAAATCTGGCAGAGCAGATCAAGCAGTTCAAACATACCCAGCAGAACAAAAGCAGATTAAGCAGATATGGCGTATTAAATGCAGATCAAATTTTATTAATTTTTTGTTAAAAAAGCAGTTCATTTAAAAACACTTCAAATCTCGAGCTTTTTTACTGTTCATAGTGCAGTACAAATATCCTTCCTATTTTTGATCTGCTAGCAGGACAATTATTTTTTAATAATATTTTCTTTTTTGAACTGCCATTATATTTGTTTTGTGTGAATGGAGGAAAAATGGCAGTTCCCTATGGTGTATATTATCTGCTTTTAATATTTCCTTCAATTCAAGACCTAAATCATAATAAAAATAGAGTGATTGACAGAATAACATAATTTGCTAAAGATTGTTTGCTGAAAAACCCACTTAGAAGGTTTGGTGTACTTTTCCACTTAGTTTTGGGGTAGGTGTCATTTAGGTTGACAAAAATGCCCCTTGCTTGTGTTTGAAAGAAGAAGGATTTGGTTCAATAATTTATAACCGTTGGATGTCAAGTAATTGTATTGAAAAGTGTGGTTGAGATTGAAAACAATATTTCTCTTCTTCTGCCGTTTCTTTCTTCTTCTTTTACTCTATCTTTTTTTTGTTGTTCTCATCTTAGAGTGTCATTTTATGTATTTGTTAACAAAAATTATCTCTTTATTTTTTTATATTAAGTTATGATTATATTTTCTTTACATTTTAAGACGCATATTGCTATAGTTTAGATAAATTTTTATATTATACACTATCCATATGTAGTTGAACATTTGTTCATTGATACATGGATGGTCAATTGGACTATACTTTATAGATATTTACTAGGTTTAATCATATAAAAACATATCAAAACCTATTAAATCAAAAAAAATTTGTTTAGATAAATAAGTCATAAACCTTAAACTTTATACGTTAAACTTTAAAGTCTAGTCCCTAAATCCTATATCCTAAACCCTAAATCATATACCCTAAAATCTAAACCCTAAACCAAAACCCAAAACTCTAACCTTAAACACTAAACTCTAAACATAAAACATAAATCTAAAAACTTAAACCTTGTCCAATTAAATTAAGCTGTAAAAAGAAAACCATAAATCATACATTACATCCTAACCTGTAAACATTTTAATGAACATCCCATAATATCCACGTTATAGTAACCATATGGATATTGTTGGTCAAGGTGTCTAGGTGAAATAATAAAACATTGGAATATGCAAATTAAGCTAATGAAAAAACATTGGAAGATGCAAAGTGGATTTATGTAAATAAACATTTTTATGTGGATGTACTAAAATATAATATCCAAGAAAAATCTAAGATTAGATATTGGATATGGAAATCGGTTTACTCCATGCTTCTGCAATGTCCATCCAAGCCTATCCACTAAACGCTGACTATGTGGAATTGATTTTCTCCATGCTTCTGTGCTTCTGTAATTTTCATCCAAACATATCCACTAAATTTTGACCATGTGGTTATTAACCCATATTTCGACTTGTGTTTATTGAACACGACTACGTGTTTTATTCTTCTCAGCTATAAGCAATTCAGACAACTTAAGACTTAATACGAGGGGGGAGAAACTTATCCCAGTCAGCAGAATCATCGACAGAGGAAGAACAGTGAGGGGGCTGGTTAGAAGAAGATGGAGCCTCGGTACTAGGTTTGAAGAATCTAGTTATGCGACGGTTGGATGGCATCTTCGCGGGGAATAGCGGAACAGGAGCAACAAGTGGTCACCGGCGGCGGCGAGGGACGAGAAAACACGGCGGCGACGGCGGGCGAGAAAGACACGGACGCAGCGGTGGCGGCGTCTGGGAACTACTGAACTCGAACGAGGGGAGTAGACTGAAACTTGGATATAAAAGGGGTGCGAAATGCGAGGGATCCCTTTAGACAACCAGAGAGGTGCCGTAAGGGGAGCGGGAGAATTTCAGAGGGTGAAAAATGATAGAGGTTGGTAAATTGGGGATTGGGGAAGTTGAAAAATTAGGGATTGGAGTGAATAGTTATTAAGTTTTACTTTTTAAAAAGAAAGCAGTTAATAAACTCAAAAAATCGAAAAAGAAAGTGAAGAGAAGAGAAGTAACTGAAGGTGAGAAGTTAGAGGAGTGTTATGTAAATTCAAGTGGTAGAAGTATAGGGATAGTAGAAAGTAGGTTTTTATGTTATAGAAAGTTGATAAAGTAGGTCGGCTACCCAACACTTCAATATGCCGACAGTTTTATGTATATGTGTGAGGTGTCATTTTACTTACTGTTTATAAATTTTTCTCTAAGTCTTACATAAAAGTCAAGTATTATATACCAAGGAAATTGGATCCATCAAAAAGAAAATAATTATTAATGTGTCAACCAATTATATTTTAAAATATATTTGCTCACTCTCTCTCTCCACCATTTATTAAGGTAGACAGACTTTTATTTATTGGTTCCATTCTTTTTTTATTTTATTTCTGGTCAAATAAAATTTTATAATAATTTAAGCAACTATTAAACCAGATTTGTTAAAAGATCATCAATAATTATGATCTTAAGCGCTTAACCGCGGAAGCCAATTTTTTGAACAAATTTTATTTCTAAAACTGAACCTGAACAGAAAAACTCATCCAAATCTAAAGTTAAGATTTTAAAGGAATTTAAAAAGATGCTAAATTTTGAAAACTTGAAAATGTGAATTTTAACCTAGTCAAACATGAATTATATATATATGTAATATGTATATATTAGAAGCAAGAATCTTATAAAAAGCTTGCTTAGGAGCACATTACCAACTGCTGAGGACTTAATTAAAAACCAGCATGACGACTCATATTTTTGGAAGCCGATTCATCATGCACCCTTTCATGCCACAACAACCATTGTCCTGAATCGGTGTGGTTCGCGGGTGGCATTCCCAAGCATGCCTTTATTTTTGGTAACTACTTAGAATACACTACACACAATCGAGATATTGAGGACTTGGGGTCATAATGTTCTTGCCAACTGTATCATATGCATTATGCATAATGTATCAAGAGACCATTTGATTTTTGAGTGGAATTTAGTTCAGCGGTTTAGAGATACTTCACCTCTAGAGCCAACTTTCATCCTCCTAACCAGTTTATGAGATGTCTTAATCGGTTACAAACTTCTTCGAGGAACAAGAATGTTTCTCTTATACTAATGTTGATCGGTCTCTGTGTTTACCTCCTATGGTGAGAACGAAATCAACGTATTCATTTCGCTCCTCCTAAGACGCCGGCATTATTCTTCTGAAACGGTGTTAATTAACCGTTTAACGGTGATGAGTCAGACGACACAATGGCTATGGTGAGACATTTGGGATGCTCAATACAATGTCCTTTTGCCAAATATTCGATTTTCTTAAGACACACATAGCCCATCAATCTCGACACCACTTTCTCTCGTTTGTCGATAGTTGACCCTTTCTCTCTCGTTTCTCGACTATCCACAAATCCTAATTTTTATTAAGTTCAGGCTGGTAATTGCATGGTATCATAGGTTGGATATGAAAAGTCCGCCACAAAATAGTTTGGGTTGATTTTTCCGTAAATGGATATGGAATTTCGGTTGAAGTTGCAACCATCGATTTCACCATATTATACATCATAACAGATAATAGAAAATCAGAAATGATCTAGAGGACAAAGAGATAGTTGTGAAATCACGTCTATATATATAAGTAAAGAGTTGTATTTTGATACAAAAGCTCTGTTCATCATCTTCACCGTTACTGATTTTAATTATATGTCCTAGAAGTATAAAATGGTGAGACCGATCATTGCAACAATCAACAGTAATTCTAAATCCATTTACGGAAGAATTTGTATGGGAGGATGGATCATAGTAGATCTTTTTCGCGTAAATACTCAATCAAAGAATACATTTTTGTTTGAAATCGTTATGATTCTTGTATATTAATCTTTTTGGTACGACGATTTGGAATGAAATTGTTACATGTTTGTATCATTGTATGGGTAGACAGATCTTTATAGTCTTCGACCACTTCCACAAGTTCATTTGTAACAATATGTTCCACAAGTCCTTCCAAATGATAGCGACTAGGGTTTTGTATCCTAAACCAGATTATTAATCTTGATTTGGACTAGTATTTAATATGCTCTATACTAGTAAATTATTTTAAAGATCGAGAACTATGTATAGTGCTTGTTCAAAATTAGTAAACTACATGAGAAAGTTTTTAAGGTAATAGATTTTATATATATAACAAAATTTGCCTTATCTATATGCTTGTACTCTACTAATTTTTTTCCTCGTCCACAAGTTATTTATTTTTATTTATTTATCACTGCCCATATTAAAATCTAAAGCAATTTTTGAATACAATTTGCATTTTCTTCTGTCACCAGCTTTTAACCGGAAGTTTCCTATTGAGTGCAACATTTTTTCCTCCAAACAACATTTTTTTTATTAGTTTGGAGAATAATATTTAGAAAATAGTGCTAATTATTAATGTGAAAAAACTAGACGAACAATCTCATATTTTTCTTCATCAAAATTTTGTCTTCCAATCTTTTAATGTGGCTTTTTTGAGCCAATCTTAGTTCTGTTGTCCAAAAAAAAAAAAAACTTGTGTCTTCCAAATGTTTACAAGCCTCTATAGAGAAAATAAAAATTACTCAAGAAACTTGTAATTGAAATATACAAAAAAAATTATTAATTAAAATCTTGACTTTTGACTAGTATTTCTTAGTCTTCTCCATGTAACATATATACATTCTTGCTGGACCAAGAGTACAAACTTTTACTATTCTTTGGTTGATAACAAAATCTAATTAATGTTTGTATTCAGACAATGACGAGTGATTTCAGATAATATAAACAAATTTTGGATAGAGAAAGTTTAAATAATTTTGAAACTTAGGAACTTCATATAATTTAGCCGAATAACTTTAAGAACAATATGTTTGATTCCACTTTTAAAATTTTCTGTTTAGTTTGGTTTGGTTCAGAGTTTTTGGAATATGGTTTTCACTACCTACCCTACTTTTTCCAGTTAATTTGAATAATAGTTTTGAAATAACTAAAGAGACAACAAGAAATATCTAATGTTAACTATTTAAATTGTTACTAGTTGTTTTATAAATAAAAAAAACTCTTATAGTTATTGTAAAATAATATCTATTATGTAATCTTATAGTTTATATACTTTATTTGACAATTAATTTTGTAAAATTAATTAAAATGAATATGTTTTTTTTTTATTGTCTTAACTAATCCATCAGAAGTTTATTGTACTAAATTACTTTTAGTTGGTTTGCTAGTCAACTAAGTTTATAGTCAGCTATTGCCTTTCTATTAAATTCAGATATATCAATCTTTTGTCAAAGGTTACCAAAAATTCTTATCAATGCATCATTACTTATGTTTTAGTCACATATTTATTTCTTCCTACCTAATACTTTCTCTTATGCTACCTAATACTTATTTTTTAGTCATATATTTATTTCTTCCTACCTAATACTTTTCTTATGTAGACATGTTCCAAACTTGTATATATATTAAACTTGCATTCATCTCTTTAGTCATACGGTATATTCAAACTTGGATAGCCAACTTTAGAAAATTTTAAGCTCGTAAATATTAACAAACACAGAGCAATGCCAACATCTTCTCACTCGTATCCGATGAGCAGTGGTGACGATCAACACAGTTACATCCACAATTCTTCATACCAAGTATGTCACATGAATCTTTTATATATTTGCTGTGAATAATGATTGGAAATTTGGGATTATTATGGTTTAATTTTCTTTCGAACTCTTTATCTTGCGGTTTTCATGAGACATATCCCTATTAATTACTTAACAGTAAATTTGTGATACAGAAATCAGGCATAGATGGGATCGAAGAAAAGACAAGGCGATGCATCTTAGAAAATTTTGATCTCTTGAGTTTAAATTGCAATCTTAGTACTATAAGAATTGCGGATTTTGGCTGTTCTACTGGACCTAACACATTTCATGTTGTTCAAAACATCATTGAGGCGGTGAAAGAAAACCGCGAAAATAGTCTTGTCCCTCTTGAGTTCCAAGTATTTTTCAATGATCAGCCTAACAATGACTTCAACACACTCTTTAGAACCCAACCTCCTTCCTCTAAAGGGGAATATTTCTCGGTCGGAGTTCCAGGTTCTTTCTATGGTCGAGTGTTACCAAGAAACAGCATCCACATCGGCCACACTTCTTACACGACTCATTGGCTTTCAGAAATTCCTGAAAACGTATGTGACAAAAATTCTCTGGCTTGGAACAAATATTACATTCATTGTAATAATTTACTAGAAGATGTGACAAAAGCTTACAAGGTCCAGTTCACAAAAGACATGAAGAGTTTTCTTGAAGCTAGAGCCAACGAAATTGTTCCACAAGGTTTGATGATTGTTTTAGGACAATGTTTCCCTGATGGTGTCCTCCACTTTGAGACATGGCAAGGTGTGGTGGTAGATAGGATCGGTGACTGCCTTATGGATATGGCGAAACCGGTAAGAAATTTGAATTTCTAAAACCTTTAAGATATCTTCTAATACAAAATATTATAATGGTTTTTAAAACCTAGATGTTATGTTATTGTATTTGTTAAGCAACATAGATAACCTTATGATTCATGCAAGATTGCTAATGAAGTAGTTTTGTTTCCCTCGTAGGGAGTAACGAGCGAGGAGGCGATCGAGCTATTCAGCATTCCCGTGTATTTTCCGCAGTTTAGTGAACTAAAAAGAGAGATTGAGCAACATAAGAGCTTTACCATGGAGATGATGGAGATTGTAAGTCATCCATTGGAGGATATTGCATTATCCAACGAGTTCATGATTTCCATGTTTAGAGCCATTCTGTCTACGATCATAATAGAACATTTTGGAGAAGGTGTGATCGATGAGCTATTTGATCGTTTAGCTAAGAAACTCGCCAATGACCCGATTGATTTTAAAGTGTGTAAGAAACATGTGAACTATTTTATTTTGCTTAAGAGAAAATGAATAACATGATATTTGGCTATTTGTAACATGATATTTGGATATTTGTCTTTTTATTTGTCTTTTTCTTTTCCAAGATTATACAAAGAATATACATCAATTTTATTAAATTTTGGAGATAATTCTTTATTTGACCAGCTAATGACTCATTGCTAATTATTTCTTCACAAAAACCATTAAGAACTTTTTAATAATTCTTTAAATAGTATGCTACAAAATACTCCGCTTTCTGAATCCAAGTATGATGATAATATTATGCTAGAATTTTGGATAAAATAAAAACTTTTTGTTGATAAAATAAAAACTTTTATTTGTTTGATAGGTTTTTTTATATTATTAATATTTTTTTCTGATATTAAATGAGGAAAAATAATATAGCATGTTTATATTTATTAAAAAAGTGTGAAAATATATTATAACCAAATCGAATAATATAAATAGATAACATAACACTTCATAAAATACACACATACTTAGTATAAATCTTACAAGCAAAAAAAAATCCTCTCTCCTTTTTAAAAGCCTAATTATTATTATTATTTTTTTTGGATTTCTTATCTAATTTATTTTTCAATTTTTTTCAACTTACTTAATTTTTTATCTTATTTCTTATCACTTCAAAACTATCCTCAAAGTGTAAAGATAACTTTCCTTTAGTTTCCCAACTAATAAATTTCTTATCATCTTTTGACTAATGAGAGAAAGACTAATATGTTCAATATGATTACATACTTTAAAACCACTTTAAAATATAAAGATAAGTAGTAAAAACTTTTTTAACAAAAAGATTTAGTTTCCATTAAAGGCCTAAACTAATAAACTTATTTTCTTATCTTGACTAATTTCAGTGTGATAAAAATTAAATCTTAAAAAGTCAGAGATTCTCTTTTTATTAAATGTCTCTCTTATCTTGTTTTGACTAATGAAAGAGAGACTAATACTCATGTATAAATAAACAAAGACCAATGTCCTCATGTTCAAAACAAATCTATCTCTCAACATGATTTTGTGACTTTGATATATTTTCTTGGTTGATTTAAAAAAAAAAAGAAGAAGAAGATATATCTTCTCTAAGGTTTTCATCTATTTTCTCATCAAGTTCCAGTAACTATAAGTTTTTTTTTCTTGTTTTTAGCCATCAAGAAATTTTAACATGGGTAAAAATGTTTTTTTTCTTCCAATGATTGATCACATAGAACAGCTAGAACAGCTAGAAGAAGATATTAGTATATGGATGTGTCCTTTATGTGCTCTTAGTTTTGTTTGTATGAAAGTCTCATTCTAGTTTTTTTACATGCTTAAAAGTGATTTCTTCAAAATTTATTTCAAACTATATATGTTATTCAATGCTCTTTCTCAATTCATTTATATCAATGATGTCAATTGCTAGAGTATTCTATGTATTTAGTTTAACAAATTGATAAGGATATGAGTACCTTAATGTGTTCTTTATATAATTTTTGTTTTTCGTTTTATGAAAGTTTTAATATTAAAAAATATTAATATGTATGTTCACATAGATGTCATGATAAACCATCTTTGTCTTTTTGCAAACGTAAATGTTAGATACTACGTTAATGTCGAATGGTCGAAGCATGAGAATGGATTCGAGGAGATGGTTAATTAACTTCCTATAAAAATTCTATCATAATTAAATGATAATTTTGCTGTTTTAATAAAGATGTGAAAAGTTTAATATTTTCATTATTGTCCTTATGACCGTTTCTAAAATGTATGCTTTATATTTAACAAGAAGATGTTAAAATATTAGAAGAAATTTGGAGATAACAGAAATTATTACTCATATTTCAAACATTGTGGCATGTTTACAGGAGAAGAATTTAGATGATGAACAGCTTCACATGGACGGATGTAGTGGTAGTGAAAATCTAAATGATGAAGGATAGACAAAGGTTGGATCATATGGCTTTATCAGGTATTACACAACATCATTTCGGTAGTGTTGGTTTGGAGATTAGTTATTTTGTTCTAAAAAGGTTTTTGATATTTAGGTGTTTAAAAGGAAACATCTATTGGGGAATGGATTGTTCAAAGTTTTTAGGGTTGGAGAACTTAATGTTAGTTCTCTTATATATGCTCTCAGAATCCCTCTTTTGCAAGGTATCAACTATATATTCTTGATTGATGTTACTTTGATTGCTTATGCGTATGTCAGTCTTTTACAAGGTTTCTTTCTCTCGGAAACATTTATAGTTGTTCTCTAGAAGGCTCGCCTTGTTCAATCATCACGCAAGATTCTTGCACAAACAAAAAGGCCTTCGTTGATCGACTTATTGCCTAAGACTACCAAAAGGTTGAAGACAGAAGAAAAAGAAAGATTTCAAGTAAAGACAGTGAAAAATGACAAGATGAGTTTACCTCTCGATTCGCAGGACAAAAAGGCCTTCGTTGATCAACTGTTTGCGTAAGACTACGCGTAGAAGGCTCGCCATGTTCGATCATCAAGTAAGATTCTTGCACAAATGGATTTGGAATGACTAATGATGTTGCAATGATTGGTTTCATCATGTTACACTCTAAAACAAATAATCAAAATCATAAACATTGACGTGAGCTTATTGGAAAAGCACCTATTATATATATATATCGAGCTAGATGCATAGCAAACACTAGTTATCATTTAAGAGCTGAGTACACGAATATAACTAGATTCACTACTTATATTTAGAGCTTAATGAGAGAAAAACATTAGTTGCAATATTAATCAATGTATACTTCTTTCAGCTTGTGTGGCTTGAATAAGGAATAACTAGTCATGGGCGTATTCAATGAAAGTCATGCGCCACATAGGAAATAAATGATAACCAATAGTCATGGCGCGTGACTTTCACGGAAAATGTATGCGACTGGTTATCTTATTCAAGCCTCACAAGCTATAATAGGTATACATTTTTGTAATTAATTGTTTTCCCTCTTTGCAACTTCCAAATAGGTAGTGAATCTAGTTATATTGGTATTCTCTTAAGTGAAATTATGGTTTGTTATGACTTTACCTTCATATATATAGGTGCTTTTTACTAAATCTCTCTTCACCATCTTCATTGTTTATGATCTTAATTATTTGTTTTGGAGTATACCATGGTGAAACCAGTCATTGTAACATCATCACTCATTCCAAATCCATCTATGCAAGAAACTTGCTCGATGAACGAACATCGCGAGCCTTCAACGCGTAGTCTTACGCAATCAAGTGATCAACGACGACCTTTTTGTCCTGCGCATCAAGAGGTAAACTAATCTAATCATTTTTCACTGTCTTTGCTTGAAATCTTTTTTTCTCGAGTCATCAACCTTTTAGTATAATGATCCATGTAACTTCATTTTCGATGAGCAGAGAGATCTTCTTAATCAAGATCTAGAGATGTTTTGGGCTCATCAGAATTCCTCAGGTAATTCATTTGAGTATTATCAAGAGCTTGTGCTTACCCTTAGCTAACTCTCTCACTTGTTTTGGTGATTATCAGGATTACATAAAAAGCCTGATTTACCTCTGGCTACGGTTAAAAGAGTTATGAAATCTGATCCTAATGTCAAGGTTTAACAAATCACATCAATTGTTTTCTTCCAATGATTCTTTCATTTTTTGTTGATTATGCTTGGGTGCTTTCAAAATTTCCATTCATATATTATTTGAGTGAGATAAAATCATTTTTTTCAGATGGTCAGCTGGAAGGGTCCTGTTCTTTTGGTTAAAGCTTCTGAAATGTTCATTCAAGAGGTAACCCTCCGTGCATGGAGGCAAACTCAATCGCGCTCTCGCACGACCATTCGCAGTTGTGACATACATGCGGCCTTAAGAAGTTCAGTTATTTATAATGAATTGGTTAATCTTTTATCTGTTGAACAATGCTTTGCCAATCATCCGGTTAGATTTCTCACAATTTGCAATCTTATCTGATGTAATCAGCCACAGTTAGATTTCTCACATTCTGCAATTTTCTTCTGCTTAAGGGTGTGCAGCCACAAGGTACAACACATCAGCAAATGCTCCCACCTGAAAATGTGAATGAGTCGAATATGAAAGTTCCAATAGATATAGACCAGATTCAGCAGGTATTTTAGTTTATGCTTCGATAGGTTTTACTTGAGAACAAACAGATTGATGCGATTGGTTTCTTGTTTGTATCTTGCATTTGCAGCAAAGCCTTTTCAATCTAAAAGCTGATCATTTTATTGAGATTGGAGAGTTTGAGCTCGACCCTATGATCCAGGTAATTCTATGCGCACAACAACAATGGTGTTCACATTAATCAATACATGTCGACTATAATCTGGTTCCTTGAACTTTCTTTTGGTCTTTTAGATACTATAGTTGGACTCAAACTTGAAAATGTTAATAACAATGGTTTTCAAAAACACAAAAACTAAGAGAGCATTATTTGATTGTGCAGTGAAAATTGTCTTGGTGGAAGCTGTTCTGGAAGAGAAACTTAGTTGAGAGGAAAAAGAAGAAATCTGAAGAACAGTTCACCCATAAGGCCATAAACCATGTTTTTTGAATATGATGCTTGTGAGAAAATTGTTGAATGGGTAGTTTTAACCTTTGTATGTATAATTTAACTTGTGGCCTAAATGAAAGTTTTATGCTCTGAACCAAATAACTAATTATGAGATCTATCTGCAAGCTAGACTACATAGGTTGCATTGAACTGCTTGTGATTTTTCATGTAAATGCAATCTAAATGAATCATAACTGTACACACACTCATTGTTCAAGTTCAGCTATTATGCTTACCAAAGTACTGGACCTGGTGGCCGGGATAGCATGATCTAGTGGCAATGATGAAGCAAAACCTCTTGTTGGAACCAAGTGGTTTTGATGAACTGGAACCACTGACTCGACCTAGTGGTTATGATGAAGCAAAACCTCGGACTGAGCCAATTCTAAGTACTTTCGTGGCTATGATGATTTGAAATCTCCAGACTCCTAATCCCGCTGCAAATTCTGATCCGCCACTCTAGTAAACAAAAGAGTCATGTGATCAATGTGCGAAAAGTTCAAATCAGAAATTGATACTAGAATTTGAGCTTTGTGGATGATTAGTCTTATATTGTATATGCTGATATCCTATACTGTACTATAAGCTTTTTTTACTCGAAAAGGCACGTTTGTATGAGTGCAAAAATATCTGATGTTGTAAGAAAACGAGTACATAACTTCTACATGAAATGCATCATAGCATGATGTGAGTACAGAGCACTCTCTGGGTATATTCAGAACCTGATTATAACTCAAATATTAGGGACTCTTGCAGGGTGAACAACATATTATACACACAGTATATGTTAACAGACCACTAGTCAAAACAAACAAGATGCATAAGGAAGGAAACCTTCTAGTATCAAAAATTCAAGCAAAAAGTAATCAACATGAGTCTACTTTGTGAACTGGTATGCACCAAACGTTCACTGAATTGGCTCAATGAAACTATAATAAATCATCAAAATGTCAAAAGAGACCAATGCTAAGACATCATTTGCCAAAAACATTTTAAATTAACTAAAATATCAGACTGTGTGTAACTTTAAAATCAAAGAGATACATGATAATATGTTTGAACAGTCACAGATTCATCACTTTCTTCAATCGTTTCCACATCAACCAAAGCATATAACACCGAAACCAAATCAAATCAACACAGAATCTAAATCGAAGTATAGAGGAAGAGGGTAAGTGAAAAGGTACCTTCTTTAAGAGAAGTCAAGCACTTTCCAAAACCTGATCATAGGTTTCATCTTCAGCCGATCCTACGTAGATAAGCTTCCATTCTAAATCTATACCAAAACAAAGAAACACTACCTCAGACGCTGCAACATAACATCGTGCTAACAAGAATGCAATCATCACAAGCAATCACTAATGTGTGAAATCTATACTCTACAGAACCAGAGATGCAATTCATCCTCACAAGCTTCCCAAAGTTTTCTAATTTAACACAAGAGCACACAAGATAAGCCTCCTAATACCAAAACTTACAGATATAAACCCAACTTAGAACCCAAAGAGAAGCCAAATCCAAATTAGCTATCAAATCATATTCTAAAAACCCCAAAAAGCTGAAAATTTTGTAGCATTATTCACAGATTCATCACTTTCTTCAATCGTTTCCACATCAACCAAAGCATATAACACCGAAATCGAATCAAATCAACATAGAATCTAAATCTAAGTATAGGGGAAGAGGGTAAGTGAAAAGGTACCGTCTTTAAGCACTCGTAAGAGATCTCGAACTGGAATGGGTTAACAAAAGGCATTGGATTGTCCAAGACGGTGACGTTAGTGATATTGATTGAGCTCATAATGAAATTGGCAAACCCAACCTCAGGGGATTCAAATTTGAGTTTAAAGATCCTAAATTTCTTGAGCTTTATCGAAATCTGGAGAGACCCAGATGAGGATTTGCTTTAGAAGATGACAAGGCGAGTGAATCTTTGGTAATTAGGGTTTTCGATTTTTCCCTGAAAAGGCAAAGTGAAATCGCCGGCGTGAGAAGAATGGTGGTCGGTCAGACTAGGAACGGTCTTTTTTCTTTAACCGGTCGCAATGAGGGTCAGTAACCGGGATTTCCGGTTCAATACTTTGGCGGGAGAGCTTTTTCAATTCCAAGAGAAGGAAATAGAGAAATATATTTTTAATGTTTTTTTATATTTATATATTACCGTAGAGTTTTCAAAAAAAATATATATATATATATATATTATCTTATCTTTTGTTAAATAATACATTAGCGAGACCAAATTCAGTCATCTATACCCTTTTATTTTGTAATATTTTTATAATTAAACTCTTGCCATTTGATTATATAGAAAAAGTTTTAGATAAATTTTATAACTAAATCATAATAAATTGCAAAATTAGAAATCAATATTTATTACATTTCACAAATTTCTTTAATGTCTCCCTAATAAATCAAATATTTCTCCAACATCTTTATATGATCTTATATGTTTTTAAATTTATATTATTACATAAACATATGTATAATAATTTTTTTTTGCATATGTTACAATTTGAATTTTTAGAAACGGATGTAAATTACTCAAACGATACAGAAAATGGATGTATTGTGTAGCATGGGTTATGTGATGGAACGGGTTATAATTTACATAATTATGATTATAGATAATTTTACGGGTTGGCTACTATTATATAACTCACAAAATATTTTTAATATGAAATTATACTATGTAAACAAATATTATGTCAATGTCATTTCATTATATTAAATATTATATTTATTTAAATAATTTGATCAAATTATGATTATATAAAAAATAAAATTTCATATAATATTCTACGGGTTAAATCATAACAATCAAAATATAGTAGTACACTCTTATATACCAAACAAAATTAATAAAAAAGATATTTTAGAATGTCGTCCCGCGGTGTACCGCGGGTTAAAATCTAGTTTAGTATTAATTTATAGACGTCATATCCGAATTAGAGGCGATGCCCAACGGTACTTTTGCACTAGGTCTTGTTATTTAAAAAAATAATTATAAGAATTTTAGGACTCTTAATATTTGATTTTTTACGAATATAAGGGATCCAATTATCAAAAATATGCAAATAAAACCATAATTAATCCCAAAAAAAAACATTGGCACAAGGTCCAAAGAAAACTTGACCCGAGCATGATAGATGTTATACTATTAATTGATTCTAAAAAGTAAAAACTAATTTAGGATAGAAAAATATTTTAATTTATCAAATATTAATTTATTGAGATTACGGGGGAGTTATTGGGAGAATGATTTTTAAAGATTTTTAGAGTTTAAGATTCCATTGTTATTGGTTTATAGATTCTTAGATTCCTAATAAAATCTCTTGTTATTGGTGTATGTATTTTGTAATTCTATTTAAAATCCTTTGTTATTCAAAAAGTTGAGTATTTATTGATTTTCCAATTCTATCAAATTCTAGTGTTATTGGTTTAATGATTCCTTACATATTTAGTCATTAAAAACAACTTTCAAAATACTGCAATTCTCACAAGTATTTATAGAATCTATCATATGAAGAATCTATTAAACTCTAGAAATCTGGGTAAACATTATTTTAGAATCCACAAAATTTTTTGAGAATCTTAAAATCTCTAAACTTTAGAAATCCATAAACTCTTTTAAAATCATCCTCCCAATAACCCCCCCTACATCAATATTGTAGCATGTTGTTTAACAAAAGAAATAAAAATCCTTATAATTTTTTGTATTAAAACTATAACGTTGGTTTTAAAAATAGGTAACGCTATATGTAGCTAACCAAACAAATTTTTGGATGGATGCTTATATTTATTACTTTGAGCCTAAGTATAATGTTGACACCATAACCCCATGTATTTTATCATCACGACCACTACCACTTGATATATACAGCTTTTTCTAGAATATATCCAAAATTAATAAGATTATCCCTATATTAGTAAAAAGAAGTACAAAATAAAATACGGGTCGGGTCAAAATTAAAAAATTAATCCAATTTTATCAATTGGATACTTCAAAATTGGATATTAAATTGGGTTTGGATACATACATCGGATACTTCCCATATCTAATTTTTGGATTGTATTATTTCCATAAATAATTATAGGATTTCCTAATATTTCTCTAACTAATTTAATATAATCTTTTAAAAAATTATTATTCTTCTTTCACTTTTATTTGATCTTATTTTAATTTATGATATTATACTACTTGAGGAAAAAATGATATTATACTATATAATATAAAGGGAATTTTGTCTTCTATGCCAGTTTTGAAACTCAATCTTCTCTAAATGCCATTTTTGAAAGCTCCTTTCAAATTCTGCCACAAAAAGTTTAGTATGGACGATTTTGCCCTCAGGCAAATGTTTGAAAAAAACAAAATCAAAATAAAAAAGAAATCTTGTCCACAAGATCTGGTCCACTAGATCTAGTCCACTAGATTTGATCCGACATAACTATTTCGAGTCTAGTCCACCAAAATTGGTTCGTCGAATGTTGTCCATCTATAGAAAAATGAATCATGTCCACCATAAACGCATCACTTGTTTTATCATCTGGTCCGTCGAATCAGATCCACTTGAATCAAATCCTGCCACAACTTGTCCATCGTAACTGGTCTATCTAGTCCGCCGAAACTGGTTATAGTTCGTCGGAACTGTCTATGGTCCACTTGAACTGGTCTGCCAAATCTGGTCTATTGGAACTCGTCTATTTGGTCTGTCAGAACTGGTCCGTCGAATCTGGTCTGCGAGAACTGGTTATAGTTCACCAGAACTGACTATGGTCTGTCGGAACTCGTCCGCCGAAGTTCTGGTTTATTGGAACTGGTCCGCCTAAATTAGTCCGATGGATCTGGTCTGCCAGAATTAGTTCGCTGGATCTGGTCCGTCAGAATTAGTCCACTGGATCTGGTCCGCCGGATTTCATCTGCTGGAGCTGGTCCGCCGGAATTCGTTTGAGTTTGTCCGCCGGATTTGTCTGCCGGATTTGTCCACCGGAGTTTGTCCGTCGGATCTGTTCTACTGGAACTATTTGTTGTTGGAAGAAGAAAAAGAAGATGAAGAAGAGAGAGATAATGAAAGAAAAGGAAAAGGGTAACATGGTCTTTTTACATTGTATCTATGGCATGTTTTGAAAAGAGTTATGAAAAATGGCATTTTAAATAAGATTTGGTACTGTACATGGCATTCCTCACAATTTTCTCTAATATAAATATATAATAATAAATTAACTTTTTTACATATGTTGCAATTTGAATTTTTCAAAACGGACATATAATAGAGAATTTTTGAGAAATACCCCTTTTGGACTACACTCGGTTAAATAATTTGGACAATGGTATAAAATCATTATAAGTATGACCAATATTAAAACCATTGTTACATGAGCATATTTAAATTTTCAAAAAGTATCAAAATATTACAATTTTTTTTGAGACATAAATGTAATTTTGGAGACATCATTTTTATTGATAAAATATATTATATATCAAACTATGTAAATTTTAGATAGCTCACGGATAGTTTGTTAAAATCATAATTATAACGATAAAGCGAGTTATGAATAATGTTTTCTTACAAAATGAATTATGTTACGGGTTGGTCTTTCAAAACATATATTGTAAATATGTAATTTTTAAGTATATTCCTATTTCAACTACAAAAATGGTCAAAATGAAAATTTATCGACAAATATTATTTCGTGCTATTAAATTTTTACTGTGTTTTTAATTGTATCAAAACTCAATATATTATTATTTACTCACTTTTTTCCTTTATTATTTTATTTAAATTTATTATACAAATATATAATTTACCGTAATCGACTGCACTGCAATAAAATTAAAATCTAACATATTCTAATCTGTTAAAAGTTAGATATAAGTAACTATTCCCCCCGGCCCCCGCGCTGTAGCGCGGGTCCGAACCTAGTTATATATGTATAATCTTTGTATAATCTTGACAAGAAAAAGAAAATAAAGGAACAATAACACAAATAGAGGAACAACACAACTTCTTGCTTAATTACTATCTCGTTCTTTATTGTCGTTTAACAAAAATAAAATAGTTCACATGCTTCTCGCAGTTCTTGAAATCAATGGGGAATTTCGCAAGTTTCTCAGCAAAACGATCAAATAGCTCATCAACAATAGAAGCTCATCAACTGATGAAATTTGTTCCACAAGGTTTGATGATTGTTATAGGAAAATGTTTTCCTACTGGTGTCCTCCACTTTGAGACATGGCAAGGTGTGGTGGTAGATAGGATCGATGATTACCTTATGGATATGGCGAAATCGGTAAGAAATTTGAATTTCTAAAACCTTTAAGATATCTTCTAATACAAAATATTGTTGTTTTTGTCAAGCTCAATCATCATGGTTTTTGAAACCTATATCTTATGTTACTGTAATTGATATTTGGCTATTTGCAAATGTCGTTTTTCTGGTTTGTAACATGATATTTCGATATTTGTCTTTTTCTTTTTCAAGATTATACAAAGAATATACATCAATTTATTAAATTTTGGAAATAATTCTTTATTTGATCAGCTAATGACTCATTGCTAATTATTTCTTCACAAAAACCATTAAGAACTTTTTAATAAATTTTTAAATAGTATGCTACAATATACTCCGCTTTCTGAATCCAGGTATGATGATAATATAATGCTAGAATTTTGGATAAAATAAAGACTTTTTGTTAATAAAATAAGAAATTATAATTTTTGATTGATTTTTTTATATTATTAATATTTTTTGAATTGCTGATTTATTTTATTGTAAATCGAGATATATATTTTTTATTCTGATATTAAATGAGGAAAAATAATATAGCATATTTATATTTATTACAAAAATGTTAACTTTTGAGTGTGAAACTTAATCATTTACATTTTATATTATTTTCCACATTTGTGAAAACTTGAGAGAGATTTAATAACGGAGAGTGTGCCTTGCAGCCTTGGTGATAGTTTGGTTAAAATTTCATGAAGAACTTGCAAAAAAAATTCAGGCTTAATAAATCCAAGAAAAGACTTGGCCGAAAATTACTTTTGTCATTTTCATCGAAGAAAATATATTAGAACCAAATCGAATAATATAATTAGATAACATAACACTTCATAAAATACACACATACTTAGTATAAATCTTACAAGCAAAAAAAAATCATCTCTCCTTTTTAGAAGCCTAATTATTATTATTATTATTTTTTGGATTTCTTATCTTCTTTCTTATCTAATTTATTTTTCAATTTTTTTCAACTTACTTAATTTTTTATCTTATTTCTTATCACTTCAAAACTATCCTCAAAGTGTAAAGATAACTTTCCTTTAGTTTCCCAACTAATAAATTTCTTATCATCTTTTGACTAATGAGAGAAAGACTAATATGTTCAATATGATTACATACTTTAAAACCACTTTAAAATATAAAGATAGTCAAAACTTTTTTAACAAAAAGATTTAGTTTCCATTAAAGGCCTAAACTAATAAACTTATTTTCTTATCTTGACTAATAAGATATATACTAATTTCAGTGTGATTGCATATGCATAATGTGCGGGAGATTACCTAACATAAAAATTTAAATCTTAAAAAGTCAGAGATTCTCTTTTTATTAAATGTCTCTCTTATCTTGTTTTGACTAATGAAAGAGAGACTAGTATTCATGTATAAATAAACAAAGACCAATGTCCTCATGCTCAAAACAAATCTATCTCTCAACATGAGTTTCTGACTTTGATATATCTTCTTGGTTGATTTGATTTTAAAAAGAAGAAGAAGATATATCTTCTTGGTTTCATTGTTTCTTTCATCTATTTTCTCATCAAGTTCCAAGATATTAGCCATCAAGAAATTCTAACATGGGTAAAATTGTTTTTTTTTTTTCAATAATTGATCACATAGAACAGCTAGAACAGCTAGAACAAGATATTAGTATATGGATCTGTCCTTTATGTGCTCTTAGTTTTGTTTGTATGAAAGTCTCATTCTAGTTTGTTTACATGCTTAAAAGTTATTTCTTCAAAATTTATATGTTATTCAATGCTCTTTCTCAATTCGTTTATATCAATGATATTTACTCTTATTGTTTAAACAGTCCCATCCAATTTCTAGAGTATTCTGTGTAGTTAGTTTGACAAATAGAGGAGGATATGAGTACCTTATTGTGTTCTTTATATAATTTTTGTTTTAGTTTATGAAATTTTTTATATTAAAAAAACCATTCATATATATCACATATGGAAGTATGAATCTTAAAAATATTAATATGTATGTTCACATACATACATGTCATGTAAACCATCTTTGTCTTTTTGAAAACGTAAATGTTAGATACTACGTTAATGTCGAATGGTCAAAGCATGAGAATGGATTCGAGGAGATGGTTAATTAACTTCCTATAAGAATTCTAACATAATTAAATGATAATTTTGCTGTTTTAATAAAGATGTGAAAAGTTTAATATTTTCATTATGTTAGTAGTGTGATTCTAGTATGTTAACTTTCAGTTTATTGTCCTTATGACCGTTTCTAAAATGTATGTTTTGTATTTAACAAGAAGATGTTAAAATATTAGAAGAAATTTGGAGATAACAGAAATTATTACTCATATTTCAAACATTGTGGCATGTTTGCAGGAGCAGAATTTAGATGATGAACAGCTTCACATGGATGGATGTAATGGTAGTGAAAATCTAAATGATGAAGGATAGACAAAGGTTGGATCATATGGCTTTATCAGGTATTACACAACATCATTTCGGTAGTGTTGGTTTGGAGATTAGTTATTTTGTTCTAAAAAGGTTTTTGATATTTAGGTGTTTAAAAGGAAACATCTACTGGGGAATGGATTGTTCAAAGTTTGTAGGGTTGGAGAACTTAATGTTAGTTCTCTTATATATGCTCTCAGAATCCCTCTTTTGCAAGGTATCAACTATATATTCTTGATTGATGTTACTTTGATTGCTTATGCGTATGTCAGTCTTTTACAAGGTTTCTTTCTCTCGGAAACATTTATAGTTGTTCTCTAGAAGGCTCGCCTTGTTCAATCATCACGCAAGATTCTTGCACAAACAAAAAGGCCTTCGTTGATCGACTTATTGCCTAAGACTACCAAAAGGTTGAAGACAGAAGAAAAAGAAAGATTTCAAGTAAAGACAGTGAAAAATGACTAGATGAGTTTACCTCTCGATTCGCAGGACAAAAAGGCCTTCGTTGATCAATTGTTTTCGTAAGACTACGCGTAGAAGGCTCGCCATGTTCGATCATCAAGTAAGATTCTTGCACAAATGGATTTGGAATGACTAATGATGTTGCAATGATTGGTTTCATCATGTTACACTCTAAAACAAATAATCAAAATCATAAACATTGACGTGAGCTTATTGGAAAAGCACCTATTATATATATATATCGAGCTAGATGCATAGCAAACACTAGTTATCATTTAAGAGCTGAGTACACGAATATAACTAGATTCACTACTTATATTTAGAGCTTAATGAGAGAAAAACATTAGTTGCAATATTAATCAATGTATACTTCTTTCAGCTTGTGCGGCTTGAATAAGGAATAACTAGTCATGGGCGTATTCAGTGAAAGTCATGCGCCACATAGGAAATAAATGATAACCAATAGTCATGGCGCGTGACTTTCACGGAAAATGTATGCGACTGGTTATCTTATTCAAGCCTCACAAGCTATAATAGGTATACATTTTTGTAATTAATTGTTTTCCCTCTTTGCAACTTCCAAATAGGTAGTGAATCTAGTTATATTGGTAGTCTCTTAAGTGAAATTATGGTTTGTTATGACTTTACCTTCATATATATAGGTACTTTTTACTAAATCTCTCTTCACCATCTTCATTGTTTATGATCTTAATTATTTGTTTTGGAGTATACCATGGTGAAACCAGTCATTGTAACATCATCACTCATTCCAAATCCATCTATGCAAGAAACTTGCTCGATGAACGAACATCGCGAGCCTTCAACGCATAGTCTTACGCAATCAAGTGATCAACGACGACCTTTTTGTCCTGCGCATCGAGAGGTAAACTAATCTAATCATTTTTCACTGTCTTTGCTTGAAATCTTTTTTTCTCGAGTCATCAACCTTTTAGTATAATGATCCATGTAACTTCATTTTCGATGAGCAGAGAGATCTTCTTAATCAAGATCTAGAGATGTTTTGGGCTCATCAGAATTCCTCAGGTAATTCATTTGAGTATTATCAAGAGCTTGTGCTTACCCTTAGCTAACTCTCTCACTTGTTTTGGTGATTATCAGGATTACATAAAAAGCCTGATTTACCTCTGGCTACGGTTAAAAGAGTTATGAAATCTGATCCTAATGTCAAGGTTTAACAAATCACATCAATTTTTTTCTTCCAATGATTCTTTCATTTTTTGTTGATTATGCTTGGGTGCTTTCAAAATTTCCATTCATATATTATTTGAGTGAGATAAAATCATTTTTTTCAGATGGTCAGCTGGAAGGGTCCTGTTCTTTTGGCTAAAGCTTCTGAAATGTTCATTCAAGAGGTAACCCTCCGTGCATGGAGGCAAACTCAATCGCGCTCTCGCACGACCATTCGCAGTTGTGACATACATGCGGCCTTAAGAAGTTCAGTTATTTATAATGAATTGGTTAATCTTTTATCTGTTGAACAATGCTTTGCCAATCATCCGGTTAGATTTCTCACAATTTGCAATCTTATCTGATGTAATCAGCCACAGTTAGATTTCTCACATTCTGCAATTTTCTTCTGCTTAAGGGTGTGCAGCCACAAGGTACAACACATCAGCAAATGCTCCCACCTGAAAATGTGAATGAGTCGAATATGAAAGTTCCAATAGATATAGACCAGATTCAGCAGGTATATCAGTTTATGCTTCGATAGGTTTTACTTGAGAACAAACAGATTGATGCGATTGGTTTCTTGTTTGTATCTTGCATTTGCAGCAAAGCCTTTTCAATCTAAAAGCTGATCATTTTATTGAGATTGGAGAGTTTGAGCTCGACCCTATGATCCAGGTAATTCTATGCGCACAACAACAATGGTGTTCACATTAATCAATACATGTCGACTATAATCTGGTTCCTTGAACTTTCTTTTGGTCTTTTAGATACTGTAGTTGGACTCAAACTTGAAAATGTTAATAACAATGGTTTTCAAAAACACAAAAACTAAGAGAGCATTATTTGATTGTGCAGTGAAAATTGTCTTGGTGGAAGCTGTTCTGGAAGAGAAACTTAGTTGAGAGGAAAAAGAAGAAATCTGAAGAACAGTTCACCCATAAGGCCATAAACCATGTTTTTTGAATATGATGCTTGTGAGAAAATTGTTGAATGGGTAGTTTTAACCTTTGTATGTATAATTTAACTTGTGGCCTAAATGAAAGTTTTATGCTCTGAACCAAATAACTAATTATGAGATCTATCTGCAAGCTAGACTACATAGGTTGCATTGAACTGCTTGTGATTTTTCATGTAAATGCAATCTAAATGAATAATAACTGTACACACACTCATTGTTCAAGTTCAGCTATTATGCTTACCAAAGTACTGGACCTGGTGGCCGGGATAGCATGATCTAGTGGCAATGATGAAGCAAAACCTCTTGTTGGAACCAAGTGGTTTTGATGAACTGGAACCACTGACTCGACCTAGTGGTTATGATGAAGCAAAACCTCGGACTGAGCCAATTCTAAGTACTTTCGTGGCTATGATGATTTGAAATCTCCAGACTCCTAATCCCGCTGCAAATTCTGATCCGCCACTCTAGTAAACAAAAGAGTCATGTGATCAATGTGCGAAAAGTTCAAATCAGAAATTGATACTAGAATTTGAGCTTTGTGGATGATCAGTCTTATATTGTATATGCTGATATCCTATACTGTACTATAAGCTTTTTTTACTCGAAAAGGCACGTTTGTATGAGTGCAAAAATATCTGATGCTGTAAGAAAACGAGTACATAACTTCTACATGAAATGCATCATAGCATGATGTGAGTACAGAGCACTCTCTGGGTATATTCAGAACCTGATTATAACTCAAATACTAGGGACTCTTGCAGGGTGAACTACATATTATACACACAGTATATGCTAACAGACCACTAATCAAAACAAACAAGATGCATAAGGAAGGAAACCTTCTAGTATCAAAAATTCAAGCAAAAAGTAATCAACATGAGTCTACTTTGTGAACTGGTATGCACCAAACGTTCACTGAATTGGCTCAATGAAACTATAATAAATCATCAAAATGTCAAAAGAGACCAATGCTAAGACATCATTTGCCAAAAACATTTTAAATTAACTAAAATATCAGACTGTGTGTAACTTTAAAATCAAAGAGATACATGATAATATGTTTGAACAGTCACAGATTCATCACTTTCTTCAATCGTTTCCACATCAACCAAAGCATATAACACCGAAACCAAATCAAATCAACACAGAATCTAAATCGAAGTATAGAGGAAGAGGGTAAGTGAAAAGGTACCTTCTTTAAGAGAAGTCAAGCACTTTCCAAAACCTGATCATAGGTTTCATCTTCAGCCGATCCTACGTAGATAAGCTTCCATTCTAAATCTATACCAAAACAAAGAAACACTACCTCAGACGCTGCAACATAACATCGTGCTAACAAGAATGCAATCATCACAAGCAATCACTAATGTGTGAAATCTATACTCTACAGAACCAGAGATGCAATTCATCCTCACAAGCTTCCCAAAGTTTTCTAATTTAACACAAGAGCACACAAGATAAGCCTCCTAATACCAAAACTTACAGATATAAACCCAACTTAGAACCCAAAGAGAAGCCAAATCCAAATTAGCTATCAAATCATATTCTAAAACCCCAAAAAGCTGAAAATTTTGTAGCATTATTCACAGATTCATCACTTTCTTCAATCGTTTCCACATCAACCAAAGCATATAACACCGAAATCGAATCAAATTAGAATCTAAATCTAAGTATAGGGGAAGAGGGTAAGTGAAAAGGTACCGTCTTTAAGCACTCGTAAGAGATCTCGAACTGGAATGGGTTAACAAAAGGCACTGGATTGTCCAATACGGTGACGTTAGTGATATTGATAGAGCTCATAATGAAATTGGCAAACCCAACCTCAGGGGATTCAAATTTGAGTTTAAAGATCCTAAATTTCTTGAGCTTTATCGAAATCTGGAGAGACCTAGATGAGGATTTGCTTTAGAAGATGACAAAGACGAGTGAATCTTTGGTAATTAGGGTTTTTGATTTTTCCCTGAAAAGGCGAAGTGAAATCGCCGGCGTGAGAAGAATGCTGGTCGGTCAGACTAGGAATGAGGGTCAGTAACCGGGACTTTCCGGTTAAATACTTTGGCGGTAGAGCTTTTTCAATTCCAAGAGAAGGAAATAGAGAAATATATTTTTAATGTTTTTTTATATAGATAAGACTATATATATTAGCTACAAGATTATCTCCAAAATTCTTGTTGCTCGCCTAAAGGATCATCTTTGTCATATTATCTCAGAGGAACAGGCTGCCTTTATCCCTGGTCGTATTATCACTGATAATGTCATCATTGCTCATGAGGTTATCCATGCTTTAAAGGTGAAGAAAAGATGTGCTAACTCGTTTATGGCCATCAAGACTGATATAACCAAAGCCTATGACCGTCTTGAATGAGATTTTCTTCAGGAGACTATGTTAAAGTTTGGTTTTTCTTCTAAATGGGTTGAGTGGATTATGACTTGTGTCCGGACTGCTACTTTCTCAATTAATATTAATGGCTCTCCTCATGGTTTTGTTAAACCTGAACGTGGTATTCGTCAAGGTGACCCTCTCTCACCCTATTTATTTATCCTTTGTGCTGAAGTTCTTAGCCATATGATGAAGAAAGCTGAGGAGAAAGGTGATATTAAGGGAATTAAGATCAGTAATGCAAGTCCTGCGATTAGTCATCTTCTGTTTGCGGATGATTCCTTGTTCTTTTGTCAAGCCAATCTGCACTCTTGTCAAGCTATCCAAAACATTCTTTTTCAGTATGAAAAGGCCTCTGGTCAGAAAGTTAACACGAGGAAATCTGCTATTACTTTTGGTAAACGCATCTCCCCTTCTACTAAAACTATGATCCGTAATTATCTTGGTATTCACAATGATGGAGGTTGTAGCAAGTACTTGGGTCTCCCTGAGCAATTTGGAAGAAAGAAGGTTGATATGTTCCGTTACATTGTGGAGAAGGTTGCTGATAGAACAAAGGGTTGGAACAATAAATTTCTGTCTCAGGGTGGAAAAGAAATTCTTCTGAAATCGATTGCTATGGCCCTGCCTGTCTACTCCATGAATTGTTTTAAGCTTCCAACGGGTATTTGTGAGGACATCGAGCGTATTATTGCAAATTTCTGGTGGAATAACAACCACCAAAGGAATTCTGTTCATTGGATTGCTTGGGATCGTATGAAGTTTTTGAAAAAGGAAGGCGGTCTTGGTTTCCGAGATATTGAAAAGTTTAATGAAGCTCTGCTTGCCAAACAAGCTTCGCGCATTTTTCACCATCCTCATTGTCTTATGGCTCGAACCCTTCGAGGTAGATATTTTTCTTCTACTCATTTTTTAAATGCAGGGCGTGGTTCTAGAGCTTCTTTTGGTTGGCAATCCATCCTCCATGGTCTTAATCTTTTTAAAAAAAGCCTTCGTTACACTATTGGTGATGGTCATACCGTTAGTACTTGGGTGGATCCTTGGCTCCCTGTTCACCCCCCTCGTCCTCCCCGTGCTCTTGATAACTCTGTTTTGTCTCACATTACGGTTAACTCCTTGTTTCTTCCTAATAATATGGGTTGGGATATCCGTAAGCTCCATGATCTGGTCCATCCGGATAACATTTCGCATGTTTTGACTACTAAGATAAGCTCTAGTCAACATATGGATATTCTAGGATGGCACTATACTGCAAATGGTCTCTATACTGTTAAATCCGGCTATTGGCTTGCTTCTCATCACCCGGACACAGTTTTTCAATCCCTGCCTCCTCATGGTAATCCCCAAATCAAAAAGGTTATTTGGAAGCTGAGAACTCCCCCCAAACTTCGTCATTTTCTTTGGAAATCGCTTTCTCGCGCTTTGGCTACTGGTGAAGAAGTCATTACTCGTCGTATTGCTGATAATGGAGAGTGTAAGCGTTGTGGTTGGCATACGGAAACTTCTGATCATCTTTTTTTCTCTTGTCCTCATGCTATTCAGATTTGGCGTTCTTCGAATATTCCTTTGCGTTGTTTAACTAACCCCAACTTGTCTTTTGAAGATAAGATGAAAGCTGTTTTTGATTTTCACAGGAATAGCAATTATAATGATCTTCTTACTCATCTACCGATTTGGATAATCTGGAAGCTGTGGAAAAGCCGGAATCGTTTAGTTTTTTGCAGGATTAATAACAATTGGAGAAGGGATCTTCGTGAAGCAAAACAAGAAGCTGAGGAGTGGCTTCATGTTGACATTGAGTCTGATCGCCGTACTCTGTCTCATATAACTACTTCGAATCATACTTGCTCTTCTCCTCCTCGTTGGTCATTACCTCCTTCTGGATGGGTTAAATGCAATTTTGATGGGAGTTTTCTATCCTTTTCTTCCCGTGCTACTGCGTCTTGGATTCTCCGTGATAATAGAGGCGCTTTCAAAGGGGCTACCCAATGGACTGGTCACTATGTTTCCTCACCTCTTGAAGCGGAATGTCAAAGTTTGGTGGGTGCTATGCAACAGCTGTGGTTACGTGGTTTTCGCAAAGTGGTTTTTGAGAGTGACTGTAAGATTCTCATTGATACGCTCAACCATGACCATGTTCGTTATGAGATTTTCAACTGGCTTTATGAAATCAAGACATGGATGGAAAGATTTGAGTCTATTCAGTTTAGTTGGGTTCCAAGAGCTCTAAATCAACCTGCAGATTGTCTTGCAGAAATTCAACATGTTTCTATCTCTGATTTTATTTTTCATTCTTCTATTCCTTCTGTTATTGTTGTTTCTGTAAACAATGATTTGCACAGTTCTTCTTAATATATTGCAGATTTGTGTTAAAAAAAAAAAGACTATATATATTACCGTAGAGTTTTCAAAAAAAAAATAAAAAAAAATATTATCTTATCTTTTGTTAAATAATACATTAGCGAGACCAAATTCAGTCATCTATACCATTTATTTTGTAATATTTTTTATAATTAAACTTTTGCCATTTGATTAAATAAAAAAAGTTTAAGATAAATTTTATAATTAAATCATAATAAAATTGCAAAAGTAGAAATCAATATTTACTACATTTCACAAATTTCTTTAATGTCTCCCTAATAAATCAAATATTTCTCTAATATCTTTATATGATCTTATATGTTTATAAATTTATATTATTACATAAACATATGTATAATAATTTTTTTCTTCCATATGTTACAATTTGAATTTTTAGAAACGGATGTAAATTACTCAAACGATAAAGAAAATGGATGTATTGTGTATCATGAGTTATGTGATGGAACGAGTTATAATTTACATAAATATGATTATAGATAATTTTACGGGTTGTCTATTATAGTATAACTCACAAAATATTTTTAATATGAAATTATACTATGTAAACAAATATTATGTCAATGTCATTTCATTATTTTAAATATTATATTTATTTTAATAATTTGATCAAATTACGATTATATAAAAAATAAAATTTCATATAATATTCTACGGGTTAAATCCTAATAATCAAATTATAGTAGTACACTCTTATATACCAAACAAAATTAATAAAAAAAAAATATTTTAGAATGTCGTCCCGCGGTGTACCGCGGGTTAAAATCTAGTTTAGTATTAATTTATAGACGTCATATCCGAATTAGAGGCGATGCCCAACGGTACTTTTGCACTAGGTCTTGTTATTTAAAAAAATAATTATAAGAATTTTAGGACCCTTAATATTTGATTTTTTACGAATATAAGGGATCCAATTATCAAAAATATGCAAATAAAACCATAATTAATCCAAAAACATTTTTGGCACAAGGTTCAAAGAAAACTTGATCCGCGCATGATAGATGTTATATTATTAATTGATTCTAAAAAGTAAACACTAATTTAGGGTAGAAAAATATTTTAGTTTATCAAATATTAATTTATTGAAATTACATCAAGAGAAAATTGTGGGCTATGCCCTGAACAGTAACAAAACTTCTAAGGATTGCCATTTAAAGAAATCCCTTCTCCCGCCTGCCACAAGAACTTTGTAAAAAGATCAACTTACCCCATTACTTCTCTCTTCTTCTTCATCTTCATCTTTTTTTTTCTTATTCCAACAACACACAGTACCGACGGACCAGATCCGACAGACGAACTTTGACGGACCAGATCCGGCGGACCATAACCAATTCCGGTGAACTATAACCAGCTCCGTAGACCAGTTTCGGCAGACCAGATTCAACTGACCAGTTTCGACAGACCATAACTCCAGCAGACGAGTTCCGACAGACCACAATCAGTTCCGGCATACCAAAGTCCAGCGGACAAATTCATGGGGACCAGATCCGGTAAACCAGTTCCGCCAGACGAGATCCGATGGACCAGATCTGATAGACCCGAATCGGTAGACTAAACTTGTCCATCCTACAGTTCTCTTGAAACCACAAATAATTGAGTAGAAGATGAAACAAGTGATGCATCTATAGAAGATATCCATCAAAGATCTATCTAGATGTACACTTGTATAGAGTAAAGTAAATCTAGTTTTTCATAAACGAACTTGTCCATAATACATATGTTAGATGAATAGAAAATAAATTGTCTATAATCGAGTGTGGACAAAAATCAAAGAATGTCGACAAAAAAAACTTGTCTATTGATTAATGTCCGTAAAAGTCAGCTTCTTTTGTCTTCCTTCCTTCCTATTTTGTAAAACTCACTCAACACTCACTCAACAATGCTGAGGGCAAAATCGATAATGGCACTTCCACAAGTTTGATTTTCCAAAATGGCATAATACATAAAATTCCCTTACATCAATATTGTAGAATGTTGTTTAACAAAAGAAATAAAAATCCTTATAATTTTTTGTATTAAAACTAGGGAGATTTGCACAACTAACCTTTATTATAATACCCTTTCTACAACTAGGTGTTCATTTTCAAAAATACCCTCTTCAATGTACAAAATGACTAAATTACCCTCCTTTATTATAACCCATGATGAAAAAGGAATATTCTTTCCAACAAAAAGAATATTCCTTCCGAAAATTTTTCCGCCAAAAATTTTCCCGCAAAAAATTCCGACAAAAACATTT